GTGTATTGCTCGTGGATGGCTCTGGTGTGTCGAGTGAGGAGGAGGCAACAGACGTTTCCTCTGACCAAATTGTCCAGTTCGTTTTTAAACGAATGTTGGTTATCGCTTGTCCTGTCGCTGTTCTGGGTCTTAAACTGTCAGTGTCGGGCATGAATTATTTAACGTAAAAGATAGGATGGACACAGCTCTTTTGTAATATGTACAGGTTTTTTAAGATGTGGTACGACATAATAAACTGCGAGTTTTCTGTAAATGGGTTTAGCGTTCTGAATCGAAGGTTTCTAAATTCTATTTGGGTAACCAAACCAAGACTGCGAGCTAAGGCTATAGGCAAGGACTAGGTGCTGAATGTGAGCTTGAATTGGTTCGAATCCGCTCTGTTCACCACGACGGAGTAGTGCTTGGTGTCTCGACTGTGCTCTCATATGTGGTTGTGTGTGTGTACTTGTATGCTGTGCTCTCTATGGTTGTTCCAGTGTAGAGACTGATATCTCTGTGGCCTTGCAGAGGCTATATATGCGACCTGTCTCAGAGTACAGTTTGATGCACAACTTGTGCCAATACCTTTCCAATCATTCCCTATGCGAAGCAAAACTCTCCCGCGCCAAGCGCGCGCTACCTTCCCACGCATCGGCCACCCCAAGCGCAGCATTCTTGCGCGCGCATTAGGCGCGCTTTCCTGCGCTCGAAGCGCCCTACGTCGCACGTCCATCCATTGTCCAAACTAACCTCACTGGTATGTGTTCCTATCATTTTCTCCATATCAGACCATATTCTATTTAATGATTGCTCAATTCTCATGTCATGGACCCTTATTACATACCTTACCTACTCGCTTCGGCTCCGCTTCAGGGGCGCATTTTTAGACATATATAAGCGCCTGTAGTTCATATTTTACATCATCAAATCATATAGAAGCTCCCTGCACCTCACTATCAGTGTAAAGCTCATCCGTCACATGCCATAGTCAGTATCTATTGGCAATAAGAACATCCTTAACGTCTATTACAAACCTCTGCTTGTAAACCCACCTTGCGCTTTTCCCGCGCTTCGCGCCGCTCAAGCGCTACCTTCCCGCGCATCGGCCGCCCTAAGCGCTTCGTTCTCGCGCTCGCGCCTCACGCGCTTTCCCGCGCTCTACGTCGGCCGACGAACGGCACCCTTTGCACCAACCTCTAGATCTCTGCTGTACTTGCTTCCCCTTTAGGGTCGAACGCACTTGTCACCACAAGCATAGCAGCTTAGGCAAGCAGACCCAACACATAGTTCAGAATACCACCATCTGGATAGTTGTTTCTACACCGGCTGACTAAGCCTTCGGAATCTGCCTTGGAAGGCTCTCTGCATCTCTTCAGCTCTAGGACCCCCTACTCCAACGAGTACCTCACAGAGGCCTTCGGCCGACTTGCTTGTTACCCATTTTCCTCCCTCCATTCGTACCTATCTGTTTCGTTCCGAATGGCCCCAGTTACTGGAGACTCGAATTGCAGAGACTTTGACTCAACTGTCATTCGACCGAGAACCTGTGTCGTTGTCTTCGAGCTGTGTAATCACGCCGCTAAAACCTTGCTCCGTCACGTAAGGTCGTGTTCAAATAAATCATGACATCAATTCCCAACATCTGCCTGTGCACCAAATGTATCTCTTCTAGACTCCCACCTCAATCGCTCCAATGGAGGATTTTCCGTCTTTCAAAACTGTCGTCCTCGCATCATCATTGCTGTGTATGATATCTAAATTTCATGTCTCACTCACGCTAATTTAAGAACCTTCTCACCCACAATTAGAATGCGACCCCTCCCAACCAAGCACTCTCCTCATTAAGGCCAGACAACAACAAGGGCTCGTCTTAATTTACTCTCATTTCCTCAGTCTCGACGCACGCCAGCAAATGATATTGTCCACCGCGACTGCTCTCATCACCACCATACCTTACTCATCATTAATGTTTCACTGGGCATCAATGTCGAGCACTGAGAGATCCGACTCGTCGAGCACCGAAAGATCCGAGATAGTGACGCGGGGAGAGTGAGAGGTATGAGTGCATGCCATTTTGGACGTAGACGAGCGATGAGTGACGTCGGCTTGTGTCCTACAATATATGTTCAATCTTTTCTTCAATATTCATGTATCCAAGCTACTCACCTTTAAAAGAAGCCTTTGTAGTGTATGAACATCTCAGTTCTTCTATGAGAGACTGAGATGTGAGTAGATCTCTGCACCCAGCTATTACAATGTTCTAATGTCTTCTAGTTACCTTTTGTCTTAGGTACATACACCGTTAATATGAGTTCTTCTACGAGAGACTGAGATTTACCTTTTGTCTTAGCGTTCACACGTCTCCCGCTCGACATTCATCTCTTCAGGTTATGGGCCCTGACCCGACCATGGAACCCGCGCTCCCCAGCACCAACTCCAGCCTGTTTAACGTTCTGAAGCTTGCCGAGGATGGCTCGAACTGGATAACCTATAAGGAAAGAACATTAACAGCTATAGGTGCCCGAGGTTTGATGCGCTATACTGATGGTCGCGCGAGCGAGCCTACCCCGTTCAATGTTGACCCCAAAACGAAGGCCATTACGAAGCCGGACGGGTCTATGCCCTCGCAGACTGAGATAGACAAGTTAGACAAGAAGATCGACGAATACCAGCAAAAGAACTCACTGGTAAAGCAACAGATCTTCTCGACGATCACCGATCGCCTTCTACTAAGGGTCCAAAAGCTAAAAGCTGGATCTGATATCTGGGATGAAATATGTCAGATACACAAAGGAAAAACGGAATTGGTTCAGATAGACTTACGTCGACGCATGCAGGAGACAAGATGTGAGGAAGGAGGGGACGTGAAGGCGCATTTTGCCGAGTTGTTGAGGCTGCAGGAGTCACTAGCAGGAATGGGTGTGATACTTGTCGACATGGATTTCCACGCCATCATCCTAGGATCCCTTCCAGAATCTTACCGACCTCTACTGTCCTCCATTAGCGCCGTTGCCAAGATCACGAAGACCCCACTAAGCCCCTACAAACTAATTAGCATTATCACCGAGGAGTATGAGCATCGGCAGCTTACCGAACATCGTCCGAGTAAACAAGGGAAGGATGCTGCATTCTCGGCAGCCAGACCACATCACTCACGGCCCAAGCCATCGGGAAGCACGAACGAAAAGAACCAGGAGATTACCTGCTTCAACTGCAACCGAAAAGGCCACTACAAAAGTGACTGTTGGCGTCCGGGAGGAGACAAGGAGGGACAGGGTCCCCAACAGAGGAGAGGTCGAAATGACCGTTCGCAGAAGCAAACAGCCAATACCGCGTCCCAGCCAGAGCCCCCAAAAGATGACTATGCCTTTGCTACGTCAGACTTAGCAGGTGTAGCGGAGGGTCTCAACGTACCTATGGACCACCGTGGAGCCATAATGGACTCCGGCGCAACATCCCATTTTTGCCCTGATCGCTCACGATTCGAGGACTTTGAGTCCATAGCCCCACAGGACATTCAAACGGCTGATGGATCAAAAGTTAGTGCGATAGGACGGGGAAACGTGAAAATAGACTTACCTCTGGGTACAAAACGTACCACTGTCACTCTCCGCAACGCCCTTTATGCGCCCAAGATGGCCTTTACCCTCATATCCACGAATCGGATAACAGCCGCAGGACTGGCTGTCCATTTTGAAGGCCGCGTGTGTCGAATCTTCTCTGCGGGACCAAAGAGGACGCTGATCGCTGAGATACCGCAAGTCCATGGACTCTATACCATCACCGCACACCCTAAGCACCACGCAAACATTGTGAAAGGACAGCTTACCTTATTGCAAGCCCACTGTATACTCAGGCATATATCCCAATCTGCAGTGAAGCAGATGGGAGAGGCGAAGATGGTGGTGGGGATGGACGTCGACACGTCGACGGCGCCGGAATTTTGCGAAGTCTGCGTAAAAGCTAAGGCCACACATCAGCCGTTTCCAGACGAGACCAAGAATCGGGCACTTACCTACGCGGAATTAATCCACACAGATGTGTGGGGTCCGGCCCAGACGGCAAGCATCAACGGTAGTACTTACTACATCTCCTTCACGGATGACTTCTCCCGTGAAACAAAGGTCAGATTCTTAAAAGCAAAGAGTGAGGCACTTACGGTGTTTAAACAATACGAGGCCAACATCATGCACCAGCGCCTGAACACAAGCATTCGGATACTCCGTTCAGATCGAGGAGGAGAGTACATGTCTGCAGAGTTTGATAAGTACCTGCAGGACCAAGGGATCGAATGGCAACTTACTGTCCATGACTCTCCCCAGCAAAACGGCGTCACAGAACGCCTGAACCGGACGTTAGTATCGCATGCTCGGGCGATGCTCCTGGCACATGATTTGCCAAAATACCTGTGGGCCGAGGCGGTCAGCTACGCAGTCTGGTTGAAAAACCACGTACCTTCTAGAGCAATTCCCGGCCACACTCCCTATGACCTCGTACACAGCTCCAAGCCGAGCCTAGCATTGATGCGGGGAGAGTGAGAGGTATGAGCGCATGCCATTTTGGACGTAGATGAGCGACGAGTGACGTCGGCTCGTGTCCTACAATATCATCAGTGAATGCATGAGTCCTTGAAATTGTAGCTGTCGCAGCTGTAGGATGATGTAATTCTGCTCCTACCAAATATGACTATACATACCACAAGAAATTTGACTTGATCATACTTAGTCATGGATGGCCACCAACATAGACTCGCTAGATGAGACCATGACAAAGTCATAACAAGCTGCCTTCGCAGCCAGCAACGAATGTAAGTGTAACGACGTCCGTGTTATTGAACATTTTCACTTGCAAGCATTTATGTTTTATATTAACAGATTATCTAAGACTTTCCGCAGGACAATGGCCTTAGCCCTTGACGGCGCATAGAAATTGACCTAGCGGTCAGTGACAAAATCGTAACATGCTATCTTCGTAACCAGTAAGGGACGGAAGCTCACTAGCGTTGACGTCGCTGATTGTTCTCATTTCCCATCAAATATTGGCCTAATTTTAATGCTATCCAAGACTTTCTGCAGGACAACGGCTTTAGCCCTTGACAGCAAATGGAGATTGGCCTGACGGTTAATAACAAAATCGTAACACGCTATCTTCGTAACCAGTAAGGGACAGAAGCTCACTAGCATTGATGTTACTGATTGTTCTCAGTTCCCGTCAAATATTGGCTCGATTATAATGTTATCCAAGATTTTTCGCAATATAACGGCTTTATGCTTCTGACTCCGCTCGTCGTATCGTGAGTGAGGTCGCTTAACTGTTGCCACAGACTTGCCAACAGTAGGGTGACTTGGATTGCATTGTAGGGAATGGTAGATTACGGACATACTAGGTAGTACTATTCATAGTCAATTTTAATCTTACTTACTACATCTGTTGGCTCGGCGTGAAGTTCAAGCAGTTTCGAGACATCAAACTTCAGTGCCTTGAGAATTTTTGCCTGGCGAACGTAGACATTTTGTAGAGGGTAAATGTTGCGGGTGTGCTTCTCTATCTTTCGTCCAATAGCCTCTGGCACAAACCTCTGTACCAACTCCTTCAAGTCACAACTCGACGCTTCCCCGGTCATGATCTCAAATATCTCTCAAATTTCGTGAATTTGGCTCGTCTGAGTGTAAGTGGTCTTGTGGACCTGGTTTGGGCGACGCTTGGTGAAAGCGAGAACAAAGAGGCGGATAAGCCTATAGCCGTCAGTCGTCTTCACATCGACGTGTGCCTCGATGAGGGTCTGCCACTTGCGGACAAGGGAGAGTAGCTTGTCCGAAGTGAAGTACATGCCGTGGAAATTTGTCAGACAGTTCTTTCCCTGCACCTCATCGATCCGTAGTTTGATCTTATGGAACAATTGTTGTTTGGGATGATATTATCGGGGAACCTGCCTGTGGCCATGAACCCGGAGCAAAGAAACTGCAAAATAATGCTAGGTCAATTTAGACTATGTTGAACGGACCAACAACCTTACCATGGCAGAAAACTCAACAACACCACGCCGGTAATCCTCCTAAGATAGTCATAAGAGGTGGATCAAGATTGTATGACATAAAACTGACGAGCTCAAGGTAAACCAGTGTGTCATTGAGATTGAGATTGATACGTTCGGTAGTAGTCGAGGAATAGATAGAGTACAACGTATCCCCAATGGTACTGCTCGTAAGTCCCTGCGAGTTGATCGACTGATACCTGGCAACTCCAGCGATAAATAACAGTAGCTCGGCATTCTCTGACTGGAAGGGAGCAAATGAGATGATGTCAGAAGGAATTTGCTGTCAGCGTATCTAGAAGCCGTCAGTGAACTCAAGAAAAGATATCCAAGATCCAAACTTACTGGCACTGCAGTTTTCACTTCCTTGTCCTTCAAGGTCGGCGAGGGATACCTCGATGATGCGGCCCTTGAGAGTGTCGCTTTTGAGAGAGCCCGACAGGATACAGGCCATGTAGAATACGACTCACCCTTGCGCGATGGTTGGGACTAGTGATGGGAAAAGTCAGTCCACCATTGACGGACAATTCGTTTACTAACCTCCGCACGGTCATTTGGGTGGGGCCAATTGAGGTTCCGGTCGAAGGGCCAAACCTTCGCAAGAGCATCCCGGCTAGGTGAGTCCGAGTCGTTGACGAACGAGTCTGTCTGATAAAAAGGACTCTCGCGTTCAAGTCAGCATGAAGGAGATATAAGAAAAGAAACAAACTTGAATTTGAATGATGATCTGGCAAGTATCCGAATGCAATTTTCAGTACTTAGTAGTAAGAGCGATACTAACTGTTACGCGTGACACTGACTTGGACGAGCATTCCGAATCCGACAAATGCCGGATGAAATACCGAATCGGGACATTTCTCTTGGACGCGCTGATCAACGACGAAGGTAAGAATATATTCACTCTCAATTCAGTTTTATATCTACTGATCTATACTTAATACTAGCATGAACAACAACAACAATGTTAATGGAGGAGACGGGGACCAAAATCACGAGGTGCGTTGATCATTTTCTAAATATCCACTCACTGATTATCGTTCTACAGATACCCCGGCATCTTCTCCAGCACATCCCAAGGCCTCGGGAGGTAGTTTTCAGGCTGACAAGAGACCATCTAGTAAGTACGCGATCTCATTCGTTCGCTACAACGCTGAAATTGTCGAAGGAAATGATGTACAATACCTGGGCTGTCGCGCGACGCCGTGTGCGTCAACTAGTCTATCAGCCGGAGTTACCATTCCCTCCCTACCCGCTGCCTCCGGTCTGGCCAGACGACCTGCGCACGATGATGGTGCTCTGGGTTGCGAGGGAGCGTCGCATGTTCGAAATGGAGATGACTGAGCTTGAGCATATACTGGGACTCAGAGGTGCTGGGCGTTAGTGCTCATAGGTGAGTCGTTTCAAAACTTTATAAAAAAAACGGACTAACGAATTTCAGACCATACAGATGAAGGAGATTCGAGCGAAGAGGCCGAGAGTGTGATCGAGGGGCTGCATACATGGGATAGGATAGATGCATGATCGTGATATAGGATGTACTAAATACCTCTACGAAATTCTTCCAGTGGACAGGCGTGGCGTCGAGAGCTTCGAGTTAGTTTCGCCTGGCTGAGACGTACAGTGAAGGGCTTGTCGTACTGGCAAAACCGTTGAGTCAGTTAAGAACGTAAATTGACAGTTACTACTGGACCACCAGTGTCAGAAATAGAGGTCATTGTACGCTTCGTCGACCTCTTCTCTATCCTCCCCCCCTTCATGTTCCTCTTCTGACTCGTCTTTGCTAAGATCGTTTTCTGACTCATCTTCGTCAGGATTGTCATCCATATATTGCTCACCGGTATCTTTGCGGCCCTCACCATCGTTTGCGTCGTCCATTTCGGTTAGTACTGTTGACTCGTAGTCGTCAAAGCATTCTCTGACAATCTTCCGCAATTCTACAGGGTGTCCTATGCCTAAGTGCATATAACGCAAGAACATATCGCGATCAGCAAAACTAATTCACACAGTAAGATTCATTATTTAAATTACGAGAGGGCACCATGACTCACATCCCGACGTAATGTTCTTCCCAGTCATCTACCTCCTTGTTGGGACGTCCAAATGATGTTCCGCACCGCAGTGAGCTTACGCCTCGCCCTGAGGCAAATGCAGGAATCAAATGTACACCTCGAATCACTTGGCTCAGATTGAGGAATCCGAATGCATCATGATCAGATTCTTCTACAAACGCCACTTGGGAAGGCGAGCGCGCCGCATCCCAGACTGATAGTCCGACGGTGCTAGTGGTGCGAGCCACTTGACGAAGAGGACCTCTAGGTGCTGTTTCTCGGTTTGACCTTCGAGCCAGGTGTCCATGTGATAGATACCCAGTATGCGAGCGTACCAGTAAGGGTGTCTAGGGGTGGTTTCTCCCGAAAGAACCATAATATCCACGTATGTTCTGGGGTTGATGAGGTCGTATTCTCGCCTCATGTCGTAAGTCGTATAGTGCACCTGCATTGTGTGAACTGAGTAGATCGTACTGTTGGGAATTATGACCGAACTACGTTCCTTATCCGTGAATACGTGGTCGCAATGACTGACATCTAGATTATTCAGTCTGTACAAAATATGATCCTTCAATTTCGGAATAAAGCTCTAGAGCGGTCATAAGTGAACTGGCGGCCAGCTGAAGAAAAGTGGAATCGTCCCTTACCTTAGTGGCTGGGTCGCCATCGTGCATCTGGAGGAATAGGAACAATGAGACCGGATCATTTCGGTTGGTTGTGATGTAATGATGGCCTTTGAACGACGATGGAGCAAGAGAGTTGGGCGATTGGTAGTTGGAGGAGGAGATACCTGCTTCCATGGTGCGCCGTAGTACACGACGCCTGCATTCATGCTTCGCCAGCTGTTTTGAAGGATCAAGCTTGCTAGTTAGTGGATAAAAGGCTTTTAAGGCCCAGTGTGCCAGCTCTCCCTGAGTGATAAGATAATGTCAAACACGTCCTTAAGGGCTACAGAAGAGACTCACAATCTGAGTGGTAAAAGAATCTGTCGTTCCAAAGAGCTTGATAGTACGCACATAATCTCCCATTGTGTGGAACTTGTAAGTACTCAAATTGAACTTTTTCACCTTCGGTCCGCCAGATTCTCCAGAAATATTATTAGATTCAGCACGCTGCGCGAACCTTCGATTGTGAGCCGCCTTCTCTTTCGGCAATTCAACAGTGACAAAAGCAGCACAGGTGAAGTCGCGGAACTTCCGTAACTGCTTGGAGAGATCCTTGAATGTGTTCTCGAAGAGACACAAGGTCAACTCTGACTGGATTCTGAGCTTTGCAAGGGCATGCCACTGTGCAAATCTATATAAGAGAGATTGTACGATTGCGTCATGATCAGCGGGAAACAGCCCCTCGAACACAGGTATCACACACTGAAGAGAGGATATCAGCAATCCAGATAGATAAGTAAAGGTCAAGTGGAACAAACCTGCAAGATGTCTTCAAAATCTCGTGCCACAAGTCTTTTCATTTCAGATGTGTTGTTCACGAACATTCGGATCACCCCATTACCGAAAGATGGAACCTGATGGAATCTAGAGGATAGAGTTTGCTGCTTGTTACATGACCGATGCTGTATACAAACTTTACTTACCTCGAGTCTAGGATGGCGACTAGCTGATTTCCCTCCGGAAGCGCAGAAAGGATCCTGATGAGGTGGGTGAATAACGATTTCCAGGTACCCAGCTCACATTCATGCATAAAATCCACAATGAGCATTCGAAATGGATCAAGGCCTAGCGCTCCTAGCTTCTCCACAAATTTATTCTGTGAGTCACTCATCTGAGTCGATAAGAGAGAGCGATCGACAATCTGAGCTCACCATAACAGGCACCCACGAGCCCTCTCCAAGTATTTCCTCGACCTTGATACCATCGACAGTGTTGCCCCACTGATAAATATATTCGCGTGCTCTGACAATGTTACTTGTGATGTAGACTCGAAGATTTTTTAGACGGCTCTTCATGTCCTTATGGAGGCCTAAGGAAGTAAATGTATTCTTCGGTGTGAGGCAACGGGGGCACGGGCATAAGCCCATATCCTTGATAGTCGCAATTAAAACCCTGAAAGTCATTGAGTAATTGTCCATCATTGTAGATAGAATGCACTTTTCAGGGTAATCAGCTGAATAAGTAAATATCCGCGGAAATATCCTGCGTAACACACCATCTGCACATTTCAATACTATACCATGTCTGTATGCGTGAATAAACTCTCCGTCTAGTAAAATATCCCAGCATGCGTGGAACAATTCGTGCCGGCAGTGGGTGTGGAGGGTAGCCATCTGCTTTTAGATATGCGAGGCAAACTACTCAGAAGATCCTTGACCTTGTCAGGCAGCTGATGGGACAATATTGACAGCGATCCTTAAAGGTACAGCAGGAAAACTCACTGATGGTAGAAACCCTACCAGGTGGCATGCGCCGGACTTCGGTGCAGAGTGCGCGTACTTTGTAAGATTTCCAAAGTACAAATAAAGGGGCCAGGCCTTTGCCGTTCCGAAGTTTGCCAGATGCATGGCATCTAAAAAAACATAAGGCCAGCGATTACTCGCTCCAGTGTGCATCCAGGCTCCCTTGGAAGCTTTTGCAGCTCGTCTTGGGCATCCAACCAAGAGTCCGAGGTATACAACTCGTCGAATACTCGCTCTTGATGAGAGTCCAACGGATCCTTCCACATGCTCTTGAAGGGTGAGAGGTGAAACACATTAGCCTGGATATCCGCAAAAGCTGACTGAATGACTTCAACCAGGGGGCGAAAATGGAATCCAGGAACGGAAAAAAGTCTCGTATCATCCTTCGATTTCGTGGGGATGTTGATGGTGACATCGGCCTGGGTCCAGTCGTCTGGAAACTCGATCTTATTCTTGTTGGTGTCGTTGTCCAATTCCCGTAAACTCCTTTTCACCGAGAAGTCCTCCAGGTGTTTCAAGTCGAAGTCGTCTGCTAGTAATACTTCTTTCATGAGACGAGCAACTTCAGTCTCCGATTTCTTATTGCTCCCGGAATTCATCCAAGACATGACTCGATAGATCGTCATGTTGGGAAAAGGGTACGGAGGTGGGTGGATGCTTGTATCATTCTCTTGTTGAGCTTTTGGACACGTGCTTGAAAGTAACAAGGACGGGACAAATTTATCAGGCTCAAAGGATGGGCGACAGGGGTAAAGCCGGTATAGTCCGAGAGAATTAAAACTGGTCTGGAGTGTATCTCGCAAAGTTAAGAGAACTCTCCGGATCCTGGATTGAGGTGGGGCTGAACTTCGAGAAGGCAAAAATTCGACATTATCCGAGTGATTAGTGTCCTCGTCAGGAAGAGGAACATCCTCAAAACGTCTAGGTACTCGTCGCAGCCTAGGGAGTGAAGGTTCTTCTGAGAGCGAACAGCAGTTTTAACAAACAAGTTATTTGACCAAAGTGAATGTAAGGCGTACTTGAAACGTCGGTGTCCATTGCATTGTCAACACTGTCATGGGTATCAAAGTGAAGCTGCCGCTGCTCTGAGAGTTCAGGGCCCCGTTCACCAGTAGACGCGCCAGCTTGAGTCCATCTGCTTGATGGATCGCACAGAAAAATGGGTTTGGAGCAATGATCGCACTCCACATGAGGAATGGGCAATATTGTTGTCTAGAATTATGCGACAATTCAACTGTTCTATTCATGGGATGGACCAAAAAAATCAGCCACTTACCGAAGAACTGCTCGATTCTCCTCGCTGTGGTATTCCTGATGATGATCGTACCAGAGAAGCAGCTCTGGCAGCCTTCGTCCTTTCTTGTCGTTTCTGGCTGGCTAGGGTTCTAGATCGGTGGTAGAATTTGCATGATGCACGATGCCTAGAAAGACCTCGACTACTGTCAGCTGATTTCTCCCAGAGGCAGCCTGGGGCAGTGCATGAAACCATTGCGACGGCCAAGGCTAGTAGATTAACAAAGAGTAAAATAAGAACAAGCCGCAGTTTCTTGTGCATTCGTCAGACTCCGAGTTGATTGGTGGTTGAAGCAATACTAGTTTGAGTTCAGTAAGGTCACCTAACGGTATTCCTACGAGCTCTGAAAGTGAGCTCGATGCTACCTTTGCGACCATCTATGACTCTATGGTCAACAGACAACTGACTTTGAAAGACTGTGTACGGTCACGTGACCCTCGGGGTTCGGCCTCGTTTCCAGTGACTCGAGTCCGAAAGGTACTGCCGCGTCCTCAGAATGTTCAATATGATTGCCTTCAATGATACCCCAACTGTGATCCATGAAAAAGATAAAGAAAATATTTTGTTTTCAGTTTACTGGGGGATTGTACTGAGATCATCGTCGTTGGGCCAGTGATCCTTAAACTTTGCAAGACCGTCAGGGAGTGACAGACAGATCGTCCAACGTTCGAAGTAGTAGACATGCGGTGATGTGCCAAATTTTCACCTGGAATTTGGCAGAGAACACAAAAACGCTCTTTAGTCTGCGGCACTCGGTAAAATATGTTATAGTCCCATCAGTGTCCAATCACGTACGACTACACAAAAAATAATGAAAGAACAGCACTCACTGGATGGTCACGGTAGTAAGGCCATGGAATCTAGCAGTAGTAGTAGTAGACAAACAGTGTTAGATGGTGGAAACAAGTATGAAGGCAACATCCTTTTCCACGAGAATGCCTTCGATTTCACTTTCACTCGCCCTGCAGCATTCTTTGATGGCAGCGCTAGTGACTCTGGTAGGAGGCTGACAATATCTGAAAGTGTTAGACTCCCGCTTGACTATTCCTGAAATTATGATCCGTAACATAACATAACATAGGTTGTGTTATGTCTTTGGGGCAGGGGGCCTGCCAGATGGTTCACCACTAGATACCTATGATCGTGATGAGTTTTCAATCTAACATACTGCATACATTTCAAACATATAGCTATTTGTTGCACTGGTCTAGATCAATAACGGATTTACAACGATCTCAGACATACGCCACACAACAACGAACAAATTTCCAACTCCCAAGGTCTATAATATAATTAGTATTCAAATACACATGATCAGCGTAGTACCTCACATCAGCTATTGACATCGAACTTGCAGTGGGGGGACCCTCCCTCCGAATCCATCCTATTGTCCTTACCTTCTTCAGGCAGACCTAATTTGTGCGCAAAAGCCTCGAGGTGATCAAGCTGCACATCGGAAACCATGAAAGACGTCATATCGCAGCCATATGCGCCGATGTTGAAGTCTATATTGATATTGAGTTCTTTCGAGGTACGCCCTACCAAAAGCTTGTTGAAAGAGGAAGCTTCTGCGTCGCTACGAGCATATTCTAGAGCATCCTGCTCCAGCATCGTTTCAAGAAGCTTTGTGCGCTGAACTGATGATTCAATTTCCCAAGCCGTTGTCAGAACATGTAAGCACTTGGACTCACGGGTAGCTTGCATCGCAACAACGGCTTAAGCGATGGCCTTGCCAGACATGCCTCGCAAGCCACGCTCGAACAGTTCTTTACCCTAGTATCAAATGTTCATTATGGTGGAATTGTAGCATTGAAAGCTCACTTACCGCCTGAACATCAGCCAGAGTCATATCAGTCTCGCCAGAGTATTTTCCGACAGACTTGTGAAGAAACTGAAGCTCAATTGCGTTAGGCCCATGGCCACGGTGCGTGTCATAAGGTTTAAACTGTCTTTTTGCACGTTGCACGTAGTAAGACAAGTTTTTCGAGGGGGGGAGGTCTGGAAGAACAAAAAGTTCGTCTTCTGACGAATTATTTGTGACGTCCGAGTCAGATGATGGTGATGAGGATCGGCGACTCCTGAAGTGTTGGGATGACACTCTGAATCTCATTGGTATATGATCAGGACGATAGTAGTGTCGCCTGTCGCGATAAGAAGAGTTATGTTCACTGCCAGTGACCCGGCCACGTGTCTGAATGCCATCGGGCCAGAGTTGACAGGACAACTTGGAGTCCTCATCCTGACGAGTAGGACTGGGTTGTCCGGTAGAGCTTGGAGGAGTAAAACAGGGATGCATTTCTGGCTCGCCAGCCTGGAAATGCTCCATAGCTGGTTGTTATTCAACAAGTTGTTGATGCATGTTGGAGGACGTCGGGTGAAAGTTGGACGAACACAGATTCCACTAGGCTAGTGTGTGACTGGAAAACCCTCCCAGTTGGGGCATTGGTCACGATGTATTAATTTCCCTGAGTGGAGTTTGAACCCGGACGTTTCATGGTAGTGAAACTTAGATGTTTCGTTGGAGAAACTCGACTAAAATGGCACTTGGTGGGCGTGGTTTGGCGCTCAACGTAAATGATAACAAACATATTGTTATCCTCGCCGCATTTGGGCAAAACTTACTAGTACAGACCTGTGCTGCCTGCCCCTCAATGTTCAACGTGCAACTCGTTAATTAATTTGAAACTCGAACTTACCTTCTACTAGAATCTAACTTCGTGTTCGCACCGTGATTGCTGAGGTCCCCAAGACTAAGGCTATTGCCAAACTGATTGCGTAAAAGTAAGGTTCAATCAAACACGTGCAGCCGCCAGGGTGACTCAGATTGGTTTGTCTTGGACTTGAAGCTTGAAGGCCAGTTTACTTCAATCGATTAGAAGACTCCTAAATATCCTTTAGATTGAAATCTAGCCCAGGATCTGGGTAAGTTCGAGTCTTACTGCGGTCACCACCGGATGCCACCGCATCAATTGATTTCCGACCGATTGAATCGAAAGAATCTCTGGGCGGCCACCCACCGTGGCTTCACAGAGTTGTTGGACTGCGACCAGTTAGTATTAAATCGCTGTCATGTGTCTGACTCTTCACGGCCTTCCAGATCGCTACCGTATGGTGACCGTAACTAATATCACAATACTGACTATCATATTTCAGAGACTCTAAAAGTTGGTGTTTATTGTCACTCGGCGGGTCGCGGAGGCTCGCCAGAACTAAGCGGTTCTCTAAGAAGCAATGGCTATTGAATGGTCGAACCTTATAATGTTCGATGATCGATTGTCGATAACCAGTCATGACGGTAAGTCACACATGTAATATGCCTCGTTGTCATTATCCTCATTATGAGTATCTGACAGCAGGGAGTCCGGTTAGCGATTCATATGCGACTGCGGCTGAGAGACTGACTGTACAGGGGCTTGTCTAAGGAGAGTCACTAGTATCAGTGAGTAATGTTAAATATCAAACTTTCGTATTCGGTACTGAGTCAGTTTGTCTTCGAGTCTCCGCACCACTGCCGTTGTCCTCTGGCAGGCTGTGACCATGATTCCTCCAGTCTCAGATCAAGTTGTACGTCGTCAGGAACTTACTGATGATAGCTACAGCAGCTATCAGCCACCTCCAGACTCAGATTCCGAGATGTCATGGTGGTGTGAAGAAATGATGAACCTGCTGGTGATGGAAGGCTGGTCTGAGTCGTTGGACATGCCAGCCCCGCTGGGCATCATACCACCGCTCCATGAACACGAGTCAGACCCCCACAGTAATTCAACTCCTGGGCCTAGTCAAGCTCATCACACCCCCGCGGAGACCCCACTATCCATCGAAGAATTCATGGCCATGATCATGAGTTTTGACGCAACCGCCGGTGCCACTGAGGCTGAAGTCGCAGCCGCAGCCCCACATCTGCACTCCCGCTTGTCGAATGTATGCTTATTGCATCAGGTTGACCCACCGCCGCTACCCAGAATTCAATACACCCCTTACGAAATTCTCGACAGGCCTGACATTCATCGTGGCAAGCATTGCCTCACTGACGATGTCGAAAATCACGCTGGACCGTCACAGCACAGCCCGATGCTAGGTGTGCCGCCTCCTGCAGTACCATTACTAGCCATTCCAGTACCACCTCCTGCAGTACCATTAGCCATTCCAGTACCACCTCCTGCAGCACCATTGTCTACAACGTCTGAGTCATTGCCCTCACTTGCTGTGCCGATCGGACTTGGGAACCTCGTACCCCAGGTGAAATTGAGGGCCAAACAGTGCATGAAACAGTCGATGTTCGACGACTCGTTTCTACTTTCAGCCCAGAAAAGATCGGAAAAGGTGCTTGCCAGTCTCATTGCCGTCATATCCACATTCAATAATCGTAAGTCTCTCACAATGTTCATTTTAAACTGACAACTGATCATATTGAGAATAGCTGAACTTGTTCTGTGGTCCCTCGGGAGTGAGGCCAAAAAGGACGCAGACAAAATTGGTGAGACTGCCAAGTACCTGAGGAAACAGGTCAAGGATATAGTTCGGACGGCGGTTTTATTTGGCTACGATTTAAACGACGCGTTGGCAACCCAAACGCAGGAAGAGATGGAGGTTACCATCAGAAACCTTCTGCAAGGTGACACATTCCTAAACGGAGATATCAAGGTAAGTCTGGCATTCTTTTCTCTTTTCGAGGCCAGTAATGCTCATGGGCTTTACCATCAGGTGGGGGGACAGACTATACTCGGCATGCCCTTCGGGAACAGAGTAGTGCGGCATTTCATGCAGCACATACTGTTCTACCAACTTAACCTCCAGCAATACATCAGCCCTAGCTGAAATCTCGGGGCATTATTTGCTTTCATCGGGACATTATTTGAGTGGGCGTTGAGAGAACTGTCGACTGGCGTTTTCATCCCAAGTGACTTTGACTTGTCCCACGCCAGGGTAGCTTTCGACAACAAGTTAAGTAGTCTTTACAAGTCGATGAGCAGTGATGTACATAGTGCCCTCGTTGCAGACATCTACGCTCAAAGGGGATCATCATCTTAGGGGAGCAGAGCCATCAGTATTACGAACCGCCTGTATTTAGTACCTCCTGAATGTTTGATGTTGCTGACGATCACGAAGGTCGAGGATCGACTTATGCACTCAACGACTCGTGTCACAGTCAGTAAATCAGAAAACAAATTCGGGGATTAGATAAGTTGGCATACTCACCCTGGCAAAGTTTCGCCTATCATTGATTCATATCCGAACCTCAAAAATCAAATGACTGCGATATGTGCAGCAGCCCGGATAGAAGTTTGTCCATCCAGAATCGACGGAAAATAACAATAACCTTTGTTGCTTCAACATCGCACATGTCACCTCTCAGGACGCTCCCGCTACTACTATCTGTGACCAAAGTTTGAGGAGGATTCCTGCAGTCAGAGCCTCGGCCCAGATCTACAAGTCCAGCTGAGTTTAAACACCGCTCGATGACAAAGCTCAGCGCTTCAACGCTTCTGAAACGGTCATCTTACCATCATTGCGCCAGAGTTGCAATATCTGACGTGACCTCATTTTCATATCATTATATCACAGCTACTCCCAAATCGATAGGCCAGATTCTATTTTACCCTCGTGACTGCTGTGTAAGGCGACTGGTCACAAGACCACCTTGCAATGCACTCAATATTGCTGATTAGCACCTCCTGCATGCCTGCCAATGGTAGGCCAGCTTGGTTTCACATGGTTCGATCAGATGTTGCATCCAATATCTGCACTCCGGGCAAGGCTTTGCCATACTGTTATCCGATGGTATATAATCTCCTCTTCACCAGGATGCCTCCTCTTCCAGCTTCCAAAGTCATAGAACACTAATACCGCATCCCCCATGTATTATTCAACTCGTCCTCGATGGGATATCCCTGATCCCAACACCTTCCCTCCAGCTTTGCACAATGCTCGCTACAAGGGGTGACCAAACCCTCCAATACAGCTTCCCCATGTCGCTGCGCCTTCGTTCAAGAAGCCTGCTGAACGGCACGTCAGATTTGACCTCAACACCCCGTTAAACTGTCGTCCCGTTGATGGTAACGCTATTCATACCCATAAGCAACTACTCATGCTCCACATGTGGCTATCTGTCTCAACCATGACTCTGGTGACAGCCTGTGGCACAACCAATTAACTAGTAGCAGCCATGGGCACAGTGTCAGCCGCGACACATGCGGCCGCGGCGCGCCGACCAATGACTGTGGGTCATGTGGCATGTTGTGACCATGAGATTGGTAGGATGGGTCAGATGTCTCGGATGAGTCTCGGGTCCTCTCGTCATGGTGGCAAGTACATTTTCATTGCTTTCGAGTTGACACATTAACTCACGTCTACGAATAATCATTTTCATAGATTTCATTACTACGGGTCTCAATGAACTGTGTCTCCTACAGGAGCCCTTGAATGAACCTGTTCTGCAAAAAGCTTAATTTGGTTGCGGTTTTGCTTTGGTTTTACCACCAAGCATGGCAAGGGTACTGCAGACGTTTATCTTGTTCCCCTTTGCGATTTTATGTTACTTCACCACGCTAGCCTTCTTCGTCTACGTAGACGCCCCAAATACAACCCAGGAGTCACCATCACCGTTACAGCAAGATTGATCCCACCCAATCATAACCGACTGCACTGGCTACATGCATCCAACATTTGGCTTCACAGTTTCAAGCCCTACCGAGACATGAACCGAGCATCACACCTCTCCAACAAACTTTCAAGCTCAAGTCTTACGTCTCATCACTGCTCACCTTATGGCTTGCCCTAGACTAGTATGAGGTATCTGCATGACTATAGTGCGTCTTAATTGTTCATCCCCGTCACATCAGTAAAACCTCACTTTTATTTTTGGTGATGAATCCTAATTTATCCTAATTTTCTCACTTTAACCGGGTTTGAGGAGCCATTGGGGTGACATGAAAGAGACAGCGGAAAATTTGAGAAAAAGGCCACTCGCCCTCTGAATTCTACTTTATTGCTCTTAAAAGTCACTTACTAGGCATTGACCGACAAAAAAAGCAGTAATAATAGCACAAACGGCGTCACATTGTCCAATACAAAGTACAAAACATTGGTTAAAATGGAGTAAATGGCGACGTGAAGTGTGAAAAAGTGGTCAAAATAGGAAGAAAGGGCAGTGATTGTAAGAGCGAAAATGAATGTAAAACGAAAGAATTGAAGGAGATTAAAGGATATGAAATGCGGATAATGAAACACAAAACGAGCAAACCGGGGCGATGGTGGGATAGGCAAAATGCAATGGTTTGAAGACGGGCGCTGCACAATTGGAAACTTGCAGTGAGCAGTGCAGAAATGACATCTATAGAATGATATCAGCTCGTCAATAAAGGAAAAAAAGAATCAATCTTTGTTACCACAGGATGGCGCGGATGTCAACGGCCTCTGAGCCATCATCATCAGTGCGAAAGTACTTCTGGAGGCCGACACTGCCCGATTTCTTCAGCAATTTCCGAGCCGTTAATGTTGTGGTCCTCATGTAGTCGTCTCCTTTCGCCTTGATAGCAACCACATATGATGCAGTTACTGATCCCCAGTTGTTGATGGAGAAGGCATTCTCGGTAGTGCTATCCTTGCCGGTGGCCTTGTTGAAGGTCTTTGGTGTCCGCAGCTTGCGCTTCATTTGTGCAGGACCCAGATCTAGGGTGTCCACATCAATGTCAATGGCATTGACACGGAGACGTTTGATGGCGCGCTCGAGCTGTAGAATTATCAGTAATGTTACTTGAATGTACAGAGTACTTACTGAAGCTGCACAAATGCCAATAACACCAGTCATCCCGACGACAGACAGCACATATGTTTTAAGTGCGGGGACTTCAACATGCCCGAGAATGGCGTGAAGATGAGCGGTTGCGAAGAGCTGCAACATGAATGGAGACCGGAAGGCTTGCATCGGGTCTAGGTTTTCCATGTCCTCATAAATGAAAGCGAAGTCCTCCAGAAGCGCGTCAGCAAGTGTTTCTGGATCAGTGTCAGCATTCCTAGTGAAAAAATCCATCATACTAGCCAGTCCCGTTGATCCAAAATTGCTGCGCCACTCTGCGAGACGTTGGATGGCCTGATTGAGATTGTAACCGTTAGTAATAGTGACAGAAAAAAAATGCGACTTACAACGCCAAAGACAGACCCTTGAGCGGTCACCTTGTAATCAAGATCTGATTCTTCTGAATATACGACATCATAAATGGATTGGAGTGCCTCGACCAGAGGAGCGTCTAAGAATTGCCAGAGGTCATTTTGACTCCCGGCCCACAGGTAAAGTGTTGGGAGGAACTGCTTCGGCCACCGTTGATCTTGGCAATGAGGAGGGAGATGATAGTTTCGGTAGCTCGAGCGCGTCTTGTATTGCTTCTCAATCCAATAGCCAGGTGGGGCTGTGAGCGTTAGTTGCGCGGTGCTGGCATCAATGTCCTCTTCAATTTTCACCTTCTTTGCAGGTGGTTGCATCTTTGTGGTGGCCAACTGGGAGACAGCAATGGCAGTCTGTCAGAGAATATAAGTTGTGATAATCATCAATAAAATAAGCTTACCGAAGAGGTCAAATGCACAGCTGTCTTCGTTGTATTGGCCATTGCGACAGGGCCTGAAGGGACATCAATAACCTCAACATCTGATGTATCCTCGTAGGGGGTACTCTCCAAGACAAGGGTGGAGGATTTGGTGTCTGCAAGCTTGCGCTTCTTACTCCGATGGAACAAGATTCCATTGCTTAGGCTGCTGTCACTGTCCACCGCCTTGGACATCCTGGCATCTTTGCCCTCAAACAAATTGTCCTCCAGGTCCACCAATGCATCGTCCAGGTCCATTGGTGCGTCGATATCAATATCCTGTAAGTCCTCTGTTGAAGACAGCGCATCCTCAGGCATTGCATCTGAGGTAATCTATATAATTGGCTTTGTGCATTAGAATTAGAATTTATTACAAAACATCTAGTACGCACCCTAAGTGAAGACTGCTTCCCCTTCGTCTTTTGAATGAAGGCATCCAAACATTCCTGAGAATCATCCGACTCGTCATCAAAGCGGCCAACAAGAGCCTTGGGAGCATCAGATGCATTAGCTAGAGCAGGGGGGGCCTTAGATTTGGAGGACTTGGTAGTTATGGCCAAACCTGATGTAGCGCAGGAACTGGATAAAGCACTGCTTGGTGGCCCATGCGCCAATGACAAAGCTGAGGCAGTGGTACGAGTCTTAGAAGCGCTGGAAGTTTTGAGTAGTTCGGTTGTGTCTGGTGAAATATCAGAAATCCAACCATCAACGCGCTTTATCAATGAAAACTTGGGGTTGGTCCTGAATTTTGAGGTCAAGTTAAGAAAAAAAAGAGTCAATTCAGTCAGCATCAACATCGTGGTTTTGATCAGAACAAAAAGACACACGTTGCTGTAGAAGACTTTCCTTTCTTGTCGCCAACACGTGGCCCCTGAATTAACTCAACCTTTCCTGTGAGTGAGCCTCGTGCATTGTTGATTGCGTCCTTCAGAGATGTTTTGACGGCCCTCTGGTTCTTCTTCTTTGTTCCATCCTCAATGTTGGTGTCCTGGCTGCTTTCTTCTTGGTCCTCGACGCCGGTACCAGCCTTGGGTGAGTCAGTATTCATGATACTAGTAACACCAGCGCTTCCTGCTGCCAGGAGCTTCTTACTGGTTTGGCAGGCACTACTTTTTTCTTGACAGGGCGAGCATGGGGTTTGACTGGCTTTGGTTTAGTCACCACGCCTTGTTCCTCTGCCTCCTCCATCACCATCTGCATTGCAGCAAGCCACTGCAGCCCCTCGACTGCAGCCCGCTCTTGAGCTTGGTGGGCTTCCTCAAGGATTTTGTCGTCCTCTGCTTTCTGGGCCTTGCTACGTCGCGGAACTCGTCCTTGCACTGGCAGGTCTGGCAAGCCTGGGTGTTTGAACTTATTGTCTCGGCGAGTGCGGATTCCCTCAGTGATATCGGACATAATTGCTGACAAGTAGCAGATTAAATGAGTGCTGCAGCAAGCTTGAGATGGGTGAAAAAAATGTCAAGGACAACGTGTAGTTGAAGTTTGACTGCGAATTTGTAAGTTCCTTACTTAAATCAACCCGAAACTTTAAAGGTTCAATTCGTCAGTCTAGTCATTTACAGCGTCCTTTGCAACTGGGTCCGCATGTGTACTGAATTGTCCTTAATTGACGTAAGTTTGCTGTCTTTCTTTTCAACTTTGCTGTTTGCTAGAGCTCTCACCTTTCAACGCGCAGATTTCCAAGCTAACATAGGCAATCCTTCCACCTTTGAACACACAGATTTCCTATTGGTGATTTTTCCTCTTTTCAATGTGCCAGAGCTACTAGTACTGACAATCCTTCACCTTTCAACGCGTGAACCGCCAGAACTAATACTGGCAGTCCTTCCGGTGTGTGAACCACCAGAGCTAATACTGGTAATCCTTCCGCCTTTCAACACGCAGATCTCTGATTGGTGAGTTTTCCACCTTTCAATGTACAAATCGCCAGAACTGAACATCATTCTAGTCTAGTATTGCTGCAATGCCCGATAACATTCCACGGAGTCAACTACGCCGTCGTGACCATAGTTCGCTCCAACTACCATGTAGAAGTTGTCCAAGGTGGTTCAAAACTATCGCCGGGCGAACAAAACATCGCATTTCAGCACATCCCATCCCGCCAGTACTACCTCAGGACAACCACCAACGCTCTCCGGAACCCATCATACCAGAGTCCCGTCTGCCAAGCCCACAGCCTCATGTCGACCACAATATCGACATGGATGTGGATGAAGGATATGCCGACTTGGAGCACCAACATCAACCATCGCCTCAACCAAACATTGATACAGAATTTGTTGGGCCTGGGGATCACCTGTATTGAAACTATCATACAGGTCTCAATGGTAAGTTCATTCGCATGATTCTGTCACTGTGGCTGAATGTGATTACAGCCAGACCATGCAACACGGATGGTATATTCCTCCTCCCTGGCACTCCGCCCCCACCTTTGGAGAACGTAGCAACTGGCGACTGGACACCCTTTCGCAATCGTACAGAATTCGAAACGGCAGAGTTCCTGTATACGCAAAATCAGATGCCGGCAGGTCAAATCAACCGGTTGCTGGATTTATGGGCGTCTACCCTTGCGAAACATGGCGACAAGCCGCCATTCGCAGATCATCGTGATCTGTACGACATCATCGATAATTCACCATTTGGGGACGTGAATTGGCAAAATTTTACAGTAACTTACGATGGTGAGAGACCTGAAGATGGTACCAAGCCGTGGATGGACGACAAATATGAAGTCTGGTTTTGTGACCCACGTGAAGTCATGCGCAATATGCTTGCAAATCCAACATACGCCAGTGGAAGGATTTTATGTCTGGTGACTGGGCATGGGATCAGGCAGTAAGTGCAGTCTTCATCCTGTAATGACTGCTAATTCTGTATGTAGGATGAAATAGCTAAGGACCCGAGCACGCTCGGCTCTATGTTTGTCCCTGTCATCCTTGGCAGTGACAAAACAACAGTTTCAGTCGGGACAGGTAATAATGAGTATTATCCGCTATACACCTCAATTGGGAACATTCGCAACAATGTTTGACGAGCCCATCGTGATGGAGTAGCAGTCATTGGCTTCCTTGCTATGCCGAAAAGTGCGTCGTGGTGCGGGCTTCTACAATAATGACTAACTGATTTTTACAGCTACAAAGGAACATGCTACCGAGGCAGTGTTCCGAAAATTCCGTCAACAGCTGTTCCATTCGTCACTCTCCAAGATTCTCAACACGCTGAAACCAGGCATGACAACCCCCGAAGTCACTTGTTTTGGAGACAGTCACTACCGTCGGGTTATATACGGACTAGGGCCATACATAGCAGATTATGAGGAACAAGCGCTGTTAGCATGTATCGTGCGTGGTTGGTGCCCTAAGTACGTTTTTGTCATCTAGTATGTATCTTTGTATAAGTTACAATTTTTTTTGCAGATGTATGGCATCTCGCGAGGATCTCGACGAAGATGTGTTACGTCGTTGTCGCGAATACACAGAAGCACTCGTTCAAGAAGGTTCCTTAGGTGACCTGTGGGATGACTTTGGAATAGTCGGGGAACTTGTAGTATGTGAATCAGAGCACTCCTTGCAGCACCGTTCTTAATGATCTTATTTTAATAGGCATTTACGAACGACTTCCCCAGAGCTGACATCCATCAGATGATCTCACCGGATATTCTCCATCAACTCGTCAAAGGAGCATTCAAGGACCACCTCGTCGAATGGGTCGAGAAATACCTCAGACACACGCATACGAAATGAAAGGCGGATCAAATTATGGATGATATTGATTACAGGTAAGCTTGACCGCATTTAGACTACATAACATTACTCATTGTCTTAGAATTGCTGCTGTCGCCTCATTTTCAGGCTTGAGACAATTTCCTCAGGGACGTGGCTTCAAGCAATGGACAGGAGATGATTCGAAGGCCCTGATGAAGGTAATTCATCAATTTAGTCATGCTATGGTCGCAGAACTTATTAATTCTTCAGGTCTACTTGCCTGCCATCGAGGGTCATGTACCCGTAGATGTCGTGCGCACCTTTCGTGCACTTCTCGAATTTTGTTACCTAGTCCGTCGTAACATAATCACAGAAGACACTCTAGTCGAAATCGAAGACGCTCTCTCACGCTTTCACCATTACCGTAACATCTTCAGGACGACAGGAGTGGTTCCTACCTTTTCCCTACCTCGTCAACATTCACTCAAGCACTATGTCCAAAACATACGATTGTTTGCTGCACCGAACGGCCTCTGCTCATCAATTACTGAAAACAAGCACATCAAAGCGGTCAAGGAGCCATGGAGACGATCCAGCCGTTATAATGCACTTGGTCAAATACTTGTGACCAACCAACGGCTCGACAAACTTTCTGCAGCACGAGCTGACTTCACACGTCGGGGAATGTTAACTGGTACTTGCCTCTCAGTAACTATGGACGCCTTGGGTGGGTAAACAGTTCGTGAGATATCCTATATACTAATGTGCACAATAGTACCCGCACAGCAGATCAATGAACTTGATGAAAATGTGCCGGCACCAGCACCTCTGCTGATCGGCATCGATGAGGACCTGGAAATTGATGATGGTCCGACGGTTCTACAAGCTTATGTCCAGCTGGCGAAAACACGCCGTAAGACTTCTTTTTCTTCCTTTTGAATGTCCTAATAAACTATGTACAGAGGGCAAAAAACGTGCTCAAACTATTCCTGCACTTGCCGAAGAACTCAATATTCCTAGTCTACCTGACCTCCTCAGACGCTTCTTATTCCAACAGTTGCATCCTAAAGATCCTCGCGACCCATCTAATATACCCCTCGCCGAATGTCCCCTCTATCTTAGCAAAATCTCGGTCTTCAATTCTGCATCATCACGATTCTATGCGCCAAGTGATTTGAGCGGGATCGGTGGTATGCGTGTTGAACACATTCGTTCTTGCCCCATCTGGCAGAACGAGTACCAGCGCCATGACTGTGTTTTCGTCAACACAGACTCCAGTTTGCCTGGCATGCAAGGCCTCGAAGTCGCCCGTGTTCGTGCATTTTTCTCATTCAGGTACCGGGGCAGGTTATATCCCTGCGCTCTAATAAGCTGGTTCGACAAAGTTGGCGACGCCCCAGATGAAGATACAGGAATGTGGATAGTTCGTCCTGGATTTGGAGCAGACAGTGCTCCAGGGTACGCGGTCATTCATATTGACTCTATTTATCGTGCTGCGCATCTTATTCCCATGTATGGCGTGCAATTTGTGCCCCGGGAGCTCAAATTTTATCATTCATATGACGCATTTCAAGCCTACTATGTGAACAAATACGCTGATCACCACGCATTCGAGATTGCATTTTGACTTCACTTTGTTTTGGATACTAGCGTGTAGCTACTTAAACACAATTTGACTATATACTACTATTTTCGTTCTGAACGTGCCTTATTTCCCTTTGCACCGACAATTTCACTTAGCCACTCTGTGGCGCCTTTGAGAAAATTCAGGACACCCAATTAACACTCCTTATATTCATTTTCGCGCCTTAGCGCTGGCGCCAAGGCGGGTAAAGTGAGATAATAGCAGAAAATAAAAGTGAGGTTTTACTGATGCAGGAAGGGAACTTTTCCAATACTATGCAGTGTGTACGACAACATCGTCCCTTTGTTTGGAACAACAGGAATATTTGGACCATTTCTTGTTCTTCCATGGTCCCAGAGCAGTACATTGCTCCGTTTTGTCGCGGAACAGGATGCTCAATCACTACTGTCCCGATTAGTAGCGGATCCTCGTGTATTTCACTTAGGCATTCACCTCGGAGCCTCCATCCTGTAGGGTGTTTGGCACACTGAAAGAAAGAAGTCCTCATTGGTTCAGTTCTCTCGTTTTTTTCAGTCCTGACATACAACTGGCACTGGCAGAAGATCCGACAGGTAAGGTCTTCGGTACGATAAGTGACTACGTCATTAGTCTATGATGCGTTCGGAAACGTTTTAGATGTGGATGAAGACAACCGTCGGGTCTTGTCGAGATCTGGCCAGCTCTGGCGTCACTTGCTGATCAACATATCCATTATCGCACTACAAGTCACTTCAAGCCTGAGCCCATCATATAGATCACGCCTCCGAGTCAAAGCAGGAAGTACTTAAGGCTCTATTGTTGTTCTATTCTGAGCACTATTTTATGTAGAATTGTTAGATGTTTGGACGAGAAAGTCCTACGGGCGTTAGGGGTGAAGGTACCTCAACTCTAATAACAACGATGACAATACCAGTAGACTGGCTGACTCGGTCGGTAGCAGGAGGAGTCGCGTTGTGACACGTACATCATGCGTCGACATTTTACGCAGGAATGAGGCATGTTAAGCTCATGACAAGAGTCGCGCTGACCAACCTCACACTATGGCAGATGCTCTCAGACGACCAAGACCCACTGGAAGTCCCTGAACATGGCTTTAACCAAGTGCAAGGAGTCATTAAATTATTAAACACGCCCCTGACGATACATATCACATGCAATTGATACCCAAATCTTCGGCAATGATCATCGCAGCCCGTTCTCCGATGAGAAGTGCGGTCGAGTACGTGTTCTGTGTATGTTGTTAGATCGTACAACAATTCCCTGTCCAGTACTCACCGTGCCAACGTTCAACGGCGAAATGGACATATCTGCAACCTTCAGGTTCGACACCCCGTATACATTTAGCCGAGCGTCGACGACTCCCTGATCTGCCTCCGGTTTCATGGCACAAGTCCCAAGCTACAAATACAAATATCAGATATGAAATCATGGAAAGTTCAGTCGCACACACAGAATGCCACGTCGTTTGCACTGATGTTCGATTTAGTATTTTACTGTGACGATGCAGATCGCATGTCAGCACTTACTAATATCGCGGTGGAATCGATCAATCGCCTCGTCATCTTCGGTAGTGTAAACAATGTCAGACGCATTCAAGTCCACTGGCCCGGAAGCTTCTCTGCAGGCTGCAGCGCTTCCCTCCGGGAAATCAGGATGGCCGACAGCGACTTCACCTCGGTAGGAAGCCATGCGTCGAAGAAGTTCGCGTGTCTTTTTATACCCGAAGTTAAGAGGAACAATATCAGATGGACTGGGCGGAGTGGCGTGGTCATGCAAAGTGCCCTAAAATGAAATGCGTCCACTCACTCATCTAGGAAGCCTGTAGTAAAGTCCATTTCTTCTTTTCCGTCATCTGTCACGTTGATATGAACGCTTCCAGCAGACACTGGGTAAAGCTATTCAAAAGATTAACAAAAGAATCACAGGGCAGATGAAACGCAGTACTGTATAATACCCCGTACACATGTATCTGCCAGGAGGAAGAACGAGCGGCTTCGAGAGCGGTTGAACATGTCTGGGTGTCATGAACATTGTCATATCATTGAAGCTAAGCAATGCGCACGCACCCTGCAAAAACACAAAATATTGCAACAGCCTTGTCTGGCCGGTCCTGGAAGAACTCCTCCCAGCGTGGTCGAAAAGCTGGATCCATGGCTTTCAACTCCTCGTCATCAGGACGCCACTTGATTTTGGAATCGAGGCCGCTGAGATTCCAATCAGCACGATGCCAGCAGTGATAAAGACAACTTGCACCAACTTTTGTGCAATCAATGACTTGCCGCTGCTGTTCCATTCTGCAAGGCTTTCTGCATTTGGGTAGTTGTAAAGCGCTGCAATCGTGGGATGAAACGTGCTTACCCTGCAGGATACTGTCCCCACGCCAGAGGGCGTCCATGGTAACAGCCTCGTCAGCAGCCAAGTATGGAACAAATACGAGATTGTGATCTGACCGTCCTAAGCCAAGCAAGCTCTCGGACGGAATAAGTAAATTAAAAGCGCACCTTGATAATTTTCTCCGACACCAGGCAAATTCACCAGCTGCTCGACACCGCATCGCTTGAGGATCGCCTCGGCACCGATCCCAGACCTCTCCAAAATGGTCGGGGAACCAAACGCCCCAGCAGAGACAACAACCAGTTTTGATGCTCTTACAATGCTCAACGATTGATCCGCATCCGGGCAAGACACTGGGTCGCTGGCGAACTCGACACCTACAGCACGTTTATTTCTTTCATTTGGAAAAACAGTCAACCGTTTGCTGGGGTCGCGATCTCAGATAGCCACGTACTCGAAGATGATGCGCTTTACGCGCTTTCCGTCCCAGACTTGCAAATTCGGGTTGTGAGCTTGGTTGTAGACATAGTGGTGAGCTGCGTCAGAACGCCTTCCGGTCGTCCCGTCGATGTATCTTGTGTACATGAGCCAAGAATTCGCAATTGCCTACGAGCGCAGGAACTCACTTCGACCACGGCTGAGACAGATCTAATTAGTGATCGCAGTCAGGAAAAGACAACATAACTTACACTGTATGTATTGCATGTTTCTAAATCATTGGTGTCGTCGGCATACTGCCTCTTGTGATAGGTCGTGCCAACATGGATGAATTCGTCGGAGATACCCAACTTACACCCACCAGATGAAACTTTGATAGGTCCGTCATATCCGTGAGTTGAACGATCGGGCTGCACCTCATATGTCTCCAGCTATAAAGGAACGTATAAGCGATTCGAACGAATATCGTGAAAACGAATATGAGACCTTCTTCATGAGGGGAATCAGATTTTCAGATTCCCAACCATCGACTCCCCAATCGTCATAGTCCGAAGCAGGTGCACGAGTATATACCATGACTGTCTTATTATCAGAGTTTTCTTCATCGTGGCAAGCATGGTACGCACAATTTATACATGAGGCTCCACCAACGCAACGACCGGAAGGAACGATCGGTGCACGACCGTTGAGACGAGGAGATGGATTTCCTACGTGAAATGTGACTGTGGTGCTCGTCGGTGCTTGGTTGAAGGGATATTGGTAGGGTTGGACATGGATAGGTTTATTGAGGGTGTGTTGACCCGCTTCCAAAATCAAGATCCTGAGCGAGGGATCATATGCAGCTAAGCGACCTGCGACAACACAGGCTGTAGTGCCACCTGTACAGGATGATGTGTGACGAGGGCAATGCACTACAAGATGTTATTTGCTTACCTCCAGCAAAAACGATGTCGAATTCTGACAGGATTGGATGAGACATCGATATGGATGGTTAATTTCAGGCTGCCCCTCGCTCCTTCCATCTTATAACCAGCAAAGTGAAGCCTATCATTGGTCCATGGGGAACTTACGACACGTCACGGATCACAAGATTAAGACTGATAAGTGGCAATAATAACTTGGACTGCAATAGGCCACATCTGAACAATAATATCAGAAAAACAGGGCGCTGCGTGGCGTCGCAGGTATTGTTGATGTGTTGTTGAACGCGCAAATGGCTTGATGATACAAAACCTTGTGACCAATTTGGCAATGTCCTTCAAGTTGATAAACGTTAGTACCATTGCGGTCTGGCGGGCCCGTTCGCCCTCCAACATGCGGTAAGATCCAAATTCGAACATCTGCTACACCAAGACTCCCGATACTATCGTTTAGGTCAGTATTTGGAAGGCTGGACACCACGAACAAGAGGAAAGGACAGATGTACGAAAAGTTAGGAATGGATGTACATTAAAGAAAAGCGGGTCACTCACCGCGAGAGCCCACGGTTCATTTCATGGTGATTCAAGCTCTCCCAATGCCTAGTATTCGGCCGAAAGGATAAACTGATTTCAAGCAACAACTTGAGTGATACATCGAGCAATCTATAAACCAAAGATATAAGAATATTATTGACGAATCTGGGAAAGCTAGCTGCCTTGATTGGTCCAATGGCGAGTTTTTAGTGACATCGCCCGATGGTATCATACTCGCCCGAGTTTCACTCAGAGTTTAGGAAACGATGTAGCGTGCTCGCTGAACAGCATGACCATATTCTTGGCGTATACATTTTCTTCCTCACCTCTTTCGCTATTGACCATTATGCAGGCAGAGATCCCCGGACAAATTCAGGATGGTTACGATGCAGTACCCAATTTCTTCCACGAAATTCATCAAGTGCGTACCCCTCATTTCTCTCTCACATCATTCATTATAGCATTCTCAGATTTCCTGTCCACAAGCTCGACAGCACCCTGGGTGTCTCAAAAGCCTCAGGTTCACTATGACGAGAACTCCTCGTTCGACTCCTCCGAGGCTCCACCTGCACCACCCACCACCTTACTACCTTCAAAACTCACCTACGACGCCTATTCACCCTGCCACCCCATCATCCGATGCCACCTGTCGTCGACGTTCCTTTGACCCAGGGTCAACAGGTACACCTGGTCATTTTTATAATTGTTTCTTACGTGTTCCATGCTTCAATCTACAGCGAAATGCTGCAGCGGGTACTCCTGGGAGTGAGACTCCTTGATCCGTGATGAAGACTATCATGGACCTCCCCTCCTTCACCGGACGCCGATTTACAACAGCAACAGCGACCAGCAGCAGTGCAGGTAGACAGCGGGGAACATGGACGTGGCTGGTCGTGCTGCTAAAAGCATTCATGAATGTCTGCGGGTATTTTAGTTTTATCGACCATCTTGTGATATCTGCATTGACTTGAAGCAGTATTTTACGATAGGTGATCAGTACATGCCGCACCATACAGTCGCTAAGGATCACGCCGGACAAAGATTTAAAGATTTAAACCTGGTGACGTGTTGTGCTAGTGCGTGCGTTGTTGTTGATTGATATTTGAAGGACTTGGTTCGGTCAATTGTGCAGGCCCGATGATGTCCTCGTTGATGCATTGTTCCTTTCACGCATAGCCTATTGGTGCGCTCGATTGGTACCATCACTGTCTTTATTGTCTTACATGGTACCGGTTTGCTGCAACGGGTGCTCCAATCGGTCCTGCCAATGACCACGATTTTCTTTCTTCCTACTATCTCAGTTTACAACATTATTTACGGTGATATCTTCTCTGTCTACTTACGGCTAATCACGGACCTCTCCATTGAACTCTATCTGCACGGTCGGTGGTTTGGAGAGCACAATTTCATGGATGGGGGGACGCTTCCTACATAAATCTCTGGTATTCTGATGCACTGTTCACGGCAGATGAGTAGTCAGGTCCAGCAAATGGTCTGACGATGCATATCAAATGCCATTGATACCCAATTCTTCAGCAATGATCATCGCAGCCCGCTCTCCGATGAGAAGTGCCGTCGAGTACGTGTTCTATACATATCGTGAGATCGCACATCAACAATCCCCTGTCTAGTACCCACCGTGCCAACGATCAACGGCGAAATGGACAGATCTGCGACCTTCAGGTTCGACACTCCGTATACATTAAGCCGAGCGTCGACGACTCCCTGATCTGCCTCCGGTTTCATGGCACAAGTCCCAAGCTACAAATACAAATATCAGAAATGAAATTACGGAAGGTTCAACCACACACACCGAGTGACACATCGTTTGCACTAATGTTCGATTCAGTATTTTACTGTGACAATGCAGATCGCATGTCAGCACTTACTGCGATCGCGGTGGAATCGATCAATCGCCTCGTCATCTTCGGTAGTGTAAACGATGTCAGGCGCATTCAAGTCCACTGACCCGGAGGTTTCTCTGCAGGCTGCAGCGCTTCCCTCCGGGAAATCAGGATGGCCAGTAGCGACTTCACCTCGGTAGGAGGCCATGCGTCGAATAAGTTCGCGTGTCTTTTTGTAGCCAAAGTTGAGAGGAACGATATCGGATGGACTGCGCGAAGTGTCATAGTCACGCAGAGCCTTAAAATGAAATGTGTCTACTACTCACTTGTCTAGGAAACCTGTAGTAAAGTCCATTCGTTCTTTCCCGTTCTCTGTTACGTCGACATGGACACTACCAACAGACACGGGATAAAGCTATTGAGGTGATTTAGAGAAAACCATGGGGTAGACAGAGAGTAGTACTGTACAATAACGAGCAGTCATGTAGTTGCGTGGAGGTAGGATACTCGAGAGCGGTTGAGGATATCTGGCTGCCATGAGCATTGTCAAATCATCAAAGCAATTCAATGCGCACGCACCCTGCAAAAACATAAAACATTGCAACAGCCTTGTCAGGCCGGTCCTGGAAGAACTCCTTCCAGCGTGGTTGAAAAGTTAGATCCATGGCTTTCAACTCCTCGTCATCAGGACGCCACTTGATTTTGGAATCGAAGCCGCTGATATTCCAATCAGCACGATGCCAGCAGTGATGATGATAACTTGCACTGACTTTTGTGCAATCAATGACTTGCCGCTGCTGTTCCATTCTGCAAGGCTTTCTACATTTGGGTGGTTATAAGTGCTGCAATCGTGGGATGACACATGCTTACCCTGCAGGATACTGTCCCCACGCCAGAGGGCGTCCATGGTAACAGCCTCGTCAGCAGCCAAGTATGGAACAAATACGAGATTGTGATCTGACCGTCTTAAGCCGAGCACTCAGAATAAATTAAAAGCGCACCTTTATAATTTTCTCCGACACCAGGCAAATTCACCAGCTGCTCAATACCGCACCGCTTGAGGATCGCCTCGGCACCGATCCCAGACCTCTCCAGAATGGCCGGGGAACCGAACGTTCCAGCAGAGACAACAACCAGTTTTGACGCTCTTACAATGCTCGACGACTGATCCGTATCTGGGCAAGACACTGGGTCGCTGGAGAACTCGACACCTACAGCACGCTTGTCTCTTTCGTTTGAAAAAAGTCAACCGGGTGCTGAGGTTGCAATCTCAGATGGTCACGTACTCGAAGATGATACGCTTCACGCGCTTTCCGTCCCAGACTTGCAAATTCGGGTTGTGAGCTTGGTTGTAGACATAGTGGTGAGCTGCGTCGGAACGCCTTCCGGTCGTCCCGTCGATGTATCTTGTGTACATGAGCCAAGAATTCGCAATGGCCTAAGAGTGCAGGAACTCACTTCCGCCATGGCTGAGATAGATCTGGTAAATTGTCAAAGTTGGGAAAGAAGCATCGTAGCTTACACTGTATGTATTGCATGTTTCTAAATCATTGGTGTCGTCGGCATACTGCCTCTTGTGATAGGTCGTGCCAACCTGGATGAATTCGTCGGCGAGACCCAACTTACACCCACCAGATGAAACTTTGATAGGTCCGTCATAGCCGTGAGTTGGATGATCGGGCTGGACCTCATATGTCTCCAGCTATAAAGCGAACGTATAAGCAATTCGAACGAACATTGTGAAAACGAATTTAAGACCTTCTTCATGAGGGGAATCAGATTTTCAGATTCCCAACCATCGACTCCCCAATCGTCATAGTCCGAAGCAGGTGCACGGGTGTATACCATGACTGTCTGATTATCAAGGTCTTCTTCATTATGGCAAGCATATTACGCACAATTCACACATGAGGCTCCACCAACGCAACGACCGGAAGGGACGATCGGCGCACGGCCGTTGAGACGAGGAGATGGATTTCCTATGTGGAATGCAACTGTGGTGCTCGTCGGTGCTTGGTTGAAGGGATATTGGTAGGGTTGGACATGAATGGGTTTGTGGAGGGTGTGTTGACCCGCTTCCAAAATCAAGATTTTGAGCGAGGGATCATATGCAGCTAAGCGACCTGCGACAACACAGGCTGTAGTACCGCCTATACAGAGTAATGTGTAGCTGAAGAGGGCAAACCACTACAAGATTATATCTGCTCACCTCCAGCAAAAACGATGTCGAATTCTAACAGAATTGGCTGAGACATTAAAATGGAGGGTTCCTTCCAGATTGCCCCTCGCAAGTTCCACTTTTTAATCTTGACCGAAGCGAAGCCTATCTTGGCGCCCATCGGGAACTTGCGACTTCAGTCTGCTTTCACTACATGATGTGAGAACCATACGGGGTGTGTATGTGTGTGATAATGCATGATTATAAGAGGGATGCTTCTCGAACGACAATGCCATTTTCAAGAATCGAGCATTTGTCGGAAGTTTTTGTACGGCATTTTAATCCATTAAAATGGTCTAACTTAAATGATACTATTGTTTACGATGATCTCGTCTTTATCTACTTACGGCTAATCACGGACCTCTCTGTTGAACTCAGTATAATTAGCCTGCATGGTCGATGATTTGGAGAATACAGTTCCATAGATTTGAGGGATGCTTCCTACGCAAATGTCCGGTGCTCTGATGCATTGTTTACGGCGCGTGAGCAGTCAGGTCCAGAGAATGCTCCTCTAACGATACTATCAAATACAAGTGATGCCCAATTCTTCAGCAATGATCATCGCAGCCCGCTCTCCGATGAGAAGTGCCGTCGAGTACGTGTTCTGTACATATCGTGAGATCGCACATCAACAGTCCTATGTCCAGTACCCACCGTTCCAACGTTCAATGGCGAAATTGACAGATCTGCGACCTTCAGGTTCGACACTCCATATACATTAAGCCGAGCATCGACGACTCCCTGATCTGCCTCCGGTTTCATGGCACAAGTCCCAAGCTACAAGTACAAACATCAGATATGAAATCATCGAAGGTTCAACCGCACACACCGAGTGCCATGTCGTTTGCACTGATATTCAATTCAATATTTCACTGTGACAATGGAAATTTCAAATGGGATGCCAACACTTACCGATATCGCGGTGGAATCGATCGATCGCCTCGTCATCTTCGGCAGTGTAAACGATGTCAGGCGCATTCAAGTCCACTGGCCCGGAAGCTTCTCTGCAGGCTGCAGCGCTTCCCTCCGGGAAATCAGGATGGCCAGCAGCGACTTCACCTCGGTAGGAAGCCATGCGTCGAAGAAGTTCGCGTGTCTTTTTGTACCCGAACTTAAGAGGAACGATATCGGATGGACTGGTCGGAGTGTGGTGGTTATGCAAAGTGCCCTAAAGTGAAATGCGTCCACTCACTCGTCTAGGAAGCCTGTAGTAAAGTCCATTCGTTCTTTTCCGTCCTCTGTCACGTTGACATGGACACTTCCAATAGACACGGGGTAAAGCTATTGAAATAATTCAGAGAAAACCATGGGGTAGACAGAGGGCAGTACTGTACAATGACAAGCGGTCATGTAGTTGCGTGGAGGTAGGATACTCGACAGCGGCCTCGACAGCGGTTGAGCATATCTGGCTGCCATGAGCACTGCCAAATCATCAAAGCTAAGCAATGCGCACGCACCCTGCAAAAACATACAATATGGCGACAGCCTTGTCTGGCCGGTCCTGGAAGAACTCCTTCCAGCGTGATTGAAAAGCTGGATCCATGGCTTTCAACTCATCGTCATCAGGACGCCACTTGATTTTGGAATCGAAGCCGCTGAGATTCCAATCAGCACGATGCCAGAAGTGATAATGATCACTTGCACCAACTTTTGTGCAATCAATGACTTGCCGCTGCTGTCCCATTCTGCGAGGCTTTCTGCATTTCGGTGGTTGTAAAGTGCTGCAATCGCGGGGAGAAACATGCTTACCCTGCAGGATACTGTCCCCACGCCAGAGGGCGTCCATGGTAACAGCCTCGTCAGCAGCCAAGTAAGGAACAAATGTGAGATTGTGATCTAACCGTCCTAAGCCAAGCTCATAGAATAGATAGATCAAAGTGCACCTTGATAATTTTCTCCGACGCCAGGCAAATTCACTAGTTGCTCGATGCCGCATCGCTTGAGGATCGCCTCGGCACCGATCCCAGACCTCTCCAGGATGGTCGGGGAGCCGAATGCCCCAGCAGAGATAACAACAAGTTTTGATGCTCTCGCAATACTCGACGACTGATCCGCATCCGGGCAAGACACTGGATCGCTGGCAAACTCGACGCCTACTGCACGCTTGTCTCTTGATTGGAAAAAAAGTCAACCGTTTGCTGGTGTTGTGATCTCAGATTGTCACTTACTCGAAGATGATGCGCTTCACGCGCTTGCCATCCCAGACTTGTAAATTCGGGTTGTGAGCTTGATTGTAGACATAGTGGTGAGCTGCGTCGGAACGCCTTCCGGTTGTCCCGTCGATGTATCTTTTGTGCATGAGCCAAGAATTCGCAATTGCCTACGAGCGCAGGAACTCACTTCCGCCATGGCTGAGATAGATTTGGTTAGTGGTCGCAGTTAGGAAAGGATAACATAGCTTACACTGTATGTATTGCATGTTTCTAAATCATTGGTGTCATCGGCATACTGCCTCTTATGATAGGTCGTGCCAACCTGGATGAATTCGTCGGCGACACCCATCTTACACCCACCAGATGACACTTTGATAGGTCCGTCATAGCCGTGAGTTGAACGATCGGGATGCACCTCATATGTCTCCAGCTATAAAGCGCACGTATAAGCAATTAGAACGCATGTCCTGGAAACGAATTTGAGACCTTCTTCATGAGAGGAACCAGATTTTCAGATTCCCAACCATCGACTCCCCAATCATCATAGTCCGAAGCAGGTGCACGTGTATATGCCATAACTGTCTCATCATTAGAGCATCGCTCATCATTGCAAGTATGCTACGCACAATTCACGCATGAGCCTCCACCAACGCAACGACCGGAAGGAACGATCGGCGCACGGCCGTTGAGACGAGGAGATGTATTTCCTATGTGGAATGTGACCGTGGTGCTCGTCGGTGCTTGGTTGAGGGGATATTGATACGGCTGGACATGTATAGGTTTATTCAGGGTGTGTTGACCCGCTTCCAGAATCAAGATCCTGAGCGAGGGGTCATATGCAGCTAAGCGACCTGCGACAACACAGGCTGTAGCACCACCTACACAGATATGTAGCTTAGGAGGGCAAATCACTACAGGATTATATTTGCTCACCTCCAGCAAAAACGATGTCGAATTCTGACGGGATTGGCTGAGACATCAAAATGGAGGGTTCCTTTCAGATTGCCTCTCGCAAGTTCCACTTTATAACCTTGACCGAAGCGAAGCCTATCTTGGCGCCCATCGGGAACTTGCGACATCAGTCTGCTTTCACTATGTAGGACATGATGTGAGAAAAATACGGGGTGCGTACGTGTGTGATGCTGCGATTATAAGAGGGATGCTCCATTACGACTTTCGAACGACAATGTCATTTTAGAATCGGCTTTGTTTTGATGATCGATTTTTTCCCTGTCATTCTCGTGGTAAGGTGTATACCCCGTGAGCTTCACACGGCATAGGATGTTCCATTTTCTGATCTGTGTCGGAATCGGAACAACTGTATTAGGGCTTCAAGAATGAGTCACGTGAGATGCAGCCAAGATCGCCAACTCGTTGCGTGTACGTCGCGTCCTTGTGAATTGCAGTGTAATGCCCTCTCTATCCGACCAGATTGACCACCTGGCCTCCCTCTCGAAATCAATTAAAGCCAGTGCTGATGGGTTCCCCACTTCAGATGGGCTCTTTACAACAGCTGTCCTTAATACTGCTCTAGGTGATCTGATTCGTGACATCGACTCATCCGAACTCGGGCTCTTCACACTGGTACACCCACCATCTCATGTACCAACTGAGTCTGAAGCGAGAGGTGTAATATCCCGTGTAGAATTTTCTGGGGCTACGCCTCTGAAGAAACCACCTTCTCGAAGGCAGGAGATGACAAAACCGAGAGAGTATGAGCCAGAAGTATATGCCCAGGCTGCATTAAAGTACTTGGATCGGTAGTATGTTTTGCATTTTTCTACCGCATATATCCTGTTTCAAACTGTCTTGTGTTGTATTTCAGTCACTCAATTCGCCCAATGCCTCGTGCGCGATCCCAGGTACAGGGACTTATAAACAGGCTGGATGAGGCGCGACGGAATATCAGAAGTCTTAGTGAAACATTACAGCAGGTTTGTATTGTCAATATTTGGCCTCAAAGTTTTTGATGTTCTCCGTATAGTTAACAAGCAGCAATCCCGCATCAGACCCCAGCTCGCAGGAGTCCACTGCGGCAGACGAGGAACGGCGCATACAAGATCTCCAGGCTCGTCTTACCGAACTGCGTAAACAGGTGTGTACCTGTCATGTTCATGCATCCTTTAAATTCACACCTTGACAGAAAGATGACATCCTTCGCACCTCCAATCCTGCGCCCAAGTCCAAGCCCGCGCCGAGACTGGCTAGGGCTCCTTCACCTCTCACTGTACCTGAAGCTCAGGAAGAGATGTTCTGGAATACGCCTGCCGCATCTGCGCGGACGCTTCGCTTCACCGAAAAGCTCATGGATGAGGAGGTGGACATCAATGACGTATCAGTCATGTCCTTCACGAGCCCGGTTCCTCGTCCTCGGTCCGTATTATCATCGCTAGGTCTTCCTGTGGACGACGATTGCCTAGATAACGGAGAACACGATATTGAGCAGGACGATTCTGTGGTACCTGATCCATCAGACAAGCTCGAGGAAGAACCCCCAGGCAGTGAGCTGGAGGTGGATGATGGAGAGGGAGAACAAACAGTGGTGCTCAAGATGCTGCCTTCATCGTTACTACCAAATACCACGCCGCCAGAAGGCACTACGCCTCCTGAAACACCGTTGCCTGCAATTTCAGAGTTGCAGACTCCTGCAGGACCTCCTGAGTCCGCCAGAAAACCAAAAGTGCGCATGAATGTGGAGATCGAAAAGATTGTGGCAAGTATCCTGGTCATATAACCCCAAAACGCATTGAACTGAAGCAGCGTTTGATAGGTGAAGATATGGAGCACAGTGGGCGAGATCATCATGCCGGGCCATCCTTTCGACCCCACGGGATCAGGAAGCAAACCTCCAAGGGCAAAGGAAACTCTGTACGTTCACTTCATTTTTTTCATATCTAATCTACTGACATATCCTAGTGCCCATCTCGAGTCTCTCTCCTCTCAGACCCCCTCGCCTACATCCCCAACTGCATCCTCATTTTCATCGCTTGCGCCATCTATGATCCATGGCCAGCCTACCTCGCAACAGATCACAACCTGTCAGCTTTTGCTCACTCTACTCAAACAGCCCGGCTGCTCGATGTCGCTCAATAAACTCAAGGAAGCGCTAGCGGAAGGTGGTGGTAGCGCGGGTGGCACGCGGACGATCTATGCCTGTGTGGCAAAGAAGCTGATCAAAATTGAGCGAGGGAGCGGGGAGCAGGTCGTCAAGTTTGACATTTGATCGATTTGATTGCCTTCGGCTGCTGCTTTCATTGACGTAATGTAATGAAATTCTCTCGGGGGGGGGGGGGGGGGAGCGATGCTACCCTCGACCTTGTTTACGCATCCGCCAACATCGGTGAAGGGAATGTACGGTGAGATACACAATTTGAACGCCTTCGTCAATGTTCGTGAACTGGCTGAACCCAGGTTAAGCTTTGGGTCAGCCACCACGATCGCCATTGGATATATAATCTTGACAGGCAACCTGGTGGTTGAATTAGTTGCGAACGATATGTACTTTGTGGACACTTAACCAAGGAACAAATTTTCAAGAATCATACCGTGCGACGGACGATGTGCACCAATTATGATGATAGGTTTCCCGGCATACTTGCCATTCCCATGGGGTAAGGTGACCTAGTCCTGCAAGCTGTTGTGTATTACAAGGTAAAGACGATGGGTATGATGCCAACCTGCACGGAAGCCGCTTGGTCGAAAGAGATATTCCCCTGGGTATAGAGAAGAATTAGTGCGCGGGATCTCTGTTTTGTTGTGGCCTACGAGGCCTTTACAGCCAAGTCAGCAATGGTGCAGTATTGTTGGAAGATAGAAAACTTGTTACACGTGTACGCTTCTGTTGCAGAAACGTTAATATGGTCCTAATTACTATCTTTGACGTCACTTACACCCTATTCCCTTACTTGAAATCAGCAACGACTTCCGCAGTGCTACCAGCCTCTTCACCGATGATTGCCGGGTAAGACTTCAAGAAAATGAACATTTTTATGGATTTTTCCAATCCAAAAGGTTCAGAGGATTCGAAATCGCCAAGGCCAGGTGCGTCGACTCCCTAGGACCAGCCACGAAACCCTCGCCCATACCAGGAAGCCACAGAGCGCATTGAATTGACATCATGGTTAAATCCTTGCTATTTTGGGAGAGATAGCGAACAAGGGATGTGGTTCATACATGAAAAGCTCCTGCAAGCAAGTGAGCAGATATCAGTATGATGTGAACTGCTGACAAGTGGCGCTGAGCACTCAGACACAATGTACTTGTATCAGCAAGCTATCATCAATATTGCCATGGTGAAAGATCCATTGTAGCAAGAAACCTCGCAGACAAGGGCATTTCACTCCGTGTTTGGATTTATCGTGTGAGTGCATTGTGTGCGCTTGGAATCGAAAGCTATTGCCAATTTGTCAAACTCTGAGATTTGCCCCGGAGGAGTCAGGGACTGGCCTGCCATCGAACGCTGCCACAATTTTTTGTTCCATGGCCTGATGGACAACTCTATGAGCCACCATCAATTGTATTGCGTGAGAAAACCAGCCAGTATCCATGTCCCGTGTCTTTCGCCATTGGAATCCCCAATAACAACGAGCACGGGATATGGTCCGGGAGCATACTTTTGGGGGAGAACCCTTCCATGCCATGGGCCATCGAGCGCAGCACTTGTCGACGCAGATCATCAGGAGCTGCATAGCACCGTTACTTCGGCAACGTTATGGCTTATCACCAGAGGATCAAAAGGATTTGACTCGTTCATTAGTCGTTGAATTAAACCCCGACACGCGAACGAACGTATCGGTGTACGCTGCATGCATGTGCCATGAAATCATGCAAAAAATGATTAGAACTGAAGGATCGCCGCAGCTCCCTGCCAAAATGAGATTTCCCTTGTTCCACATGACTTGAGTCTGTGGAGTAGATCCGCCTGCCAAGGGATCCGAAATAGACAGCCGCTGATGGCTAGGACTCGCTTATAAGCTGTTGATACATTGTAGACGGAAAGAAAACGAATGGCAATGTTTACATGTGCAACTGGCAATGTTGTTGATGTGATGATCACGATGCTGGCATCGTTGTCAATGAAAATGAATTACTTATACGAAGCCTTGTTATGCAACGTGCTCGACCAAATTCCCAGCTCGTGCAACTGTGACGCGCTTCGAGCTTTTCTATCTCTATCCACGACCTTGTATAAGTGCTAGCTTGTAAAAGGTCTTTGCGGTTTCATTACGCGCTATCGAGCCAGGACGTCGTTTCAGCAGTCTTCTAGTAATCTTGGTAAACATCTCCACCGACTTAACTGCCTTTTGGCTAATCATATAAATAATAATACGAAGATGGGCTCTGCAAACGCACAGCGCAAGGGCGTTTGGGAGCCCTTGCCGCTCATCGTCTATGGCTATGCCGTCCATCCACTATCACCCTCCAAACGCGATACCAGACTGTCAAGTCGTCGGCCCATGTCGACTATTACAGAGGGCTCCGCAGATGAGAGTGGTGTACACAGGGATGTGGTCTCCCTCGAAGTTGGCGATGAGGTCTATGCCTTCGAAAAGTATACCCCAAGAGGAAACCAAGCGGATGGCATATGGTACAGAGGGTGCGTTATACTGATAACGGAATTCTCGTATCGTCTGGAGTGCTTACTACTGTAATAACATACAGCTACGTAGTCTGCACTGCCCGCCTTCCACCAGTCACCTGGTCTACATCCTCTGACCCAACTTCATCTTCATCCGCCAAACCAGTCAAAACCGAGGAACCGCAACAGGTTTTCATTGGCATATTTCCTGCATCCCATATCTTTGTCCGTGATGAGCTCTCAGACGCCGAAGGACGTCTGCCAGATCTTGTCACTTCCCTTACGGCCAGCATCTCGAACCACAATGGCTCAGTAACCAGTGCAGACTACCTTGCACAATGGAAGCGTGAGCGCGCAAACTCAGGTCCAGAACCTCCTCGCGATCACAGAGATAGAGACCGGGAAGTCAGAGAACTGACATATGACGATGAACGCAAATCATTCAAACTTGGGCCCCCGCCAGACCAAGCCAAGTCCACTCGTGCTGCCCTTGTCGTATATCCTGCGAGCATACACTCCGTTCCAGAATCCGAAAATATGAAACCCCTTCCTCCACGTCCATCTTTAAAGTCAGGTGATGATACAGCCTCTGGTGCGATGCAGCCCATCATCGACGAGATTGCTAGCGCACTTCGAGAATGGCATAGCATGATGTTCCAGTACCTCGCAAGGCGCGATTACAAGCTCTTCCATACAGTTCGCGAGCATATTGAAGCGCTCCACCTTGGACGAAGACAGTTACTTGCGCAAACATTGAGCGCAGAGGAGACAGTCAGTCTGAGGAGGGATTGCGTTGCGCGCCTGGTGAGCGGCAATGTGGTGCAGGATCTCGACATTATCGTTCGCCATCCGACATGGGGTGCACTAGTAACAGTGGATGTAGAGGGCGAGATCGACCCTCGCAGCTGGGTCAGCGCTGTGCGGATGTATGCCATGCAAACTTCTCTCGCATATATCAATGTACCCTTAGACAACTCATCCAAGCTTACCATCGGACCTTCCGAATTCTCCACGATACCCACACCCACCCTTGCACATTCTGCATTCCCTGATATATCCCGACACAAAACCATCTCCCGGCAGGTCGGTTCCCTGGGTCCACACCAGCCTGAGAAGCCAACTGCAGCTAAATTTTACCACATTTTCCTTGATCTCCGCGCTTTTGTTGCAACCCCTTGTGCACCAGGCGAGACGGCCGAGCTTTTCTTTTCGGTCTACAAGCACTCTGAATTCCCGCGGTTCGTTACCGAAGAGTGCTGCATCGTACTCAATCACAACGGTGTGCTGTCACGTGACCCCAACGCCCGCATCCGCTCGCTCTTTACTGATATCGCGCAGTCGGATGCGCAAGATCCGCTATTCCTGGTTTGTCGTATCGTGCGGAACGGCGCGCTCAAGATGAATAATACTATGGGATCAGGTGCCCCTGGTGATGGCGGGCGTAGGCCGTCTGAAGTATCGCTGTCTGATGTCCCATTGACACCCTCCCGTACGACTTTGATATCGGATGTCCCGATGAACTTCCGTCGGCCGTTTGGTTGCGCAGTGCTCGAGCTATCACAGCTCACGAAGATGATGATCGATGGTACAGATGTGAGCCCGATGAAGGAGTACAGCATGCAGATCTTTGTGCCTACCAATGAAGCACTCTTCTCGATGTTACATCAGGACATCATCGCAAATAATTCGAAGGAGTTCGAGAAGCCGCCAAGGTGAGCATAACGATATCGATTATCCGTTTACGTGTCCTGACGTTGCGACCAGGGCTGCGATGCTTGCTGTTTCTGTGAAGATATTCCATGGCGACTCATCTACCATTATCAGAGAGAATATGTCTCTTCTTCAAGGCATCCCGTTGACCCTCCGACTTGGATTCCCTGATGTGGTGTTTCCCGGAGATGTGCGCAACGAGCTCTACATCAAGTTATGGACAGGGGACTTCCCATCCTCCCCCAGCGGTTCCGCACGACTCAGCATGGTCAATTTCACGCGTCCTGGTCCAGTGTCTCAGAACGCTCAGGTATCGATCGAAGTCAGAGATCAAGAAGGTCGCACCATTGAGAATGCCATATCTCTGGGTAGTGGCGAGCCCAATGTAACTCAGTTCCATTCAATGGTTTTCATGCGTAACAATCAACCGACATTCGGCGAGCTCATCAAACTCCAGCTTCCACTTCGCGGGATTCCCAACTGGCACCTGTTCTTTACATTCCGGAATCGTTCTGGACGAGGGCTCAATGCGGATAAGCCGTTCGCGTTTGCATTTCAGCCACTCTTCCCCGGTCAAGGAGCATTTTTGGAAGATGGGAGCCATACTTTAGTACTGTACCGCGCAGATAAGCTCCCACAAATCACGCCGGACATGTATTTGGCGTCGTCACCGTGGGTACTCCCCGGACAGCGCCCTGAGCAAGTTCTCGTATCGCCAGACTTGCTGAGGCTGGCTTCGCCTATGAGAGACACCGTCATCATACGGTCATCTCTCTGTTCCACAAAGTTTACACAGAACCCTGTGCTCATGAGTTTACTCAACTGGGAGGAAATCAACGACAAGGAACTACTGCAGACCGTCCTTACCAAGTTTACCTTCGTGGGCGAAGGAGAAATCGTCAAATTCCTCAGGGACATCTTCGATTCGCTCTTCGGTATCATGGAGTCGCAGAACAACCAGGCCGGTGAGATGGACCATCTCGTCTTCAATGCCCTGGTAACTGTCCTCGGTATCGTGCAAGATCGTCGATTCAGCAATTTCCAGCCCGTCTTGGATGTTTACATTGAACAGCATTTCAATTGCGCTGCAGCTTCTTCGCACATGATCCGCTCGATGGACCGTCTACTGCGTAATCCAACTGGCAATGACTCGGCCTCGCCTTTACGCGCAGCGCTCAAGGTTTGGCATTATATTTTCAAGTTCATCACGCGCGCACGAGAACTCAAGAAGAGCACTGAGTTGGGCATGGGTGATGGAGCAACCGCTGAGCACTTGGAGGCGATGTTCAAAAAAGAAATTCGTATTCATCTCACTGAAGTTAACAAGATGATGGCGACTACGTCACCAGCGTCTATCATCGGCGCACAGACCATTGCATTGCAGCACTTTACTTCCATCCTTCCAGAACTTGCCAAGATCATCCCCACCATCGAACTTGTGACGGTTGCTACGAACTTTGTCAATGCCATCTCGACTGGCAAGGGCAAAATTATCATATGGCGGTTGATCATGTACTTGCAGATCGTCAAAGGTTTCTTGTTCGATAACCCCAACTCGCGATCATTGCTCGTTCAAGCTGTCGTTATGTGGATCAAGCCTCACTTCGGCCGCTATGATGAGTTCACGCAGACCACTACAGCGGATTCTGATAGCGTGCGCGATGCAGCAAGGGTTAGCTGGTTGGAATCTATCAGGCTTTGTGTGACGATTCTTGCGGTAATGCTAGACAAGTTACAACTGCAGTTGGTGTCGTCATCGGTTATGGCGAATCGCAATTTGTTCAGGCAGGAACAGGAAAACATCGAGTATATACTTATGCTCATGCCGAGGTACGTATTCTCTCTACTAGCATAGTTATGATGTATTCATGGTCTTGCAGGCTTCTAGACTCTTATCGCGAGTTTCAGAATCCGGCTAATCACCGTGCAGTGGAACGGACGCGCACTCCAACCACAACTACCGCTGCAGTACCTATTACATTCCCGGAGTCTTATCCATTTTCTCTCATGGCTTTATTGCCCAATGCTCCCCGGAATGCTACCAGCACATCGCTGACGCACGAAGATAACTTGCTCTTCAATCCTGGCTTGGGCGAGACAGCCATAGTCCTCCTTTCCCTTGTACTCTCGGCTCCGACGAAGCACATCTACAATTTTTTGGAGTCTAGTTATGACATTGAAGGGAAAGAAAACTTCGCCAGTCTGCTGACACAGTTTTTCAAGGTTGCAACATCTATACTAGAGAATGATGCCTTCCCAAGCAACTGGTTGAATGTGAACATCCTGACGCACAAGGTGTTGATCAAGATGATGGATCCTGTTGCCACGCTTCTAAAGCGGATTTTCATACCCGCACCGTCAGCATCGCATCAGTTCAAGGCGGAACTGTGGAAGGACGCTTTCTTCATGTTGCTGAAGCTTTTATCATCAGAGCAGCTTGTAATTGAAGATTTCAGTCCACAGGCACGTATGATCGTATTCTGTATTATATGTTCTCACGTTGGGATTCAGAAACGGCGTGCCGTATGGCGTCTGGGAGGCGATATTCGAGGTGAAGGTGCAGACATACTGCTTCGGTTATGGGAGGCCCTTGCCTGGCCAGAACCGACAGAATCCAGCTCTGTCTCCCAAGGGGTGCGTGTTTTCTAATACCGGATCTTATCTCAATTACTTGACAATATTCAGGGTTACCAAGCGGTACTGAGCTCGTTGATCGGGTACATCGTAAATCTCTGTCTTAGTCACCACGACCAGCTAAGAAACAATGCGGTCGGGATCTTGTTCGGTATGATCATTTCAGAATACCATCAATACGGCCACTTTGACCAGATCGAGACGGAACTGGTCAGGAAGCTAGATTCCCTCTTCATGTCCCAGTCCAAGGGCGATGACATCTCTCGCGTGTTCTTCATTGCACAATTACGGCACCTATTTGAGTCGTCCGAGGTCGACGATCAACTTAGGGAGCGCGTCTCGGCTTTCCTTGATTCGGTAGATGCCTTCCTCAAGCTTCTGCTTAACGTTCGCAGACTGCCTGAGGGCGAAGAGTTTGCCGATGACCGTGTGATTGCCACTGTGAGTACCTTTTATATCCATTGAGCACCCGAACAAGATTTTCAAATACTTTCTCCTCCCAGCTGCGCCTGATGAACTTCATCCGCGACATCGGTAGGGAAGAGATGTACATCAAATACGTGCACCAGTTGGTCAACGTGAGTCATTGTGTTGTTAAGGATTAATTTGTACTGATATGTTCGAAGGCCCACCTACAATCGCAAAATTACGTGGAAGCTGCGTTGACTCTGAAGCTCCATTCTGATTTGCATAATTGGGATCTTTACTCGTTTGTGGGACCCATGGAGGACCTTGGGCTGCCTCAACAATCACATTTCCATCGGAAGGAGACCCTGTGCTTATTGATTTTGGATTACTTGGGTGAGTCCATCGCACAGCTCCCATACTTTCCGATGGATCCTTAGTATTGTGTAGGCAAAGGCAAGGCATACGAGAGCGCAATCGAAATTTGTAAAGAGTTGGCAAAGCAACACGCTGAGGTTACATTCAACTAGTATGTACTTGCGACATCTCGCTATCTATTGACTGATTCCGATCATCTTTGTAGTGCGCGGCTGGCAGAAATTTTGCGTCATCAGGCTGCATTGTTCGAGCATATCATCACAGACCAGCGTTACTACTCAGACTATTTCAGAGTGGTATTTTATGGAGACTTCCCTGACGCCTTGAGGAATAAACAATTCATCGTACGTCAGTCATAGCCTGTCTTTGATATATTCACTGAAAATTTGGTATGCAGTACCGTGGATACGAATGGGAGAAATTTGGCACTTTCTGCGAGCGGCTGCTTAACAAACACCCGGGCGCTCAGTTACTAAAGAGCGACCCCACAGTAGATCAGCGATTTGGCAATGATCAGTACGTCCAGTGTACTGCTGTGACTCCCGAACCGGACCGGACCCTTCCCATTTTCACCAGTCCCGATGTCCCACTAGCTATTCGTAATTACTACGAACACAGGTTAGTTCCTTCATTTCACCGAGCTGTGCGCAACTAATGATTCCGGACAGTGCCATCAATGTCTTCAGCTCCACTAAGCAAATAACAAAGTTTGATCGCGATGGCAATGAGGAGATATGGCTGGAGAAGACGTCCTTCACTACCGAACAAGCTTTCCCCACTGTCCTTCGGAGATCGGACATTACAGAATGGGAAGTAGCCGAAATATCGCCTGTAGAAAATGCTCTCCATGAGGTCGAACAAAAGTCGAGGGAACTAGCCTCGTTCCACCTGCGGTATGCCGCTCTTGCAAAAACTGCCCAAGTCTTCTCGACAAATGCTCTTTCTATGAGCCTCAATGGAGCTGTTGACCCGCCTGTGGATGGACTTCCGGCTTATCGTGAAATATTCTTTGATCCTGCGTACTCGGCCAAGCACCCTGATAGGGTCGAAATGATCCACCGTCTCAGAGCCGCAATAGATGACCAGGTGCGTTTGAGGATCACTGTCAAAAAGCTGCCCAGTTTGTTTACCTAGCGATATAGGTGCGGGTGACAGACAGCTGCCTGAAATTACATGGTCAGATCTGTCCACAAGAGATGTTACGGTTCCATCAAACCTTGGAAGAGCTCTTCAGAAAAAACTTTGCCGAAGAAATACAGCGTATAGCTGCAGAAAACGGTTTCCAACACCTCCCACAATCGTCTGCCGCCTCAGTACGGGCTCACGATCAAAACTCGTTGTATGATAATCATTCCCATCAACGGTCGCTGTCTATTTCATCGGGACGACCGTCCTTTGGATTCCCTCTTTCAGTTGGTGGTTCATCCATGAGCCCTCAACCAATTTCACCCCTATCATCGCGTCCCCCAGTCTCTTATCATCATGAAGGCGTCAAGCGCACCCCGTTGCAGGTGCACGCTGCACACGTTGCCCGTCACGGCATCAACGGAGTGTTGACTAGCTGGCGAGATACTCCAAGTGATGCTAACACAGGCTCTCCACGAGACTCATTGATCACGGTTGGAAACACAGGCCCAGGACACTCTGGTGCCTCTGTGACGATGTCGACTATAGGGAGTGTGAATTCTATCAAAGGCCGCTTATCATCACGATTTGGCAGTCTTACGCGTAATCGTCGAGGTTGATACCAGTCTAGTTGTTGTACACTTAGTTTCCTAGTTTCAGTATTTCATTCCTGGATTATCTACTACATGTCGAACTTGTTTGATTCCTGCTGTCCTTCGTTTTCACTGATACCTAGTTCGCTGTTCGTATTGAATACAGTTACACTGATTGATACCCCAATGGATTACATGCCAATACAGTACATTAGGAGAGGTGTAACGGTGATTACAATGGCCCATACGAATATCAAAGCATGGCTCTCCAGAGACGAAAAGAGTGATGATACAATAGAGGGTAAGAGAGAAATAAAGATAGGATAGAGCACATAAATGATGACGCAAGGATAATGTATAGCACGGATGAGTAGAATGAATGATCATGCGACTTGACTAGCCAAGGAAGTATTCATGCTGTGCTCTCGCAACGTCTGGAATTCGAACGAGTCATAGGTGTGCATGGCATACTGGGGGATGGAATACATGTCGAAGGGTTCGTGGGAGGGAATGAAATCAAAGGCAGGACGCTGCTGATGGTCGGCAGGTACACTTGAAGGGATGGTGATATTGTCCCGACTTTGCAAGTCCCAAGGCGGATTGTGGTGGTAAGCGCTAAGCGGTGACATAGGTGACGGCGCATTGGCAAGTGCCATCGAGGGATCTACGGGATAGTGCAAAGGGTCCATGCTCGGGACGAAATAAGATTCGTGGCCTGGATAATACCTGGGAACTACATCTGGGTTCACGTACACTGACTGGAGATGGTCTTCCGGCATGTGGTAGAACAGGGAATCTTCGATGGGTGACTCTAGCTGAGGCGATTGGCGCACACACGACGGTTGAGAAAACTGTGAGAAATGAGACTGGGACCCGTGCGATCCCTCCAAATGAACGCCATCGCCAAATGACGGACAGAACTCCAGTTTGGGTTGTATGTGGGTCCGCTGCGTGAGCGTCTGATAGGAAACTGACTGACTGCTTTCCTTTGTTGGAATAGGCCCAAAGTTGCTCAGGGACTGTAAGTCACTTGGTGAGCTAGTCTGGAGTAGGAATGGAAGGATACTGCTTACGTATTTGGATATAATCTTATCCAATGCTTGGGGAAGCAACTTCCAATCGAAGACCTTGAGATCTTTTTCGATCTTCCGCGGTTTGGGATCTGGGAAATCCATAATGCGCTGGAATAAACTTTCAAAACCTGGACGCGACTTTGAAACAGTGGTAGGCCGTAGGCCTTCAAGGTTCCGTCTAATACGATTCTTTTCCTCGACGACGAACTCTGCGGCGACGAGCCTCTGGAGCAAATGGATGATGTCAACGGACGTAACGCAGCATGAGTCAGTCTCGTCACGATAGATGCATGAGATAACAATGTCTTTAGCATCATAGTCGCCCGGTGAGATACGCTCTGCCGAAACGAGGAGTTTATTCCCGTCTCGGATACGTGAGAACCGAACAAGGCGCCTGCCAGCTTGCATTTCCAAATCATCCCAGTTATAGCAGAAGCTGTCAAGCACGACCATGATGTCGAGGCTTGCAGTGGCACCGTCTTCGGAGATATCGATCGCTTGCCTCATGCGCCGAAGACCCTGCGTTTGTGGTTGAGGGCGCGTCAGTGATTTTTGCACCTGTGACTGGCCGGCTTCTGAATCTGAAGACGATGCTGGGGTTGAAGGACGGCTGTATGGCTTAGACCGTCTCCTTAACCTATCTGATGACTCCGGAAGTGAAGCAGCAACGGTAGGTGCAGTCCGTGTGAGGGCTGAACTATTTGACGAGAGACTAGGTGTGTGCTTTCGCATCATAGTAGTCGAATTTTTTTCACGCCCTGTTGGAATCTGTAGTCAGAATGCTGTCTCGGGATATTATGGCATTCATACCTGACTCCCAGTATGTGAATTCACCGAATGTGATAGAGTCTAGTACTGTCTTATCATCGGCCAAGGCCTGAATTGTCAAGGGTAGGTTTGGTGATGTAGCGTTATGCCGGGAGAACAGAGGAACGTTTGCCTCGAGTTGCCAATGCCCGTGGCCAGGTGGTCCAAGCTCACGGACCTTGGTACCCACGGCCCGTCGACCGACAACGAGACGAATGTGGGACCCGGCAGCGAGATCAGCAGTGCAATTGAAATTTACGACGACGGGAACGTTCTGTTCTCCTTCGGCGGGGGTATAACCTAAGACGTGCAGAATGCCAATGGAAGAAGAAGGAACGCTCGGGTATGAGCCGGGAGGCACTATAACGCTCTGGCGTCCGACTGTCGGACTGTTAAGGACATGGGTCTCGCCCCCGCTGGAAGGTTCTTGAGTGTCTTTAGACTGGATGCCGTATGCCGGCATGGACTGTGTGGTCATTCCTACTCGGATCAGTGACTTAAACTGTGGGCGTTGATGAGATAACCTCACCTAATTTATGCCGACAGACGGGTTCTAATAGTGGTAAGTGAAGTATTCTAAGTTTTAAAATGCTTCACAAGTGGCGAGTGAAGGAGGGAAGGAGGGAAGACCTTGAATTAGTGCGGCTGACTGAGTGGTCAGAAAGAAAGGAAGAGAGGGACGTGGAGTGGCTGACTGGAGTCAAAGTTGCGATGGCGAACAAAAAAAGGATTATTTGAGGGCAGACGTGATCGAATGTGGGGACAGAAAGAGTTACATATCAAAAGAGGCGAGATATATAGGAGGCGAAAACGTTGATTGTAAAATAAACTCGATACTATATTTAATATAAACTCGAGGCTATGATAAACGAGGAATAAAGGAGATGTATAAAATCGCTTGGCCTGTAAGCGTTCTATGGTATTTACAATGGACACACCGACTTGAATTTTGGCAATGGATCGTTTAGTAGCCTCGTGCCCATTCCTGCCTTTTTCGTCCCAAACAAGAGCATACCGCATTCGGTTTTATTCCAAATAGAAATTGTGCCTTGGGTCTAGTCAACGCCGATCCCAAGATAGCGACAAACAACAAACAACTTGGCACCTCAACGTCAACACTCAAAATTTATTTATTTAAAATTTTTGGTACAGCCTTCACACCACCAACTTCAACAGCTTCAATCCCATTATCAGAATTTACCTCAAATGATAGTGGTAAACCTTTAATGGCATAAACTGTCCTCGCGGAGTTGTCTATACATATCCACTCGGGATAATCTACCGATGAAAGCGCTCGAAAGCCTTCAAGAACAATAGACTGCGGAAATATCAAATAGAAAGTGAGGTCCAGCAGGACAATAGCTTAGCGACGGGCCAATGACTGACAGGGGAGAAACAGAAAACTACTATGAAGATGATCGACAATCAACCTGGTGCCTAGCGCGCTTACTAATTTTGTTTTACATGTTCAGTCCATACAGCGGCGTGTGCAAGAAAATCATGTGTACGATATTTTTGGCAAGAAGCTCGTTTGCATGTTTGACTTGAGCAGTTATCTCGATAAGTACGCAGACAGCGTACCGGTGGGACAGTAGCCACGCCACATGTCACCTCACTCACAGCCTAGTCCATATGAAAGGTACACAAGTGAGGGAACAGTAAGGGCGCACTACTATATACAAGCTGCAATGACGACTTAGCGGTTTTACTCCATCTGTGATAGTGCCGAGCCTATAGATGAACTCAAAAAAAATCAATGTTAGTTATTAGATTGGCATGAACTTGGCTGCGGTGATAAACTAGTCATGAAGGTGCATACTCTTCGCAGGCAATGCCGGACCGGACATACGTACGCTATTCCAAGAACACTTCAATCAAAAGAACACGTTGTGGCTCAATTGAATGCAGGGTCAAGCCTAAGCCCGTTAACTGCAGACTTTACGTATGCCAAGAATCACATATGCAATGGATCCTAGAGTGGCCACTGGTACCCAATCTCCCAAGCTCCGAAACACCTGGGTTATATTGGTTCAGCTGTGCATACACGTGACATGGCGTGATTCCCAATGTCCATCAGAATAATCCGCGGTTTGACTTCTCGCGGGGGTAGCGTCTGGATTGATGATGACACCATGATCGGGCTCATCTGCTTTGTTCGCATCGAGGTCAATAGGTTGCTGAGTGCCTCTGGGAATCCATAACCGCGCAGCTGGAGGAACGTGACCTTCTGCCGAAAGTACCCGTTCGCAACTAGTACACCGATCAACAAAAAGTCCTTGATAAGATACCAAAAGATGCTAGATAAACAATCAGCACATGAGCAATAATAAGGGTTCAATGTCTTACAACGAGCGTCTGAAGAGGTACTTGTGGGTGAGACTGAACCATTTTCGCGATATGCTGGGATAGTACTTGGAACGCGAGATAATCGGATTGCATATGAGGCAGCTTCTATTCAAAAGTGGCAAGTACATTGTAGCCACAATCAGAAGACAGGTTTTAAAAAAGTTAACCTATGCGTACCATCTCTCTGGGGCCAAAGACGGTTACACTCTCTATAAGAAGTGGATCTTCCAAGCAGGTGAACACAAGGGAGACGTAAGCGGTGAGTACATCTTCGATTGTGAATCGCAAGATTGCGGGACTAGTCAACTTTAGTCGCGGCGTGCTGTGATTCATTGATCGGTCAAGTTGTGGCGAACGTGTCCTGGACCATAGGCATAGTTTACATTTCGGCTGAAACGCTTCACTGGTCCCTGGGCTAGGATGTAACTTTATGTCACCCCGATTGAATTCTCGAATATATTCTACTAGTCCCTCAGCACGCAAGCAGGGAAGCTCATCATCAATATGTGGGAATAATGATGAAGTTCGCGGTGGCGGCGGTATGTAAGGCTGAGGTGAGCCAACTGGCGAAAGTGCTCGCCTAAAGATCCGGAAAGATGGAAAAAATAAATATATGACGTACGGTCGTGACAGAGGAATTTATTGCTTACTTCCGTTTGCGACTTTCTCTCTGGAACAAGCCAAGGTCGCTTTTATCTGCATCTTCGCTCTCGCGGGCAACCTTTAACGCTTCTTGGATTTTTTCAGAGCGCAGGGTGTCGGCTATACTTTTTAGAGTGCGGAAGTCCTGTGTTGGGGTAGTGTGGAATGGAGCTGCAAAGTCGTGGTCGGCTGGGTCAAATGAAGAAGCAAACTCTGGTTCATGAGATAGTGAAGATCCAGATGGATGCCTCAGTAGGAACGAAGGTATATGTCGGACAGACTGAAGACGAATGTGGAAGTCTGTAAGGGTTTGGATACGATCATGGGTGCTAGGTCCAACTTGAAGGTTCAAGGCAGTTTGAGTCACTTTTGTTGGAATGGGAGTTGTATCCACCCCCAACTCCAACTCCGAGTCTCCTGACATAGCTGTATAGAGAGCAGAGCTAACTTGTGCTGCCAGTGGTGTTGCTCATAATAGGAATTTCAACGAGTGGTTTGTGGCTGTGCCAGCATGTCGTACATGCTGTATTGTTTATCAGATTCCATCTATCAACTTGTTAATGACTATCGTGCTGCTGGACTGTGGACAGATATCGCGGTGGACACCTCAAATCCTTCATATATCGCTCTGGTTCAACCGTCATACCGCATGCATCAGAATCATCCCGGTATTTAGTTTCATTCAAGATGCTACCCCGATGCTTGCCAGACCACACCAACCTGCCTTTGATCGGCCTACGAGGAAGCAAGCGAAGTACGAATCCTGACGTCGCGCGAAAAACCGATGACAGTTCTCAAGGCTGTCCAGCAACGTTCTAATAGCATTCGCTTCTGACTCGGAACCCTCGAACTCCACTTTTAGCTTCTCATCAATGTCGTCATAGAGCCCGTCCATCTGGACTATCTGCACAAGAACGTCAGATGAAATGACAATCACCGACAGCGTTTACGCCAACACTCACCTCAGCGTCTGCCCATTCAATCAGCCCTAATTTGTCCAAGATCTCCTTCTCGTGATTTCTTTGATAATCTCCTTCCCCTAGCCATACACCGATATCTGCAAATTCATCACTTTCGCTGCTTTGTCCTGCAACAAAGCTTCCGTAGTAGTGAGATTCTGCGGTCTGCTGCGCTGCTCGAACGAGTTTTTCGAGGTAGAAAGTGACGTCTTGTGGGACAACGTCCGTGTAACTGGGAGCAATCGATGATGATTGTGACAAGAAAATAGGGGAATTGTGGTGGAAGGGCTCTAATTGCGCTCTGCTGCGAAGAAAAAGAATCTGTAGTGTCCTCACGGTAGCTGGTTGCGATTGTATGTTAAGTTGTTCAGCGATGGCGTCCGCATCTCTTTCAAGAATGTGTGAATCAAGCTTGACGGTGGTCATACAGGCCATAACTTGAGCGTCGGTGACTAAGTTAAATGTGGAGTCAAGAGAGTCGAAGTCATCATTATATAGTCTACACATAATTGCCAGTGATTCTTTTATACAACTCTGGCAGTTTTGCTACATGGGAACAAGGTGTGCCCTAGCTCGCCAGGAGTACTTAGGACGAATGCACCTTGTTACTCTATGCAAGGGAACTTTCGCAGGATTTTATTTGACGCAGGGAAGTGTTTCCAAGCTATCAATCCATTCAACACAATACAACAGTTGAGAGTGGGGTTGTCGAGGCTCCAAGTGAGAATACGAGAGATGTAGATACAGATGCGAGAGAGGGCAAGTATGTGTGACCACCAATTTAGGTTTCCAGGTTGCATTCTCGCAGTCAAGACAACTGAGAATTTGTTCCCAGATTAGTGCTGCCGTGGTCCGGTCCGGTCCGGTTCAGAGGGTCTTAGACGAGAACCAAGAACCGGACCATCGGTTCGGTTCTGCAAAATGTCCGAACCCAGAACCGGACCATAGAGAACGGTTCTCTATGGTCCGGTTCGGTTTTTTTGGGGTTCGAACCCGAACCGAACCAAAAAACAAAAACTGTAAGAGCACGCAAAAAAACATTGACATAGTACTAAGTAGTCTACATGTTGAGTAACTAATCTAATAGCATGGCTGCTCCCCCAATTACCATGCACGAGTGTTATCGGGGGAGCAATTGCAATAACGAGGGGTTGACACAACCAGAAATAGGAAAGCGGCATTGAAGGATGGCGATCATGAACATGGGTCGGAGATAGGTGGCGAGCGTGGGTACCATATACAAACAATAAATTTATTAGACACCGAAACAATAAAACACCATGACGCACCTTTGCAGCTGAGAGGTCTCCCCATCTAGAGTCGAGTCTACATGCGCTGCTGTGTGCTCTCCTTTTCTCTCTCTTTCCCCAGAGCACCCTGTTCCACCCACATCACGTTTGCGTTTACACTGGATGTATCCTAATCTTGAGTTAATAGTCTCGTTTTGATGTACTATTCTGGCTGCATGGCCTCGAACTGTCATGAAATGAAATTGTGGTTAATAACAGAGTTCAATATAATCACTTGATACATCGCGTCATAACCTCAAGACTTACTCAGATGTTCATTGAAACATCCTCATTGCCTCACAATAATCCACCCACTGCGCTGCATCTGCCAAAGACAGCGACTTCAGTTCCTTCATCGTTGGACTGACGCGTTCGGCTACGGCAGTGGCGAATAAAGTCATGCCACCTGCTTCAGAGCCCATCTCTCCGGACGTCCTGATCGCGATGTCTGATCGAGCCATGGAACACATGAAGTTGAGAAGCTTGATGGCAGGCTGTAATTGAAGAATATATTGGAAACATTCTGGCCAGCCATTGAAATACACGTACGATGCATTCCATGGTTTCTTGGTGCAAGTCCTTGGTGCTCAATTCAAGCTTTTTGAGCCACTCTGAGAATGGCACAAGAGGTAGTGGGTAACTTGTTACTTTACGCTCAACCAGGGCGTCTGCAATGGGCTGCATCAACGTCTTCCATACAGTCGGTCACGGATGCACCAGATTCACCGCGATGGGAGGTTCTTCTTCTGTGAAAGCTACATCAAGAATAGCATTTGATACTGGCATGGGGAGGGATCCAAGACACAAACTAAAATACATGTGTCACGAATAGATACCTTCGATAGTGATGGACTTACTCCTTTAGCTTCCGGAAGTGCGCCTAGACTAATGCTTGATTTGACGATGATTGGTAACCAGTTTGTCGTAGACCAAGCTCCTCGTGGGGGTGAAAAGAGACTGAAGGTGCTTGTTTGGAAGCATGCACTGAGTATGATGCGCGCCTTGACAGATTCTGCCAATAGTTGGTTGAAAATTGAGTCAGCAGCACATTGTGACAGCAAGTCATGTGAGAGTTTGATTGATTAGTACTTACCTTTAAAAAGGCTCAAGGTAGCCTGGTTAACCAATAGTGCAAATCCCGAAGACAACAGTTTGATGTGGAGACTGAAGTTGTCACAGTTGAAGTTGAAGTTGATAACGGTTCAGAATGGTTTGGCCTTGCCGAACCAGAACGGGACCGTTTGGGAAGACCTAGAACCAAGAACCGTTTTCCGGTCCGGTTCTGGCTGATGTGAGAACTGTGGACCAAACCGCGGAGAACCGGACCAAAGGTCCGGTTTGAACCATGGTTCTGGACCAAACCGCAGCAGCACTATCCCAGATACGGTGGGGTGGATAACATGTTGCGAGATCATATCTTTTTTGTACTGTAAGTTTCAGGAGGAAGGAGAAAGGAAGGACATCAGAGCAGGGTGTCCCATCAGGCCTAGGGAGGTCCAGGCGCAGTAGCAGGTGTCCTGGCGCGGTGGCAGGAGTCATGGCTCGGAGTCGGTAGTCCTCGCGCGTGTCGTAGCGGTCCTCTCGATAGATAGAGCCGTAACCTCCCGCTATAGAGGTCTGACCTCGGGTTCCCTTGCAGTCCATTCCCGTTACAACATATTCAACGTAATTGAAGTAGAGTGCCATGGTATGCATCAATTCTGCTGGGTTCATAAGCCTCGAGTTATGTAAACCATGCGCCGAGGCTAAGAAAAAGACGAAAAAAGACAGAGACCAATTGTGATGTCCTGAAGAAATTAGTCTCGTTCTTGGTCTGCAGTAAACTGCTCTCTGAATCTCCAGACAGGGTCCTAAATCAGTCATCCTGTGAGTGGTCGTGATAAATATAGTACTTGATCAAAAAGGCAGTCTTACAGAGAAATGATAGACCTCAGTCAACTGTCGTTACTTCACTTTTCTGCATGATAGCTTAACATTCATACTAGGAATAACAGAGCAAATTAGCATCGCTCACATTGATATTGAGGTTACAGTGTTAGTGATGGTCCTTCCGTTGACCTGCGATTTGAAAAAAGTAGGTTGCTAGGATGCTGTACGGGCCCCAGATGAGAAGCCATAGGTAAGTTGGCAATTGAGCAGGGAAAATATGGGAAGCCATTCACCTTCCTTTCTGATTGTACAGACCCTGAATATTTCAACATTTGAAGCAGTCAGAAGCGGGAGTCCTTAACTCCGCACTATTATGATAGAGCAGAAATTCTTATAGGGATTTTTCATGCTGCCATCGGAAGTGAGTAAAAGCATCACCTCCCTACCGAAGTCATGGCTGCGAGATGGTCAGATAAAAAGATGGGGAAGCACAATAGAGCCAAGACACTCACATCTGAAAGTTCAAGTTTCTGATGAGTGTTTCTGACACTGCTTGAGATGGAGTAGCTTCAAGTCCTGCAGTCGCAGTCTTTCATGTCTTGGATGGTGGCATGGATCGTAGCACCTGTTTCCTTGGCTTACATTGTCAGCTCACACCCGGCTCTGGGCCTTTCCTCAGCACATTTGTGCCTTTGTAGCACATACCTGCCGCTGAAGACATATTAGATGCAATACGCCTCAACTTGTTCCCTCCACTGTTATTTAGCTAGCTTTGTCTTGGTGGGTCTCTCCTGCACCTCCGCTAGGAAATGAAGTCTCAATCTTCATTGCAATTGAAGCTTGAAGTTCCGCGCACTGCCAGCCCGAAGGGCATCTTACCTGCTTCCTTGACTTGTTACAGATTCTTCATGCCTTTAAATGCTAGCTGTACCTTCGTGCATCGGGGGTTTGTAACTGGTGCTTCTTTGTGCCTGGCACCTGGCACCCTCTGTCAGGCCTCCGAGTCCTGAACTCGGTAACTCCAATTCCCCAGCCCTCCAAGTCTACCGAATGCACATGAGTGCCCTCCCATGCCCCTCTGTGCCCTCGCCCACATTTATGTTCCATGTCGGTCATTGCCCACATCCGCCTGGAGTAATGCATGTGACAACATCATGGTACAGATCAAGTTGCCAGTTGGCAACTTGCACTAGTGTTGCCGCCGGTGTGAGTTGGAATCGAGTTAACATCGACTCGACTCGGAAATTTACGCAACTCATGGCAACTGCCCCATGTGGTGTAAACATCGAGTTGCACTGCGAGTTGGTGATTGACATATCGAGAAGACTTTCCCATAAGCTTTCCTGGTATCTTATCAATGTTACTGTAAGTCTCTATAATCTTGCCGACTGTAGCTCGAGTATTTCATGCAATCTTGAGCACTTCTCCAGTGCTTTATACCTCGTCGTTATACCTTGTCAATATGTCTGCCCTACTTACTTTGTTGGTCCATAAAAAATCAAAAAAATTCTACTTTTTTACACATGAGTTCTTTACTACAGTAGACTTGCTCATAATGTATATGGTAATAATGCATATTTTTCATATTGTATTGGGTTTGGGTGGCTCCCATTGTGGTATGCGGGGAAATGGCCAGAAAATTGTATAATGTATAATGTATAGTGTTTGATGGTTCAATATACAGTATGACACCTGGTTTACTAAGGCCCGGGGTGGTCGGAGATCCTGCAAGTAGCATGAAAAATTTTCATTAATGAATATCTAGTACTAACTCAATGGTGTGTAGCACCAAAAAACGTCAGCCACGTCCTAAGCCTGGCCCATACAAGCCTCGGAAGCCAATGACATCTCATGGGAAAGATGCCACTGCATCTAAAACCTCCTAAAACCATACACTGTCAAAATCTTACACTAAAGGACTGGATTGCCATCTTTCGATACATTGATGCTCATCCAGACTTACCACAAGAGCGCGTGGTTCAGTACTTCAAGACGAAGCCACAGGATGCACTTGAATTTACACAGGCAACTCTATCTCAAAAACTAAAGGATCATCAACAATTTGAGCAACGAGTCAATTCTCACCCAAATGCTCTTTTGAGCAAGTGGCCCTGAGTTGTTACTCGCCCTGATGTTGAAGACACGTTCTGGAATATGAAGTAGACTAGATACCGACGACTCGTTGAATACATGCGATGATGCTGTGACCGTGGGAACTATTCCATCCTGTATATTTTTCATAGTGTATAGAGAAAGGTGGCTCCCATCGCTATACGTTATGAGCAAGTGTACTGTACCATGTACATGCCCATAAGGTCCAGTTTGGACAATGACTCCGGGTTCGAAATTTCTGATTCAAACTGCACGTGATGATTGCACGTGATAGGTCCAGATGGCATGTAAGTATATAGATAGATAATCAGCATATATATGCGTGTCATATCCATCACTGCCATGGATATTGAAGCCCAAATGCAACACGATCAACGACACAAAATCGTGGTCATTATCATCACCATTGTGGTCGCCCAGGTCACACATCTATACCATCTTTTATTCTTATCCCGCACTGAAAGAATTCCTTACCACACATCCATACTTACCGGGCAAGCATGGGTATATGAACTGATCAGTGGTCATCCAGACAGGATCAGACACAATTTCAGCGTCGACCTTCAAATTTTCGATGAGCTGTTAGCAGCTCTTAACCGACACGGCTTTGTCCAGTCCTGGAATGGGGTAAGCGTGTCAGAGCAACTCAGCATTTTTCTCTACACGTGTGTTACTGGACTTTCGTCTCGCCACGTCGGAGAAAGGTTCCAGCACTCTCCCGATACGATTACAAGGTAAGTGCCTAACTTTTGATATAACTATTGTTCAAGTTGTGCTGATTTCTGCAGATATTTTAAACGCCTACTCATGTTCTTTTCATCGGCTCCCTTCTACACCTTGAACGTCCGCTTCCCGGACCAAAACACCCCACTTTCTGCGGCAATTCACGCTGACCCTCGATTCCGATTCTTCAACCACTGTATCGATGCTGTTGACGGCACCCACATCCGCGTTTTTGCGCCGCTTGAAGACCATGTTGTCCTGCGCAACAGGAAAGGCTTTTTATCGCAGAACTGCTTGTTTATCTGCGACCTCGACTTCTTTTTCATTTACTCACTCACAGGGTGGGACGGCTCAGTTGCCGATGCTTCCCTTTGGAACGACGCATGCTCTCATGATTTGCGTGTGCCCGAAGACAAGTATCTTCTAGCCGATGCTGGCTTTGGTACGTGCGACACACTTCTCGTGCCTTATCGAGGTGTCCGCTACCACCTGAAGGAATGGCGTCAAGCTAATCTCGCGTGAGTTCCTTTTTTCTTTTGTCAGTCTGTCTATTAATTTTTTTCTAGGCCTAAAGACCCGAAAGAGTTGTTCAACTTGCGACACGCTGCACTTTGCAACATCATCGAGCGGATATTCGGCATCATGAAATGACAATGGCGCATCTTAATATGCGTGCCTGAATACTCCATGGACATCCAGTCCCGGATCCCAGTGGCGCTTTGCGCCATTCACAACTTCATGCGAAGAAACAACGGTGATATATTTGATCTTGCCCTCGAGTACGGGCACGATCTAGCAGAGGATGATGGTGTTGGATCTGGCACACATTCAGAGGGACCGGCGGATGCTGCTGAGCGCAGACGCGCAGATGCTCGTAGGGACGGAATCGCGCAAGCAATGTGGACTGACTATCTCACAGAACATGCACGAAGGGGACTCCCATTGCCATAGTTGTAGGTAATACATGAATTTTGTACTATGAAATGATCTGTACGCCGCTACGATACAATCATATATTCTTGTGAGTCAATTGATCGCCGTGGTGCACCACCGCAAAGGACTCGCTTCTCTTCCAACCACTCAAGCCTCGTCACCTCATCCAACGAGTAGAAAATGATCGCCTGGTTCTCGTGTTCAGCTAGAAAGTTGGCAATGCCCAAGCGCTCTTTGCTCGTGAGGTCTGTATATTTATTGAGGAGGGAAATGGCGCTTCCAACATGCGTGGAAGGCTGAGGCTGTGGCTGCACTGGCAGCAGCGCCGGCGCTAATACAAGAGTCTTCTGCATCTCACGTACTACTTCTACAAGGCTTTTCATCATTTCAGTGCCCTCCTGCTGTGCCAATAGCGTGGCAGATGGTGGCCAGCCTCGTTTCTGAGAGCCTGCAGCTGACGCAGGCGAAAGCGCGCTGCATTTTCGCTTTCCCCGGCTTATACTTGTCCATGCCGAGCCACCGGCAGAGGTAGACCCTTCCATGGAAGGAGCGAGAAAGGTAGATGGAGGGTCCACTGAGGATGGTGGCGGGTACACTGAGGATGGTGGCGGGTACACTGAGGATGATGGCGGGTACACTGAGGATGGTGGCGGGTCCACTGAGGATGGTGGCGGGCCCACTGAGGATGGTGGCGGCCCTGGAAGTGTGTTGTCTGTGGCTGTGGGGATGGGGATGGAGGATGGTGTGGTGGCATTGGTGGTGGTGGTAGGTCTGAAGACGTGAGAGCCTTTCGACTTGCTTGGCATCAACTGCTGCATGATATCGAAGTGGTCAAAGCCCTTCATCATGAAGGGCCTCGCGTGAGGATGCGACTGAAAACAATATCAGTAGAGGGGTATGCATGCAGTCTATTTGCGATGACGTACCTTTATAAAGCGTGCCCATATGTTGTCCTTTTTGTCCGTGATACCCGCTCCATGATCATCACTCCAAGTAAAACCAGAAGTACACTTAATTTCAACAACACTTTGGTATGCTTTCTTTAACTATAAAAATATATGTCATTGATTTGCTGGCGGCTGAAAGTTCACTGGAAACATACCGATGTCCACTTATTTTTGCAAACTGTGCCAACCTTTTCTGCGCCCCTTTGATGCGGGTGTTTTATCTTGAGGTGCGCATATGCTTGATTGAAGGTGGGCGCCTTGAAGCCCCCATCGCCTGATGCAGGAAGGGCCTGCAGAAGGAACTCAAGAAAGGTGGTTTCTTCTGCCTTCGTCCACACCACAGGAGCCTTCCTGGTCGTTCCGCAAGATGCAGCAGCTGATGTCACATCTATAGTACCCCGGGAACGTAAGGAATGCGAAGAGCCGCCGCTTGATTTATCAGACATTGTGATGATACTAGAGTATCTTTTGTTTTATTAGATAATAGATGCTTATTAACGCAGTCAGGTCATCACGTGCGGTTTGAGCCAGAAATTTTGAACCCGGAGTCGTTGTCCAAACTGGACCTAAGTAAGTCTCGCACTCATTGTTTTCACACATGGCGCTAATCGTGATTAGGATGCGGAACAAGTATATCCACTCTCATACAAAGTCGCCCTCGACATCTTACCCATACAGGCTTCCTCCGTGCCTGTGCGAGCGAGCCTTCTCATCAAGCGTTCATGATATTAATATTGTAGCCATGATGAGTCATGACTGTAGAAATATATAATTCTGTTTCTGCCAAATATAGCTATTTATGTGCCAATAAATTTGACTTGCTAAACCAGAAAGAGATAGATCTGAGCCCGTTGATTGGTGGACTTCAATTCCCGAACGACATCCGAACTCGCTAGTTGCACTGGTGTGTAACTCGATACAACTCGAATCGTTTACTTGTTCGAGTTCGCTAGCACCGCATCGCACCGCGTCGACTTGCGGCAACACTAACTTGCACCTGCAACATTTTCGTCGTGAAATCTGTGTTCAATGAACTTCTGTCACAAAATAGTGTGATGGTCACACAAATTAACTCAATTCATAACCGAGACAGCTAAGGTTGTGTCTATCGTGTACAGCATCGCAAACCCGGCCCAGGGCAGCGCGCCCATATAGGTGCAGTGTGCGGCAACAAGCTCTCACCAAGCACTGTCTAAACACACTCGTCCACATCCAATCTTAACTGCATCTCTACAATGCCCTACGTCAAAAACTTGTCTTTTCAGACGTGAGCGTCATTGCGCTATCATCCTGTATTACTTTTCACCCGACCGTTTCGCAGGAAAGATCTCGGCAAGAAATCGACGCTCCTGTTGACTTTTGATAGCAGCGTCAAAGGCCTTTACCAGACATGCTTTCCTACCGTATGTTGGTAAGCACCTGCACTTTGACCTGCGTTGACTTTGAACCTTGCAACATTTCAGGCTCACCACCTTCGGACAGACAGGTGGGTGTTGTCCTCCCTGCCCAATTGTCCAATCACCTGTGATTCCTCCTAGGCTCGTACAGGATATGTGTAACCTATTCGAGCCAGTAAGTCTTTATCGATAAATATGTATATGCACTGTACTCACTCAACGTATAGACTTGCTTTTTCTAGACCACAACTCAAAAATGGGAACATCATTGACGCTGAAACCTGCGTGGAGCTCAACGTGAGATATTCTTATCCGCTCTGCGAATGCTGAGCCAAATGTCATCATGTAGGATGGCGAAAAAACTACACTGACTCGAGATAGTAGTGTCTTCCAGTTCTCTGTAAGTCTGATGCTTGCTTATCTCTGTTCCGACTGCTCACAAATAACTCGTAGAATCCCGTGAAGGGAGTCCCTGGATACCTAGAAGCTCTGAACGATTCTGGATCCATTCAAGACATCGCACTCGGTTTGTGACCACCATATTTCTTTTTTTGGCCTCAGCATAATGTCTAGCTGCAGGCTTCAAGAGCCCGAGAGATTCGATGCCTACACCGGTTCTATACTTCAAGGAAGTCGAGTGTGTCATATTTCGTTTGTTTATCACCAGAGAACTCAGTGAAAGCACAGAGACGCCAGTAAAATCGTGGCTGAGTTCACTCCAATCCTGCGCGCCTACGTCACTGCAGATTATCAACATACCACGATCTTGCAAGAAGCCATCGAAATCCCTGCGATTTGGGAGCAAAATATTGCTTCGCTTTCTGAGTCTACGACATGGAATCTTACACGGGACACAGCCACCGGACGTTACAATCTCACTCAGGCGGATGAAGGCACGTTAAATTCGAGCATCAAGCCCACTGTTGTTGGAGGTCTGTGTCTCAGGTTTCTCCCTGTTCGTACTAACTATCCTTATTTGAATTCCCAATAGCATGATTCGAATTCTTTTGCTATCATTTTATTACGTCCCTCATTAAATTACTGAATGTCGGCTTCTGAGAGCCTGTTGCACGGGTATGAATTCAATATATTTACATGTACTAGTATTTCATCATGTTTGAATTCGCGTGGTGTAAGTACATCCGTACGTATCTCGAGCTCAGAGCTGTTGATATAATCTATCTTTGCGTCCCTGTTCCACCGGGCCACGCCGCCACGGTCCACGGTCCATGATGCATGATGCACGCACATGGATGAGCGCTAATTACATAACTATTTCAGCTCCTTTGCTCGTGCATCGAGCTGCGCGGCAACAATCTCTCAGTCTTTCGTAACCAGACCCGATAGAAGGAAGTGTCGTTACTGCTATAAATGCAATCACTCACGAAGTCGATAATTGGTGTGGACCTCGGACCTGGTTCATATGTATACCCCCGGATCATATCATCCGTTGTCGGCGCTCCAAGTTTGTACGCTCTAGACCAATATCACCCCGAAACACATACAAGGCACAATCGTTCGTGGTGTCTAGGCAGCATTAAATCCAGTCTCAATCAATGCTAAGAGCTCGCTAGAGAACGTTTCTCACCTGGAGCACGAAAAAGGCGGCCTGTCTGTGTTGTTTCCTATGATGCCATCTTTTGCGCGGGCGTGCACGGTGATGTGGTTATTTTCATGCGGTGACTACGTGGCAGCTAAATTCAAAAAAGTCGTGGCATTGAAGAAGCGTGAACTTTTCGGCGAGAGACGATCTTGCTCCCATCATTGTCTATGGAGCCTATTCAAGTCCCTCGTCATCAGTCACTCTGTCAGGCTTATTAAATAGGCCCGCAATTGCGCTAAACAAACCCTACTCATTAGAGTCTGTGTATGTCTTGCGACTAGGACAGGTTGCCATAGCATCCCTGTTCAGTTCTCTCCATTTCATCGTCGATGACCGGAGGATTATTCATCGGACAGGACAAAAAAATGCCATCTCCCATTGCTTTGAATCCACCTACCCCTTCTCCGTCCATCTTCAAGGAGACAAAATCAATTGACAAGTTGCCATTAATGTCGAGGGCAATGTCGTACCTTTCTGCTGTTCAACAAGCGGACACCCGCGCTCGGAGTCACAGCAATTCATCTACATCATCATCATCATCTCCTACACGATCCACCCCTTCCTCTGTCACAACTTCATCCGAGTCCGACGACACCATGCTCAACGATGAAGATGATACGAACAACTGTCTCGTGAACCCGCTCACACCCCCCACCTCCGAAGTCTTCGCTACCGTTCACACAGAATTTGGTCACTGCACAAATGAGACCTATCGTTGCGTCTCCAAGCATGACTACACGAAACCTTTCCAGGAGCACCCAATCGAGGAGCCTCCGTACTACATCCTCCTCACCACCTACATAAGCTACCTCATGGTCATATGTTTTGGTCATGCGCGCGACTTCTTTGGAAAGCGTTTTTTCAAATCTTATTTCACCCACCTTATGCCCCATAATGTAAGTGCCATCTTAATTCCCACATTTATGTAATTCATTCAATACCATGTGCAGGGATATGCACCGTTAAATTCGGATTTTGATTCCTTCTACACCCGCCGGCTCCAGCGTCGCGTGGACGATTGTTGTTCCCAACCTATTGCGGGTGTCCCTGGTCGCACTGTTCTAATCCTCGACCGTTATTCCACTGATTTTAACCTTCATCAAATCTACACCGGTACCAAGACACGCGCCTTGAACATCTCATCATATAACTACCTTGGCTTCTCCCAGGCCCGAGGAGGCTGCTCAGACGCAGTCGGAGAAAGTGTCCATCGTTATGGCATCTCCACCTGCGGCACGCGTCTTGAGAGTGGGAGCAGCGAGCTCCATCTGCATGCTGAAGCCCTCGTTGCACGTTTTCTAGGGACGGAAGACGCGTTGGTCAGTTCTGTAGGTTTTGCCACCAACTCCACCTTCATCCCTGCATTGGTGGGAAAGAAGTCCTTGATCATTTCCGACGAACTGAACCACACTAGTATTCGCATCGGTGCGCGCCAGAGTGGCGCACAGATCCGGATGTTCAAGCACAATGATATGTCAAGCCTTGAGTCCGTTCTGCGTGAGGCGATAAGCCAGGGCCAGCCCAAGACGCATCGTCCTTGGAAGAAGATCTTGGTTATTGTGGAGGGGTTGTACTCCATGGAGGGTACACTCGTGAACCTGCTTAGGGTTGTTGAGCTGAAGCGGAAGTACAAGGTCCGTATTGCAGTTGCTATTTGGGGTTATGACGTTGACGTTTTATTTTAGTTCTACCTCTTCATCGACGAGGCACATTCAGTCGGTGCAGTCGGTCCCCACGGACGTGGTGTGACGGACTACTTTAACATCCATCCTGGCTCGATTGATGTCTTGATGGGCACATTCACCAAGTCCTTTGGTGCTGCAGGCGGATACATCGCAGGGCCGAAAACCCTCATCGATAATCTCCGGCTGCGCGGCCACTCATGTCCGTACGCAGAAGCAATAGCGCCCCCGGTGCTTGCCCAAATTATCGCGTCGATCGCCAGCATCATGGGCGTTGCTCCAGCACCACAGCCGTCCAAATCTCAAAATTCTCTCAACCTTACTAGCTCAGCTATTACTCTGAAGGACAGTGCAAATGAGCTCCAACGAATGGCGCCTGCAAGCATGCTACCGGCATGGATAAACCTTCACCCATCTCTCGCAGACGGATCCGAAGCTCGGATGCGTATCCGCCGTCTTGCGTTCAACTGCCGCTATCTGCACGCGGGCCTCAAGAAGCTCGGTTTTATCATTCCTGGTCATCCATTCAGCCCAATTGTCCCTCTGCTCATCTTTAACCCGGGCAAATGTATGATGTTCGCACGTCTGATGCGCTCACGGAGAATACCGATTGTTGTCGTTGTCGTAGGGTACCCTGCCACACCGTTGGAGAAGGGTCGTGCACGGTTCTGTGCTAGTGCATCACATACGAAGGAGGACATTGATATGGTGCTACGTGCGTGCGATGAGGTGGGTGAAATTCTAGACCTGAAACATGGTTTGGGCGAGCGGTGGGGGATTGAGGAGGTTTGCGAGCGCGCAGTGGAACTTGTTCACTCTGCAGTGTGAACACTGGGATATTTTTGTATATTATGCGATTGGGATATAGCCTATTGCGTTGAGTCTATTACTATTGGCTTGCGGCGTCTGCTTGGGTATGACATTTTACAGCTCATGTAGGGGTGGGGTGTGCCGCACGCAGACAGAATTATATCAAGGGAGGAGGGAGTGGGACAGCCATGAACAATTAAATAATCACCGCTGAACATCTATCGTAGACCATGATGAACTTCGTTCAATTCTTTACTTGATCTAGGATTGTTCGGTGTGACTGAATGGTGTGACCTTGTGACTTTAATGAGTAACACCGAGTTTTGCATATCAAAGTACTTAAAAGTTGTACAACCATCCTCCACAAACTTGCCAGGACTGTTTCTTATTGTATGCTTCGCTTTACTGGAAAGAATGTCGCGGTGAACAGGTCTGTGCACTTTAAATTGCTCAGCGGCATACTGACATGATGTTCGCTTCCAGCATCATCCAACCACGGCAGCTACACTTGGTACTTTCGGGCCAACGTCTTGCTTCTGGTAGATTACAGCTGTTTCACCATGCAAGAGTTGGACGAAAAGTTTCAGCACGATCTGCCTCTACTTCCACTTCTTCTTCCAATGACAAGTCTAGTCATGCCTCAAATTTACCACCTTCTGCCGTACCACCTCGCAAGCATCGGGTGGAGCTCAAGCCTGGCCCATTGAAAACACCTTCACCATCGAGCACGACACCAAGGCCTCACTCAGCTTCCCAAAGCAAACGCAACCCTCATTTCCAGCATTTCGTCCTTCTCCAGTATCAAGTACACCAGAGTCTGCCCCGTCTGCGATCGAACTAGCGAAGCAAGACATAGCAGATGCAGCTGCTAAAGGAGTCCTTCGACCAGCTCCACATGATGCTGGTACTATTAAGCGCTTCACCCATCAAGCTTTCGAACTCCTTGTTTGTGTTTAACCTCGTCGGCGCGTTTGCTCTCCTAATTTTTTTTTGGGCTCTGCCAGAAATTCTATTTCCGAGGGCTGAAGGCCATAAACACGCATCGTAATCAGGCAGCAGCAATTCGTTCACGCATAGCTACAGGCGGTGCAGCGCTCTCCAGAGCGGAGTCGCGTTTCATTAGAACATTCCACCAGGATGCATTGAAGTACACATTTATCCATCCATCTTGATTTTTCTTTAACTCCCACCTCTAGACTTATTCCGTTTGTTATTGTTGTTGTAGTTATGGAAGAGCTCATTCCTTTTATTGCCCTTTACGTCCCTCGAATGTTGCCATCTACCTGCGTCCTTCCAGGTCAACGAGATCGTATCAGTGCGAAGGCACGCGACAACCAACAACTGGTCCTCGCAGGGAACTGGCAATTATTCGATGTTTTGCGGAAAGAAAGCGAAAGCTCTGGCTTCATTCCGACCCTCAGTCTGAAAAATCCAGGGGCATTATGCGGGTACGTACTTTTGACATCTATTTTCAAACCTGTGCAAGAGCTTCTGTAGAGTCATCGGTGTCCCCGCTTGGGGGCCACTTCAACTGGTTCAGTGGCGGCTACATCGCCACCTTCAGAACATTGCATCCGACGATAAATTGCTCAAACAAGAGGGGTATGGACGTGATCTTACCCTTCCAGAGTTGAAGGAAGCATTGCAAGAGCGTGGAATGTAGGTATCCAATTTTATAAATGACTTGGCTCTGATATGTGTGTTTCTCGATAGGTCTATGTTCAGCGAAAGAAATTCCGCAGATGAGCTGAGGGCCCAGCTCAAGTGGTGGATAGAAATGACAGGGATCATGCCCGAGGGCGCAGATGATATCAGTAGGCGCTTGTTCGTGCTCAGCGTTATCGGATCGCACAAGTAAATGCTGTCGGGGTGCCCTGCTATCTATCCTCTTGTGGCGCAGTGTGGGCAGACAGACTTTCTTAGATCTAGAAATCAATCATAATATCTCAACTCCACTCCTGCGTTGTCCCTATCAATAGAAATCTAATACCTAGTGATATGTGCACGTGAAAATATGTGAGGCTAAAACTGCTGAGATACAATATCATACCAATGACAGCCGGATCCTGCGTTGTCAACCCTCAAGTCAATAGCGAGGGTCCTAAGCTGTTCACGGCAGTCAATCATGTCCAGAGGGCGTTTAAAATTGCGGTAAAGAAGGCGTTTGGCCGAACATGATGACCCACTGAATAACACCTTCACCGAATCAGGAAGCCATTCGTCGACAGTAGCCTCCCAGCCTGGGCCAAGAGCAACAAAGGCCAACTCTCGCAAAGACGGCAGAGACAACAAATCAAAGATGCGAGCTAGGGGTGTTACATCCCCGAACTGAAGCGCATCCTCTGATAGATAGATACTCAATATCTCCAAGGCCTGATGCTTGAGGGTCATCGCATCAGCGGGAGGATGAACTATCTCCAAGTTTTCGTTGTGGAAGAAAAGCTTGACTTTCAGCTCGACTAGTGCTGGGAAGTCAAGGAGGATTTTCATGAAGTCGACTTCTGCCCCTGGCCTATCGAGTGTAAGGTGGGTAATTTGAGGGAATGTGGCACGTGGAATAAGTTTGATGAGCGCCTCCTTTCCACAGAGAGCAACGTGCGTAATGTTCGACGTGCCAAGGGTAAGAGGATGTCCGGAGTTGACAAGGAACGACGTCGGCATGACGGATATTAAGATGTGTTTTACAGCGTAGGCACCGCTGGCAATAAATGCATCGATGTAGCCGCGGCTGGCCTGTATATGAAGATCACGAAATTGCGCCGAGTGTGATGCAAGTAGGCGGAAAAGCCCTGACTGTGTTGGATCGTACTGGCGAAACCAATCCCACTTCTGAAGGCACATCACGCTGACAGCTAACGGACGGTTACGAGCTGCTGCAAGCCAGCGTGCCACCATTGCCGTGTAAAAGTCTGCAGTCCAGACGCCCCAGTCATGAACATCAATAGAAGACCACAGTTCTGGCGTTGTCAGTGCAATGTTCCTCCACCGGCGACAAATTTGGCAAAGTAAAAGCGGGGCGGACATTATGTGGGGGACGACATATCGATCATTGGGGAGGCAGGATTTGAATATTTGCTGTAAAATTTCTGTAGGAAGGAACCTCGCAGGACTGATGCGAGCTTTGTTTTCGAGGATGCGAGTTTCTACAGCGCGCCGCTGCTCTTGCTGTATAGCCATGCGCATGCGTATCGCCTCGATCTCAGCCTGTAGGCTGTCAACCACGGAGTCTATGTTCAATAACTCTTCTGCATCTCTCTGCAAAGCAATCCGAGCTTCGCTGATCTCCATCTCTAAAAGAGAGTTTGCAAAGTTCATCGTACAAAGGACACCGCCCAATTGTTTGGTGCTGACGACAGTGACAGAATCCGTCGCTCTGCAGTGAACCAAAGATGTTTCAGTTAAAGGTGACATGTCTGGAATAACTTGGTCAGATTCAGAACACGTAGGTCAAGCTATTATTCAAATGCTTACTCAGGCTCTTTTGCGGGACAATGGTTGAACAAAAGGGTGCCTCTGTCTCGTAGACAGCCGTTCGAAGAGGAACACGAGGCTCAAACATCGAGGTGAGGCCGGCCCATGTGCAAATACCCGCCGAACGTGTTCTATTACAAGCTAACCGAGATCAAGATGGACTCGGACTCGGCGAACTCGTAGACTGACTACTCGGGTGCCCACCGAAGAGATGCGGGCATTTTATAGGATACGGCGTCTTGAATCTCGGCTCTACGCCAAGCAGCTTCAGTGGCCCGCAGAATTCGGCTAAAGCATGTGCCAAGGGGAAGAAGGAAGGTTCACGAACTTCGTAAACAGGTTGATCCTGACTTGGTGGGCATCAGTGACTAACTACAAATGCCTAATTAGGCACCCCTGTCTCGATAGATTTTTCCTTTACCTTGGCGATTTTCGTCATTTATGTAAATCGACTTATCTGGTGATTTGAAGCGCTTGTGATCCGAGCCCTCTCGATTATGTTTTGTATGAAATATCGTACAGCACGCAGCAAGGATTACTTCACGACTGATTCGCATCGTTCTTGAAGGTATGATGGGACTCGGATGACTACCACTTGTAGTGCAGTAAAGAGCCTTGTAATACATACCTTAGCCGGCCTAGTAGGTCATTCGAGAACAGGCGGCCGTGTGCGTGTAGAGTCGACGAGGGCAAGTCACGTATCTAAGATATATAAGCGCTCGGTGTCAATTGTGTCCACCGTACGTGCCCACCCTACTTTTTCTTTTGCTCACTGGTCAACTATGTCTCATGAAAAACCGTCGAGTTTCCAGAGGAAGCGAAGAGAAAGTTGGTGCAGATAGTGTACAAAAATCTACCTCTGTAATAAAGCAACGACTGAGTGTATATAGATGACGTGCAGGTTGCGTTACGGAATCTGGGTAAATCTAACAGTAGTTTCAGTCGAAGAGTGGCACCATATGCCTGATAATGTGAAGCCATTAGTGGTATGTGGAGTATGTACTACGAAACTCATGATCATCTTATGAAACAAATAGAATTGCTTTACTTCTTAAAGCCCGCACCCCTACCACTGATGCATCTTTCAATGAGTATGAATGTAGGTGCGCATCTCGACAGCTGCATATCGTCTTCCCCGCAAAGGTGTTCGTCAGCGATATCCCTTGTTCCCACATCTGACATGGAGTCGAGCGGGGTAGAAACTTCGATAGACTCGACCCCGAAGCTGGAGGGACTCGTTGGATATGCATCAGAGTCATCAAAAGGTTCCACCTCGATCGTCTGAGTCAACCTTGGATCATTAATGTCACTCTTCTGAGATTCTTGCATTTTACGGAATTTTGCGTCATGAAGGACTATGCGTCCAGCCTGAGAAAGTGGATCAGGAGGGGGAATGACCGCTTGAATCTTGCACTCAACAGCAAACCAAAGGAGGGAAAACAGTACGCTAATGAAAATTCAGCGAGGAAAGGATCCTGTGGTACACGCAAGACTTACTAGAAGATGATGTTTCCACTCATCTGTGTGTTGATGACGCGTGTGCTGCAGAGAAACATAAAGATGAAGATCACTGCAGTGATGAGCATATATAAATAAACAAGTATACTAAACCTACCCATTATCGCAATGGTCGTGCAGCTGCCGTCACGGACTGCAAGCTTGAGCCAAGCACGAGGAGGTCCCGACAGGCCGGATGAACTTCTAAAGAATCTCCATAGCATTGTGAAGAGGATGAACATGAACATTACAATGATTGAGACGCTGGTTCCTAATTCGGCGATCAGATATACAGGAGGTGCAAAAGTCCTCACCCGTGATAGATCCTACTGTGATGAGGCGAGATTATGACACAAGTGGGGGAATAGCTAGTGCCAGTTATAACTGATCGAGCGCTGGCTGCATTCGCGGCAAACTGTACGCCACCGAAGACGATCAAGAGTGCAAAGATAGATTTGCCCTTTCCATACATCTTGTACACTGCAATAAAGGCGGATAAGCAGTCACTCAGAGTAGGACCTGAAAGTCACATACCCCGCGGCATGAGTAATAACTCCACTGAGAACAGCAGACACTGGGTCATCGAGATCTGGTACGAGTACCATGCTCTGCAAGTGGACGGACTGTTAGGAACTCTCGAGACCATCCTCAATGCAAACCAGATGTTGCAACTAGCGACAGGGGTGAGCACGCGACCTTGAGTTGCCGAACGACCCACCCTTGGCCCGCCAAACCAGCATACCTGGTCGCCACGTAAATTTTAGCTTCCGTAGTCTTCAAAAATCGCCTGTTCGCCAGAAAAATGCTCATCAATGTCGTTCTCAAACCGCAAACAAGTACTCACGGCCAGACTAGTCGGACTTCATCGGTAAAAGACCAAATATACTCAAGAACCATGAGTGCGGTTAAAGTCGCTGATGAGTATAAATCAAACTGAAAGAGTGTTCAGATAGTGATTGGAACGCACTTGTTAGTATAAAAATGTTGCGTGCAACAGGATCGATGATGGAAGGGGACAACATGAGTCACTGGCAACGTCAGTAAAGGAGCGACCAAAATTGAAAAGGAAAAATAAAAAATGGCGTAAGTCCGAGACTGCCCCAAGTACTATGAAGTTGAATAGTCAGAGGAAATATCAAGGAATTAACGGTGGGGATATATATGTGTTCGCGAGCAGACCCGAGCCGGACGAACCTAGGGTCAAGCCCTGACCCTGTCGGAGGACTAGTGGAATGCCATAAGTACTAGCTAGTCGGGCGCTAAACTCAAAGCTAATAAACTTGAAGCTCCGAAGAACCTCATCCATTAATCCCACCGAGTCGGCTAATTAGCCCCTATCTAAACATCAGAACCATTCAATGAACACGTCCTTCACGTTGCACTAAAACAATAAAGATACAAAATTCTACATATACTGTTCAACTAGATATCAAACCGTCGTTCCTCGATACCCCGTACACCAGCACTGACGATTCTTCGCTCATCAAATGCAACGGTACCATATGTACTGTTTGTTCCTGCAAAGCTGCCCTCGACAGGCCTAGCGACTTCAATCCCATCTCCGCCCTCGAGATCCCACACCCAGATTGATCCGTTGGCGCTCAGGCTGACACAACGCCCATCCGCAAGAGAAAGCGCAGAAACAGAGCCCAAAGGTCCATGCAGAGTCCGGACAAACGTCAATCTCGGTGTATGGACCGATGAACTTGAAATCGGAGGGACATGAAGGCGGTATAACTGAAGGTGATTCGATGTGTGGCTCGGAGGTGAGATGTATGGGAGTGACTGTGGATGTTCCTGTTGGGGCACCGTACCTTCAACTGAAGACCCATGGGATATCGGAGACATATCGGTCACATCTCCAGGGGCTAGAACGACCCACTTCCCATCCGTTTGTGTATCTGCTACTTGTTTCACTTTACGGCCCCATTGGTCACGCATAAGCTGAAGCTTGCGCTCGTCTATCCACCCTTGCGGGACGTCAAAAGCACGGGTAGACCTGGTGACGCTCACTTCAAAAGCCCCCTGCGGTGATAACTCGCTGGATGACGTAGTGAATGTCCGTTTACGTGGTAAAATGCCCGATGGAGATATAATAAGTTCTGTGGCACCCACACTCCAGTGAGCAGGGTAAACGGGAATAGCGTAGGCCATGACGAGTTTGTACGACGATGCCGAAGGTACAGTGGAAAGTACGAGTGATGTGGGAGGATGACTAGTGAAAGACGTGAGTGTCTGAGTATGTGTGATACAATCATTGCTCAGGTCGTATATCATGAGGGTAAATGAATGCGACAATGTGACAAGCAACGGATGATTGTAGGCTGCGTGGGTCACCGGAGAAGCACGGTGCAGGGACGAAGGGACATAAGTTTGCTTTGGAGTGGTGGTTAAGGACAAGGAAGAGTGATCATGTTCGAATATATTGAACTCTCCAGTTGTCAGGAAAGCAGCCAGGCGTATGACGTGCGAGGAAGATAAGGAAGGTGGAGATTGATCGAGTGCTATAGCAGATATTTCCGCTACAGATCTAGCTAGAGTAGACCTGCAAAGCAGAGTACGCGATACTCCACCGTTGTCTCGTACTAGCAGGGAGGATCCACAAACCTTCGACGAGGATATGGTGAACCCGCCTGCCAATATAACGTGCTGACGAAGAAAGGCTGGCGGCGGTGCTAGAGTTGTTCCCTCAGCGTCAGCGAAGTGCTCGACAGCGCAACGTCCTAAAAATGCATATGAGAGAGTGAAAGTAGATTGCTAATAATTGTAGGATTTACCATTCTTCCAGTTCGAGCTGATGCGGTACATCCATTTCCAATCCAGAGCGTCATCAGCTGATGACGTAGAAGTAGAAGCTCTCAAGGGAAGCGGTTTAACTGATCTTCCATCGGTCCGACCATAAAATCCCTTGCCTCCCCTCAACCTTGTTTTACCATACTCTCTGACAAACAAGGCTTTCCAGAGCTACAAGCATAACCAGAGCAGTGGCCGATCCGAGTGTGTTCAACATTCATTCTCTTGATGTCCAATTAATCAAATATATACCTGGTTGTCGCTCGCGAGCCTCGCACAGTTTCTGTTCGTCCCATGCATGGCACATAGATCTCTGGAGTTCAGGAACGAGAAGATAAACAGAATGAGCTCGTCATAGAGCGCATTGTCAAATGTTGTGATAAGCTGATGCTCTTGCGATGAGATTCGAGTATGATGTAACCTCTTTGCAGGCGGCAGAGGCGCTGGGGACAGTCGGTGCTTGGACATGGCAGTACGGGGGAGAAATGTGTAAGAGGCATATCACCGATCGTTGTATCGGCCCGCCAGACCGAGCAGGTCCGAGGAATTTCCAATTTTAGGGTACTGCGACCGAACTTGAACTGTAATACGCTATGAGGGTTTGCTTATTACTCAACTTAAATGGCTCCTTCACGAGGTTCACAAGCACTTGCTCGAACGCTCCATAAAACACTCTCGAATCACCGAGGACCTGTCCATGTTGTTCGATATGCCAAAGGAACTGCAAAATACGTCCTAAGTGGAGGACAGGATCGCTCGATACGTCTCTGGAATCCAGACCTTGGTACCGAGATTAAGAAGTTTGAGGCCCACGGATACGAGGTCCTTTCCATATCTGTGTCAGTCGCATCAGTAGTTTCTTGGCCTCTATTGGAGTTGACGAATCAGACCGTATATTGTGTAGGAGTCATGACAATACAAAGTTTGCATCTTCTGGAGGAGATCGTTCTGTCTTCGTATGGGATGTGACGGCGGGTGTGACGACACGTAGATTGGCAGGCCACATGGGCAAGGTGAATGTCGTAGAGCTCAATGCAGATGCGACTGTGTTGGCGAGTGGTGAGATATGAAACCTTTTACTCGATGCGTGAATAACAGTGTTCACCATGCTCTATCATAGGCTCGTATGATTCTACAGTAAGACTATGGGACTTGCGGTGAGTATGGAAGCATTTGGCCCCAGGGATAATATCAAACTGTTTTCGGCAGGGCACCAGCACGTGCGCCGATTCAAGTACTCGAAGAAGCTCGCGACGCAGTGCAGACCTTACACGTGGATGCAACCACGATAATTGCAGGCTCTGTAGATGGACATGTCCGAACATACGATCTACGTAAAGGCGAACTACGTTCAGATTTCATAGGGCGTAAGTGCTGTGGATATTTATTACACACATGTTCATCATGCCCCACAGAGCCCGTTACCTCGGCTATCCCCTCATCTGATGGCACCACGCTTCTCGTATCTACGCTTGATTCGCATGTCAGGCTATTCGATACGACCAGTGGTAAGCTTCTCAATGCATTCACCGGCCATAATCACACGTCGTATCGCTGTCGAGCATGCTTTGGACATGAAGAAGCGACAGTTGTTTGTGGAGATGAAGATGGTGCCGTTTGGGCTTGGGACTTGGTCGATGTGAGTATCCGAATTCACAAATGTCATTACCGTGCTTACGTTTGTTTTAGGCTACAGTTTTGCAACCCAATCCTCCGCCAAAAGTTCATGACAAGGTGATCACTTGGACAGAGCATCACCCAATAGACCCTGGGGAGATGGTTACGAGCAGCGCAGATGGGACGGTGAAAGTCTGGCGACACCCGAGTTAGACTTCCTTTGCTACAATAAGTTATCCTTCCATATGATCGTCCTTTCGTGTGCTAGTACGATGTAGATCGTGAAACGAAATACTCCATTATCGATAGCGCTCATACATAGATGTACCTACCCCCTACGAAAGCAAACAATATTACAAAGGTCATTATCATCACAGTGTCGTTCCTTCCACCACAGCCTTCAGTCGCTGTCTCAACATGTTCCTCGTGCTACTTCCATCCTTCCCGTCTTTTCCATCCTTCTGCGACTCTGGCGCTGTCACCGTACTCTGCATTTCTAATTCCGAAAACGAGCTCAACGTCGGCGAGATGGCGCTTATAGACGGGGTGCCGGTACTGCCAAAAATGGAGCTCATAGCAGTCCCATATCCGCTGCCCTCCGTAGCATCGCGTACAATGCCCAACTCGCCTGGACCCACAAGTTCGACAGTCTCACTAAGCACAGCAATGCGAGTCCAACGCCGAAAGCGCGTGTACTTTCCCATCCCGCCTTTTGAGCTTGCACCCTCCCATTTGTTATCACCATACAGCCAACCCTCAGGGTCTGTAACAGCTTCATCTTCAGATGCGGAATTAAGGAATGGGTCGCTGGAATGTTGCTCGTCAATTCGTTCGGGCAACTCGGCAGGACCACTGGAGCTTGTGTTCAGGTTGTCGCGGCCGCGTGCAGCGCGTAGCATCCGTGCTGCAGTAGATTCGTCAGGTCCGTCTTTATCCCTTGGAGGTGTCTTCTCCACTCGCCAGATACCCTCCTGGCCTTCCTTGCGTATGATAACGCGCCATTCAGGTTCTTCCCATGTCCAGCGAGCTACACGTCTTGCGCGACCGTTCTTTCCAACAGTGACGTATGCCGTTGTAGAGGCGGGAAGAGGGAAGACTGAAGGCGGGGATAATGGAACTAGGGAGGAGCTACACCATGATGGGCGTTCATTAGGAAGCAGAGCAGCTGTCCAATCAAGACCCATCCACCACCGCTGATTCTCGTAGACTGTAAACAGGAAGCGGAGAGGCGGAGAAGGCTTTGGTGCATCATCTGCTAATACAGATGCCGGGCGTATCTTGATAGAAACTTCCGTGGGAGAGGGTGATGCGGGTGGTGGGAGCGGTACTCCTGAGACAAACGCGCATAGTCGGTAAAATGCCCATCGGATATGTGCGCTGCGAGTAATGGATGCTCGGGCATGTCTGGCCCAGTGCGCTCTATGAATCATGAACAGGGTGCCGCATAATGCGATGCAAATACGGAGACCAACAAAAGATGTGAGGATGAGGTAGGGCAGATAGATAAATGCAAGCACTCGGAGAACAACAAACGATGGAGGAAGGGGGGATTCGACGAGAGGTGATGAGGGAAGCAGGGCACGAATGGTCGCTAGATCAGATACGAGAGCGTGAAGGGTGCTGTCGGTTATTACCGGCGGTGAGATTGCCGAAGATGTGTGATTGGATGATGTCCAATGTCTCAGTGCGAGAACAAATGAGACTGCAAGTGGTAAGAAGAACCTGGCCAACAAAGAGGTTCAAATCAGCCAGAATACATAGGTAGTTGAACATACATACTTCAGGGTCGGTTCGGAGAGCAAGCAGAATGCCCACCATGTGGCAAGGGCAAGCCAACTTTCCTCCCATGAAGATTCCCAGCTGATAATCTGTGCAAAATGCCTTATGGCCTGAATATATGGCGCAAGGGCAACTAGCTCTGAAGCAAGTGGTATTGGAACGGTAGTCACAAACTCAATCAGCGTTAGAGGTGACTGCACGGCAGGGCTCATAGCAGCCGTTGCGCTTACAGGTGCCGTCAGGGGCATCTGTAGTATCTTTGGTTTGAGATTGAAGTCTTTGGACTTGGGCGACATCAATTGACAGGTGATTTCGGAGCGATACACTTCACACGACAGCTTGCGGCCAATATGCTTTCAGTGAGAAAGCGCGTTTTTTTATAACCTGTTTATGCTGGTCAGTCATAGTTCTCGAGCAGATATTACAACGTACGGTAAACCACAAAACTCACTGCTGCGCTGGAGCCTGACGCTGGAGAGAATGAAACGTAGTAGCCCGGCGTTCGGCTGGTGGCATGTGGCAAGTCATGCTTAATAATTCAAGTCTATTGACGTGCAAAGGCATCTAAAAGTGGATCGGATTACATAAGTTTTTTTTGCACGTAAACTTTGTATTTTCCAAATAGGGACAAACAACGCTTGTCCAAAATGAGCTTGAAGCTTTGAAATTTGAAACTTAGTGAAATGCAATCAGCAACGACGCGTAGGCATGTTCAAACTTTGCTGACTCTTTCTGTGATAGTGCGACTTGCAGTCTGGATATTAGTTTATATCTCTGCTCGCTTGCTTCCACTGTTTGATGCATCACCAAGCATTTTGATCAACGGAACACCCCCATCCTCTATCCTCCTTCGTTGGGATGCGTTCTATTTCGCGCACATAGCAAGAGAAGGATATGTATATGAACACGAGTGGGCATTCTTCAATGGATTGCCACTGTTAATGCGTATTTCGGACCACCTGCAAGCCCTGGCAGGTTTTGGTACAAACGGTTGGGGAACGCTTCTTCGAGGTGGAGCAGGCATGGCCATACTGTGCGACTCAACACACGTGCTATATCAGCTATCATTACATTATTTCCGCTCACCTTCCCTGGCATTTTTATCCGCTGCACTCTCCCTATTATCGAGTAGCCCTGCTGCGCTTAAATTGGCATCATACAACGAACCGTTTTTCACATATTTCTCGTATCGGGGCATGCTGGCATGTGCTCGCTCCCAGTGGGCTGCAGCATCTGTATGTTTTGCATTGGCAAGCATGTTCAGGTCCAATGGAATATTGTTGTCCGGATTCATACTGTGGGGTATGCTGGTCGCGCCCTTTCTGACAGGGCAGAAAGATCTAGTAAGCATAATCATACGAGTTATGACATCCGAGTTAATGCATTTATGCCAGCTTACTCCTAGGCACCTGCTCAAATGCGTGTTGTTGACTGCATTGCCTCTGATCCCCTTCATCCACCACAATGTCACTGCATATCTGCTATTCTGCAAGCCATCAGCAACACACATCCCAGATTGGTGTACGAACAATATGCTTCCTTCGATATACTCCCACGTGCAGTCCAAATACTGGAACGTTGGCTTCTTGCGATATTGGACTGTCTCCAACATCCCAAACTTCATGTTCGCGCTTCCTGTCTTGCTTAATGTGTTTGCGTTCTGCTGGTTTTATTTATCGAACTTACCTGCCATTATTCCTCATATCGCCCCGTTGATTCGCTCAAAAAACAATGACGTCACTCCCCCCCCTCAGCTTGACTCTCCATTTCTATCTCCGTCCCTGCTACCCCACGTACTCCACGCCTTGGCGCTCACGTTGATCTTGACATTCAATGCTCACGTTCAGATATCACTTAGGCTTCTCCCGTCTCTTCCACTTACGTACTGGGCTGCTGCGCGTCTCATGCTTGACCTTCCGAAGTGGGGGAAGGCATGGGTCATATGGAGTGTTTTGTGGGGTGCCTTGAGCTGTGTCCTATGGGCAGTATTTCTCCCACCTGCTTGAATTTGTATGTTAGAAATTAGTGCATGGTAGAATAAACGCACATATACCATCAGGAAACAGCCATTTGTCCCAACATAGCGTAAAATTAGTGTTGCTGACATCGTCTTAGTCAGTTGCAAAGCAGTCTTCTCTTGCTTAAGTACTTCTGTTCATTCCAGTTTCTAGGACATAGCACTTCATATCACGTTAAATAATACAATTATAGGTACAAGGTACAATACCGGACGTATGTTATGGTTTCCAAAAAGCAAAGTGATATCGGTATAAGATGCGAATGCGAAATCTAAGCCACTATGTCATACAACTTCCAAAAAAAGCTGAACCTCTTTCCCCTTGGTTTATCCTTCACTTCATCTAATGGTTCGTCGGTATACTCATCACTATACAGATCAATCGTATCGATGTCCACAATGTCGGACTTCCACTTGTAGCGAGCTTCTCGGGTTTCAGTTTCACGGGGTATCAGAGAGGTCGTCTCATTAGGGGGATCGGCGTTACCTGAAACTGATGTAGAGTCTATGAAGGCGTTCTTGAGAAGGACCCAGCCGAGGCCCATGACAATCATGACGGGTATCTCGATGTAAAAGGAGACAAAATCTACTGCTGAGAATGTGGGGAATATAGAGGACCATCCCTGGACTTTTCAACTCGTCAGTACTCAGTATGCAAAGGCAACGGTGCAGTACGCACTCAAGATGAGGGAGATCACTGTGATAATCTGGGAGGTCGCATGGGTTAGGGAAGAGACAGTTAACAGTATCAACACACGCACAACAAAGTAAGGACCCCATGGCCAGGTCCACGATGCTCGGAATTTCATTTCGTCTAAAGATCGTCCTTGTCTGATCCAGGCTTTCCTGAACCTCCAACTAGCCAATCCGATTGATAACCAGGCAATCTAATGTTTGCTTAGTCAAGGGTTACCACACATCCGCGTATTGATACGAACCTGGTTTGAGACCCCAACAATGTTTTGTAACCATCCCCACAATTTGCCGCTGCCAATAAAACTGCTGCCTAAACACAGCACGCTAATGCTACTGGTCGCAAGCAGGGCGTACAGGGGAACACCTGCCCGAGTGGTTCGAGAAAATATACGAGGTGCGTGGGGGGTGGGGCTAACAACAGATAGACCATACAGAACTCTTGTTCCCGCGAAAAGAGCGTGGTTACCAGCAGATAATACGGAGGTAAGAATGACGGTATTCATAAATGACCCGGCCACATCTGTTCGAAACAACGTTAGCACTTGAAGAAGGAGCAAGGAAGCATTGCTCACTTGAACCAGCTAGAGTAAATACAATCGTAAAAGGGGATGTAGTGGTTGTCTTATTAGACAGATTCGGGTAATCCCATGGCACTAATCAAAACAGTCAGGTGTGTAGCAGTGTGCGAGCAAAGAGTAGCCCACCATTCAGACCGATGAGCAGGATGCTCAGGATATAAAACAACAGAATTCTAATTTCACCGCTCGCACATCAATGATCTATGAACGTCCGAATGCTTTACTTGCCTCCAAAATACAAACTTAACAACCTTTGGCATGTTTTTCGAAGGGTTCTCCGTCTCTCCTGCGGTGATACCTAGACTTTCTGTTCCACCGTCTACAGACTGATCAGCTGAATAAGTTCGCAATTAGCAATGCAACTTACATGCAAAACTAGCTGTTACGAAAACATTGGCGAAACCACCGAAGCCACCAACGAACGGAGCGCCAGGAATGTGCCAATTGTGTGCTCCGATGTAGGTATGCGACTGATTGACGCCGACATTGACGAGGATGCCAAGGATAATGAAGATTACAATGGTGACGACCTTCAGGAATGAAAGCCAATACTCTACCGCAAGGCGTTAATACCATTTTGGGAAGAGAAAGGAAATCCATATTACTGACCTAATTCTCCGTAAGCTTTGACGTTGAAGGAGTTGAGTGATACAAGGAATACCCAAAAGAGCAGGCTAACCAGCCAAGGATATGACGGCGTCCAGAATTGTAACACCAGCTGGGCAGCAGTAAGATCAGAGGCAACGGATACTGCATCATTGAACCAATAGTTCCACGACAACGCGAAACCATAAGATGGCGAAAAAAAGCGTATTGCATAGGCGTTAAACGACCCTTGGAAAACAGGAATGATTAGCACACTGGCTAAATATGAAAAAAGAAGTACACACCGGCCACCGGGTACTGTGTAGCCATCTCCCCTAACAGCAACAGCGTCACATATACGATGAATCCCACTATGCCATAGCAAATCAGCATGCTCGCAGGGCCACCTTGAGCAAGGGATTTTCCGGTTCCTAGAAAAAGCCCCGTTCCAATGGTACCGCCAATGGCGATCATTTGCACTTGACGTGCAGACAGGCCACGATGTAGACCTCTGCGCGCTGGCTGAGGGAATGGTGCTTCCGCATCATCTATATTGACATGTTGTTCGCGTGCTGAGGGCTCAGGCTTGGTCCGCGAGGAAGAGCGAGATGCTGAACGAGTCATAAACCAAAGTGCTCACACAATGGGCGTGAAGGGAGAGTGGGAAATGAACACGCGATTGCTGTTAGATTCATTTATTTTTGTACCATCTGGCGTGCAGTGCACGGAATTCTGGCGCCATCGCGCGCGACTCGATAACCAGTGGCTAAATTAGGTCAGCTTAGATGCTGTACTCGTAACTTACTAATTCGCTACGCGAATACCGGATACCGGATACCGGGTGTGGCGGTGAGGTCCGTGAGGATGGCCCCGGCTTGGCGCTGTTGACCCCAGTGCACGGCTCGTCGTGGTCAGCGAGGAACCCCAGCGGGGATGGAGATGAGTTACATGATACATCGCTGAGAAATGAAGCGAGAAATGCGTGCCATTATCGTAAAGACAACTACAAGCGGTACCCTACCCCATGAGCCCACTGGCAGGACACAGATTTCCACTGCTTACTGACTAAGCTATAGAAAGAGCCGTGACCCAGATCCTTGAGCTTGATGTGTAGTTGGTCCACCGAAAGGCAGGGATGTCCAGCACTCGAGAAGCACTTTTGTTGTCGGTATGAATCGGTACACGGAGACACATCAAAGGGTCGACCCGGCGCAGGATGTATCATACTAGGTACTGCGCATCACTCGGAAACAAGTGTCTCCCCTTAATGCGGCTGATGGCAGGTTTGGGGTGTCACAGCCACAAATTCCTCGCGCCGTACCCCAATCTAAACGCTGCTTAGATCTGGCGTCGATCGTTGTAACCAATACGAGCTTAGCATGTACGAGAGTGACTAGAAATGACTAGACAGTGAACGTTAATGAACGTCCATTCACGGTGGCTAGATTGCGTTCGAAATTTGGGACAATTCGGCCCACTGCCATTTCTGTGTTTTGTACAGTGATTGCTGTCGAGGGAACTTACAGGAAACTTCCTTGAAGTAGAGCGCCTTAGGAGGTATCATATCTCCTGGAATCATAAAACCCTGATCAAGTTGGACAAAACGCTGAGACCAAAAAAGTAGAATCATGATAGTGATCACAAACCAATTGCAATGTCTAAGTCCTAGTTCCTGAATTTACCTAGAGGAAACCCGAGACTCCAGGCCAGAGGGGTCTACAACAGTTATGCGCGAGCTGTCGAGATAAAGATAAGCGACAAGTGGCCTTACAGAGATGCGGAAGACATTGGTCTCGCTCAGGATGGTCTTTCGGCATCAACAATGTTCTCATTCATGAATGCATGTCATGTAGTTTGGAGAAAGGAAGCCTATACATTGTTCATGCACATCGTTTATGAAGCCCGCCAGATCCAGACGTACCTGCTCAGAGCTGCTTCCTTGATTTGTTTGATAATCACTTGCAACTACTTCTCCTGGAGTCCTGGACCTGCATTTCGTATCCTGTCGCGTGCATCGCATTCTCGTCCTTGTTACTGCCGATAGGACAGCGGAAACTTGTGATTCGGATGCTAGTCGTGTCACGAAACACGTGAGGAATTAAATATAAGACCGTCACGTGGGAGACACATTAATCTTTGACAAATCCAAGGAGTTCGAACTTGAATTGCCTTGCCTTTGCTTCGCACCGCACAATTGTCATCTGACGTTTCAAGGTAATGGTAAATTCCAAGAGCAACGTGGTCGGTACTGACAACCTCATGTACAACCATATACGTGCAGCGTCTCTCGTTCCGATATGGGGGATCGATCTCAAACATCTGAACGCCCGGCACTACCAGGCCCAGTGACACCCAAGCCCTCGTTGCCACCCGGTATGGTGATTGGTCCGGACGGAAAACCCTGCAAAATATGCACGGCGTTCCGTAATTGGAGGCCCCCCGCTTCGGGCACTGCCAGTTCGAGCAAGAAGTCCACCGCAGGAATGATGGCTGCCTTCGCATCTGGAACGGGCTTCCGACCCCCCGAATCTAAGCCAGAAAATGCAGTATTACCCCCACACTGTCCGCCGGATGTCGAAGCCCTTGGACGTGCCACGTGGTCATTTTTGCATGCGACTGCAGCATACTACCCAGCGCGGCCTACTACTCACCAGCGTGCAAATATGCTAAATCTCATTCACGCGCTACCCGTCCTATATCCATGCACACACTGCGCGGCGGACTTTGGCGACAAAATAAAGGAGCATCCACCGGACGTGAGCAGTCGCGAGAGGTTGAGCAAGTGGTTCTGTGAGCGTCACAATGAGGTGAACGAGAGGCTGGGCAAGGAAATGTTTGATTGTGCAAAGGTTGATGAGAGATGGAAGGATGGTCCACCCGACGGCAGCTGCGACTAGATTGCAGTGTGTTCGTGTAGGTGGGTTTGCATATCATTCACTCTCCAGGAAACACATAAAGCCATTAGTATGGACTACAAGCTCTCGATAATACCACTCATGGAAAAAACGCGGTCTTACTTTCCAGGTCGAAGATTTGATCACCACCTGACAAGGCGACCGGACAGTGGCATGAGTCTCAAAGCCGTCACCGACATGAATGGTATGCAATACGCTTGATAAGCGATGGGAATTCGATTTTATGAATATGAGTAGACCTCATGCACTGCATGAGGCAGCAACATGTGGGCACAGACTATACCCTCAAGTAACTCGACCTACACTTACCTATCCTCTGCCGCGTTGGATTTGAGAGTCTTGGTATGTTGCATTCCTTACATTTTTTTTTCCGAAATATTTACTGTCGTAGCATAATTCAACGACTCCAATACAGTGTCCAGATTAATACCAAAAGCAAGAGGGTAGTGCATATGTCGGTACGTGTCTTGAGCATGGTACGCAATCTCGAGTGTTCACTAGATGGCAGATGTTCAACGTACTCGTCGTTGGCCAAACTGGATGCGGGAAGAGCTCGGTCGTGAACATGCTCGCTGGAGAAAGCCGGGCACCCACGTCTCACGACCTCAGCCACTGTACTAAACACTGGGTTGAGTATGCCATCCCAGTCGACGGCCATTCATTCCAGGTTTTTGATACCATCGGGTTTCTCGAACCCGGGCTGGATACAAAAGGGTACACGGAAGCTATCGCTGATACTTACCTCGCGATCGATACTCTAAGGCAAAGAGGCGGCATTGATCTACTTCTTTACTGCGTACGCGACGAAGAGATCTCCAAGATGAAGGTCACTATAGGTTGTTCCATGAAGTGTTTTGTGATGAAGAAGTTCCAGTCGCTCTTGTCGTCACAAGTCGTGGCATAAGCCACAAAGTCTACAAGGGAATCTTCCGCTCACACAAAATCGCATGTGTGGATTACGTCTGCGCAAACATAGCTAGCACGCCTGGACGTAGTAATTCAACTGCGGACACCGAATCGCAGAAGGCGATCAAGGAACTGCTAGTGAAGTGTTGCGATGCGGGACCTAATCCTAGGTCCACTCTGCAACAGCTATGGCTGCGAGTTCAGAAACTCGTTGGGACAGACCAGTCTCACCGATCTCTCAAACGAAATGAGGTGTCCGCGTTGCTCACGCGGCGTTGCAAGATGCAACAGGAGGTGGTCGAGCAGTTGCTCACAGCCCTGAACCTCCAGTCGCCGTCAAGTCGGCTTCATCGGGCACCCTATGCAGGCGGTAAATGTTGGTTTTCTCTATCCTATAGCGCCACGTTGACTGATCGGTGAGTGCAGCTGCAACTCGCAATTTGCCTTCGTCAGAGAACGGCGCTAGTACTCGAGATGAACAAGTGTCGGATGCTAGGCCGAGGTAAGCCTATTCATTGTTTGACGAGACTTGAACCTGAGCGTGTCGTGTTTTCCTTCCCTTCAGCTCTGGATCTCAGTTACATTCTGTTGTGGATAGTACCTCTCTGCATTCTCGCTCAGACAGCTGATGCCTTTGCCGAGCACCAATCTGTCAAACGTATGTGTACTTACGAGATGAGATGCTGATACTTGACGAAATACTTCAGCTATACCATACCATATGCTTCCCTCCTACATGCTATTCAAATTCAGAAACAACGCGTTGATGCCATAAGGCGTTCCAGGACGACCTAAATGCTTACCCAACACACTGCGTGGACGAACTATCGCATTGACTACGTTAATGACCTCACAAGGACATAGAATCATCGAGATTGTGTAGACATCGAACTAGCAGTTTGTAAAATCCCACAGCTCCGGATCTGTGTAAGGTGGAGTTTCAAACGCTATGGGTTGAGAAACCACTCCCAAAATAATGTCGTTTGTTACACCATCCTGCAAGTCGGACATTTCTCGCAAATTGAACAGGATGCGTGAGGCAAGAACGCTATGCGCGACTAGTTGTGGGCTTCTCCGACTCAGCTTGAAACACGTAGCAAGTAATGACATGGCTTACCCAGCAAGAAGTGCGGTGTAGGATGGCTGAACGGCCGGATCAGAGATTTATACGGCGATATACAAACGACTTGCTCACAGGTAGTAAAATGACGGAAATGCAATTCGCCATCGAGACCACTGATAAAAGTAAGGCCATGTTACTCACAAGAGCCTTCGAAACTCACGAGTGATACACAGTATGGAAATTATGCCATCTCGACATAAAGTAGCCACCAACAAACTACCCTCCAATCGGAAAGATTTGAAGCGTTTGTACAGTGTCAGTGTCATCAGCACTGCGGGTGATTATGCGGTAACTGGGCAGAATAATCGTAATGCTACGTACCAAGCTCAACCAACATCAACAAACCATAAATAAGACTGGTATTCCGTCCTGCCACAAATACGCCAGTCGAATCTGAAGGAATGTTGTGAGCAGAAGAAATTCAGGACAATTATACGAACCTCCGGATTCACTTGCATCAACGTCTGAGATTACCAGCACCGCTGCTGAGACGACCTGAAGGAATTCAGTCAAAAGCAAATGGCTCAGGAGAAAGAGACCAAGGTCACCGTGGTAAATGTCAAAGTCAAAGTCAAAAACCTCTTGTCACACCCCCAAACTACGTAGGTCCTTACCACAAGCAAGACTTTGAATCAAAGGAGTCATTGGAAAAGAAACCATGTGATTTGTGGAGTTGATACTTACGCTCAGCAGCAGCTATACCCAACCAGCGGATGCCTAGAAAATGAGTGAGGATTGGATTTTGAGTGAGGTTCTTGTTATACACCACCATCATATAGAGCAGTGAAAATCCCATTATCGGGCTGGAACATTGTCATGAGTATTTTTCGCGTGGTATTGCGAAGAGCTTACAATTCCTCCATGAGTGGACCCGACCGAGTCTATGCGCGGAACCTCAGTGAAGAGCGAGGGTGGAAAAAAGGCCGCGAATACTCACAGTATACAGTCATAACAAGACCTATGAATGGCAAATAACGAGAAACGATGAAGATTATTCTCATGATCCCCCACCCTCTTCCCCATGTCCAACGAACCTGGCATCTTGTCAAACTTATATAGCACCATTAAAAACAACTAACCTCCGAGTCAAAGTGATGATGAAGTCAAAAAGCTGCAAAGAGAAATCAGTAGTTATGATGACACCATTTGGCCCTACTTACAAAAACTGTCATGGAAGCAACTGTTTCGACGTTTACAGGAGAATTCAGTTTTGCCCACAGAGAAAGGAAAATGTAGACTACCTGAAGTATACTGAATCCAAATGAGCAAATAAAATCGATAGGTGAGGAAGAGTACGCACTGCGACAGTCTGAAAACCAACAGAATCGGGAAAATAGACATTCATGTTGAGCTGGGGTTGGCAGGTAATCTCCCGTGGTAATATCTTGGATTGAACCTGAAGAATGAACCAGACAGTCATCCCATCGAGGTTCCGGGCGTATTGGGTAGAATTCCCTCGAGTCGCTGTTAAAGGTTAAGTACTAGTGACTCCCACAGCAATCGGAGCCTGCCACGGGGAATCCGAGGAAAGTTAACCATTATACGTAACTAAAGTGCTTCGTATAACGGGTCTATTAATGGCACTTCTACGTTGCAACTACTTATACATGTGGTTCATGATGCATGAACACAGCCGGTCGGCAGCTTCTAACTTGAAGGCTATCACATGTCTGCCATACTAGCAGCACAGTACTAAAATCATACTATACTAGTGTTTAGACTCGTGACCCGGGAGTCCGGAACCGTTTATACATGAGACTACCACACACGCTCGCCTGGAGAGTTGCAACGCCGACTTCGTTCATCAGTCTACGACAGACCAGCAAGTAGCTATCGGTCGATAGTTAGTGATGGAGCTAGGACAAAGTTCTGGATCAGCAGACGTGATAAACAACGCCGAGGTAGAACTGCGTACGAGAACCAAGCTTTCTAGTCCGAGACGGAAAGATGCAACCGGTGACAACAACACCGGTGAACACGTCCCCAAAATGCGATAAGAATTCACAAGGAAAGGAAGCCCGGAGGTTAGCGGTAATCCTCCGGAAGACGCACATGAGCTCCTGATCGGTCGAATTTGGAAGTTGCACTTATTTTAAACTCAGCTTTCTATATGCATGGACGATAATTATATCGATCAATGTCTGTCTTATCTTTGTGTAGGTAACCATGCTTCCCAGGGAGGCCATTCCTGTTCTTGCAGGATCTCCTTGTTGAAACTTGCTTACATCAATGCCCGCCTTAAAGAACATTACGCTCAAGCCCGGCAAGAAGTCTGCAGAGCCCAACTATGTCCTTGTCATCCACGGCGGTGCTGGTACCATGATACGGGATGGCTCAACGCCCGAACAGCGCGCCAAGTACAAGGCCGTACTCTCACGCGCATTGAAAGCGGGCTATGAGGTGCTCAAGAGCGGAGGAGAAGCTATGGATGCTGCCGTCGAGGCTGTATCAGTCATGGAAGGTGGGATAAACAGGTGTTTGGGCAGTCAATAACTAACTTCTACAATTTACAGACTGCCCGTTGTTCAACTCTGGCCATGGCGCGGTCTTTAATGTTGCAGGCAAGGTACGTTTCCTTACCTATGATTAAGAGCATTCCTGTATATCATGTCTAGAATGAGCTCGAGACTTCTTTAATGGTCTCCAAGCCTCCTGCATCACACCCCGCAATGCCCTCATCCCGACGCGGATCCTCAGTCACGTTAATCACTCATACAAGAAATCCTTCTCACCTCGCACGCGCACTCTACCTTGCGCCCCAGCTTGCCCCTCACCCAATGTTGTCGGGTGCAGCAGCAGAAGCCACAGGTGCTTTACTTGGCGTACGTCAGGTTGATCCATCCTACTTTTGGACTGAGGCGCGGTGGAAAGAACACAGACGTGGTCTTGGATTACCCGAAGATCCTGTTGAATACCCCAGACCTGAAATACCCGACGATACAAATTCAGAGACGACGGATGTCGCCAGCCTTTCTGATCACAAAGATAAAGAGACATGGGAGCCTCTTGATCTGATGCCAACGGGTACTGTTGGTGCAGTCGCACTTGATATCCGAGGCTGCATTGCCGCAGTAACCTCCACTGGTGGATTTACGAACAAACTTGTCGGTCGAGTTGGAGATACCCCCGTAATGGGATCTGGTTTTTGGGCTGAAGAATGGGAAAGGGACGGTGGATTTGTGAAGCGCAACTGGGATCGCCTTAGAGGCAAATCGAAATATGAGGGTGTAGGCGTTTCTGGTACTGGTAATGGAGACGTGAGAAACAGTCGAGCAGATATTCAGCTTGCAAGTGCTAATCATACACTTTAGTACTACATTCGCCGTGCTGCAGCTTCCAACATCGCTCGGCGGATGCAATACCTCGGCGAGTCCCTGGATGAGGCAACTCAGAACGTCATCGATGACCTGTTCAAGGAAGGAGGATTGGGTGGTGTCATTGCACTGGACAGAGAGGGAAACGGTACGTTCTCGTTCTCGTGTGAACTGTACAACTGACTTGAACTCTGGGTGTGCCAGTGGCTCTTCCACTGAACTGCGGTGGCATGTATCGCGGCGTTATTCGTCCTGATGGCGTACCGCTCACAGCTATTTTCTTTGACGAACAACTTACTGAACTCCAAGCTGGGTCAACAAACTGCACCTGAGCGTATATTTATCGCTGGTTGATAATTGCTCTCAATCGTATGGGGGGATACACATCTATTTGGTGGGACGGTTGATGATTAGGACATTCGGAAGGTAGACACTAGTGAATTTAGAGTTCGCCTCCAAGTCATAAATCTGGACAAGATTAATGGAACAACCAATATATGTGGTTTCATATTCTTCTTCGTCGACCACCAACAAGTCACTTTGCCGGAGTGGTTAACGGGATCGCCTGCTACAAGTAGCTAAGCGGTTGGGCTTTGCCCGCGAGTGTTCGAATCGCTCAGGTGACGCTTTTTTGGTCCATTCTGCAATCGAGAGTTCCCACGAGGTCTAACATGAACGCGACCAGTTATGTTATTCTCTTTACCTCAAATCCGCACAAAGTGTGGATGTTTGAACGCTCACGATGAGCGCGAACAAATATGCAAATCTTCCCGACATCGTGCGTATTATCGTTACTGTCCCTGTTATATCTCCACTTATTGTTTGATGACAGGACACTGCACAAGATGTCTATGAAACGGAGGACGTGTTTCCCTCATCTGAGATCAATGTTAGTGCCCCTCGTGTTCCCAGAATGCTGCCCACGAACAACTGATCTCAATCAGAAAGGCGATTCGGATTCTGACGAACCCTCAGGTCCACGAATACGCGCTCAGCGGGGTGCAGAAACCTTCAAAAGAAGAACTCGACGACAGCAACTTGATCAGCGCAGAAGATGCGAGCAGACACTTTCGGAGAGCCGAACGACGTCGTGCGTTGTATTCCTTCAAACACGTATACTGTGTATTGGACATCTGATCATACTTCAGGGCAGGAATCACGCTTTGCATACCCCCCGTCACCGACATCCTCTCCATCGCGTTCGCCATCACCGAGTAGGCGACCTCTCCCTACGCGTCTACGAGCTCTGCAAGCTGAGCTTGCTGCTTTGGAGGGCGAGGTTGCAGATCCGTCTAATCCTGCACTTAAAGCTGAGGGTGTCGATGCTGGTGAGATGATAAGAGGATTGGTGGACGTGCGGAGACGGCTGGAGAAAGTCAGAATGGGACGCGAAGGAAGAGGGAGATTAGTTGGTGTTGTGCTTGGTGATGGCACCAGGGAAGACAGCAAAGAAGACGTGGAGGAGTCCAGTGCGGATGACAAGACAAAGGAGTCGAAAGTGCAGGAAGTACCGGAAGTTCGGGGTATCGCTGAAATGGATAAACGAGTCGGGGAACTAGAGAAATTGGTGGGCTCTGTGGGTGCGACTTTGGATGAGGTATGTGCTTTTCGATGCCAGGCGTAGGGCACTACTGACCATATTTCAGTCCACGCCGATTACGCCGCCTCTTCTTCCTATGCTCACGCGCTTGAATTCACAACTGATGCTTTTGACTCAACCACGGCATATCGACTCCATCTCCCGTAGACTGAAACTTCTGTTGTCGGACCTTGAGCGGGTATCAACCGCACAAACACCAAAGCGCCAATCGCAGCAGCCTGGAGGTTCAACCGTGATTCCTGGTACTGCTACCCAGGATGCACTCCTTCCCCTGTTAACGCGTCTGGCTCCTTCGCTTCCTCACGTCCCACATATATTAACTCGATTGCGTACCCTCTCTGCACTGCATGCATCTGCGGGTGAATTTCAGGGAACGATGGCAGCGCTCGAAGAAGAGCAGCGTAAGACAAAGGACGCTCTTGAAGCTCTCAAAAGTGCCGTCGGAGACGTGGAGACCAGCTTAGAAGCTAACAAGGGAACAGTTGCAGGAAATGTGCAAGGTCTGGAGGACAGAGTAGACAGAGTTTTGACTCGACTCGAAGAGCTCTCAAGTAAGTAGCGATAGACAATTATAATGATACCATTAATGCAATGACGATGGAAGCGAGTAAAATACAATGATTCCGTGCAGCTTTTGTTCAATCAATCCAGATCGGTAACGCCACTATCTGCAAGAAACTCTCTGGCATGCTCCTTCGCCGCAGCTGAAACGTTTGGATCTGGAGTCGTACACGGTTAGAGGATACTGTGCGGTACGAGAGCGGATCTTACTATGGATGGCCGCCTTATATCCAGCAAGGACACGATGCTGATGTTCCTCTTCTGAATGTGAAGTATCAAGCTCGTGCTGGATACCAGCGGCGTCCAGCACTTCTCTGGCGTGTTTCTTAGCTTCCTCTGAAACATGGGGATCTGCACGAATCAGCAAGACGGCGCGCCATGGCAAGCAACCGACATACTAGAAGTCGCTGCTTTGTAGCCCCGGAGAACGTTCTTTTCATGTGCCTCGGCCGCTGCTGATTGAGTAGCCTTTGTCTGCGCTGGCGTAATGGGGTCTGCTGACTGACCCATCTCTTCGAGGCGTTTCAAGGCGTTTTCCTTTGCTTCGCTTGATACATTAGGGTTGTGGACAGCCGCTTTCAGGCCAGCAACAACGCGCGCTGTGTCTTTGGTGTGCTCTGAGGTTCCTGAAGCACAGCGAACTTGTAAGAATCGAAAGAAGAGGTTTGAAAATGTGAAAACACGTACCAGACATTGTTGTGTTTGTTGGAGAAATCAGTAAACAGAATTACGGGCGTAATTTCTCCTAGGAGGCGTTATATACCAGCAGCATCAACAGAGGGGCTTCATGGACTGACGTCGGTATGATATCACGTTCACGTGATGTGTGCGTCAATATTATTAATTATTTTTTGGAGTACGATTTCTTTAATAAGTAATAAAATATCAGCGAGCGCTCTGGACTCTGGAGTCGCGACTCATGTTGACTAAGCATCCCCAAGGTTCACTCAGTTGCACAGCCACACCAAGTCTTGCATCAGCAACACGAGTCCATCTAGCCTTCGAGGCACCTGAAGCACAGCGACCAGTTACATTCCACTGAGGCCGCAGCCTTATAATCCCTATAATGGCTTCTGTCGCATCTTCGAATACCCTCAAATCACACACATCTCCCTCGAAAGTATGCTTCACATGCATCACGCAATCTAATATTTGACGTTCGCTTAGCCCTCTTCTACTCGTACTTACGATGCGAAGCTTGTTTCACGAGAAATGCACCGCCTCGGAACGCTCGCAGGTCTTAATCCGAGCATTACCCCTTCACTATCCACAGGTCCTGTTGCACCTCCTCTCACGCTCGCACCATCAACCTCGCCATCTAGCAGTGGCATTGCAAGTGCCGCTGCACTTCATTCCAGCGCGTCAAGCGCGGGCATAACGGACAAGGATAATCCCTGGCGCACACTGCATGTGCATGTCCTCCCCCTGTTCAATGAAGAGCCATTGCGTGTCCCCATGTACGTTTGTTGCGCGATCACCTGCTCTGCAAAGTCTAATCATACACAGAGAAGACCTCAACGCTCTTGTACGGCGGCATATCCAAACGATACTAGCTGTGTCCCCTTCGAAGACTCTCGCGACTCTCGAAACAGACGCGCGTGAGCTCATTGCAGCAGGCATGGTCACTCTCAACGCCAAACTCTCTAATATATCAGACGAAGTACTATTGGGCCGTGTTACTGAGATCTGGGGCTTTTTCTGGGACCAAATTCTCCCATATATCGAAGGGGTTAGCTGTCTTGCCCAATAACGATTCGTGTTTCTGTTCTAAGCTCATCTTTCAGGTCCTATTACCATTGCAAACTGATCCCTTACTGACCTCGTTGCATCGTACGCAAAAACAACATCGGACGTCTTCGCCTACGCGACAAGGCGGTAAACTGAGTGGCTCATCAGCGCTATCCTCGCTATCTCCGACGATTGACGTTCGCAGCGTCGCTCTATGCGCGTTTCGTGATCGTGTCGTGCTTCCTGTCCATGGCCGTCTACATAATCTGCTGTCCCCTCCTTATGGGAAAGACATGCTCGCACGGCTAAGTCCCTTCCGCCAACCGAGATTGCAACAGATGTGTGTGCCCTATTAAATTTTAAATCTAATTCATCCTAACGCCTTTGCTAGGTTGCTAGTTCTCACATCTGAGCGGCGGGTCCGCTCTCCCTCTCCACCCCTTTCACTACACACACCTGCAATTCAGCCTTCGGCAGGCGAGGCGGCAATTGAGTCTCTGCTCCGCCTAGTCTCGAACCAGCGGGTTTCACATGGACATGGACATGGTCTCGCACCTCGGGCAGCCACGCCCAGTTTCCTGTCTGCTGGGCGCCCACGTGATCGACGGGGGCGAATTGGCTCCTCTGGGGCTGCAAGTGTACTTGGGATTGTTGGCGGGTGGGCAGCGATGCCCACACAGACAGATGAGCGGGAGGAAGAAGAAGAGGGTGGAGAGACTCCGAAAATTGGGGGGATTGATAAAGGGCTGACGAAGCCGTATCACCAGCGTGGGGGTGGGTGGGGTCTTGGAGCTGGGAACGAGGACATTATCAGGCCAGTCGAGGAAGACGATGATGACGACGCATTAGACTGGGCTCAAGCTCAGGTTAGTGGGAGCTATCCAGCTGAGGCGGTTTCAAATTAATTTTACATTAATGATTCTAGGCTGTGGTCGAGAAGTTGGTAGGGATCAAATCCACTGAAGCTGTTGCCGATTCGCGCAGAAGGGCAACTTAGCTGATATAGCTGATGGATGTCTTCAGTGTTGATCGTCTGTGGACTGATACTGTACCTTGCTACGGGTATGGCCGCTTTCTGTATCTCGTGTTCCTATTTGCCTCAAAGCTGATATCTCGCACGAAGAATACTTAGAAAGGAGTACTAGTTGGGCCTTCATTGACACGACATTTCGTAGCTTTGTCTATCCTGATCAATCTTTGGAGTGTCGTGTTGATGAACAGCAGCAGGCGCTCGCTCTCATGTACACAGTGGCCAGTGGTACAAACGAGGTCATCGTACTGATAATTATGCACCCCCCGAGAGGAAGCGATTCCTCCATTGATGAAAGGCGACAAACTTTCACCAACCAATATCATGATCTCGAACTCATCTTCCCCATCGTCATGGTACCCGCAGTGCTGATCACGAAGCTTTCCTTTGACTACTTTGAGAGGCACAACAAACGCACGCCCTCATGTATTTCAGAACTTTGTTGTCAATTCACTTTCAGTCAGCCCAACTGAAGAAGTGACTTCACCGTCGCCTTGCAGAGTATTCCTGACATCGACGAAAGGTCGGGTCGGACCGATATCAGCGAAATTTGTCCCGGAACCACCATAAGACTACATCAGATGGGTGTTATTCAATGCTCAGATTCCATTGAAGCAGAAGGAAATTTTTCGACAATGTGTCGTATCGTGCTGATGTACGTGATCTCCGTCTACAATTGAGCAGTCCCTTTTGACCAATATATCAATAGTCCTTGCCATCACATGGAGCAACTGAGCATGCCACTTAATTCCGATCCAATCCTTTCAACTAGGCTCAAAGATTTGTCTCTGCAGACGAAATGGATCAGGCATTCGGTTACGTGTGTGCTAATAGTCGAAATCCCGCTAACAGCAGGCAAGCCTGTATGTGTTTTCCCTTCCAATTTCTTTATTACTATTACATATTTCGATCAAGACATGAAAGGCAGCGGATAACGCACTGCATAGAATTCACGAGAATGATTTCGGTAGGAGGGTGTAAAGTGATTTCCCTGCACTTGCAGCTGCGAACATCAAGTGATCCGCTGCCATCCACGTTGAGATGACTTCGTGCTGTCGATAGTTCGTGAGGGTCTGGTGGGTGCTTGTAGCGATACCTGTCGTATCGGTCGGGTTGTCTGGCAGTGCTGTCAATACCTACAGAGAGATTTGCAAGTAACGGAAATCCATGTGCCTACGTATGCTATACATCGATTATAGCATTGCCAGCAACTTATCGGGAAATGCGAAGCTTGTTCCAGAAGAAGCGGTACTAATTAATGACTGCGTCAGCGGGGTCTGTAAGCGGAACGACACAGTGCTGGCAGTTATTTTTGATCTTGCGTATTTGACTAGGCAAGACACGGTTGATAAAGCTGACGACATATGCGGAGAGACTGCTTGATTAAAAATCATATTCAAAACCTTTATGGACGACGTAGACATACACTTGTTGTGTAGGTGCGGCACGGATGCGGTACGGCTCCACTTGGTTGCCGGTCCGACGACCTCGCATCGTGACGAACGCGAACTTACCCTAGTAGTAGACCTGCTAGAAATCTATGTACGTAAGCGGTATAATAGGGACGCTCAAAGTTCGGGGGCGCACAGGTCGCCCACGCCCACCGCCCACGCCTACGACCCCACCACCCTACCCAAAACGTACTTTGTATATTACATAATATTAAACTTGTGAAAAATAAACACTTTACACTTTGTCGTTGTTATCGTCGCCGTCGTCGTGCTTCGTGATGCGGAAGAAGAACACCGGAGTCGCGATTCCCGAAATTGAATGGACAGCCGATGTGATCTGGCAATTGCTAACCCAAATAGAGTTGTCAGAAAACAGAGTCGTGCTGCTGGGGAAGCGCAAGAAGGGCGAGGTAAGTAAGTCCAAATGGCACAATGGTACGAGACTGATGATGACTTGCAGAGAACATCGGGCGACAGCAAAGTCACCGTTTACCAGCGCATGGGGGCCGCGATATTCCCACAGTTACATAGCTTGAATGCTGTTGCAGTTGGAGAACGTGTCAAACGGAAATATGAGCAGTAAGTCTGCCACATATTTCGTTTCCTCAAACTCATACAGTTCTTACAGCCTGACAAAGAAATACAAAGAGCTGGCTCGCCGGCTTCGGACAACAGGTGAAGGCATCCAAGCTGATACAGATGGCAATCTGTCCGACGGCGACAACAAATATTTCGAGTGTTATGTTCCTGCTTCTGGACCAAACGAGACAACTACTTCGAGGGCACAGTCCATTTGGGGTATGTACCTTACATTACTGTGCATCGTCTCCGAGTATAAATAACTCCACTCCACCCTCCGAGATCCCTGCGTGGCGGGCAATGTCCTCTAGTGACCCGCCATTTCCGTAGCGTCCCATCCGATAGAGTGTGACAGCAAGCTGAGTCTGGATGGGTGTTTGAGAATTGTGTGAATTATTATAGAATACAGGATGGTCTTCGATTAAATCAAGTAACACCTCGAAAACCGTAGGGGAAATTCGAAGCATGTTGGTAAAGCGGTCGTGGTCAGATGGACTTTTGGCATATTCCCAAGCAAGGTGTAAACTACTCGCTTTCGCGGCAATGGGGGATCGTCCTTGTAGGTAGCGAGTTTGCCGGATTGTGAGAATGCAAGATATGTCACAGTGCAGCTGCTGTGCTGCTTCTTCTACAGTCTCTGCAGGGTGAAATAAGATACGAAGGACAATAAGGATGAGGTATGAGCGCAGGTATTGCTCGTGCAATGTGTGACGAGCCATCTGTGATATGTTTATTGCACAAGCCTTCAATGACTACCTTAGCATTGTATTATATAATACAGATATGTACAAAGCGGGATGGCGTTGCCGTGCGGGGGGTCGTAGGCGTGGGCGGTGGGCCTGGGCGACATGTGCGCCCCCGAACTTTGAGCGTCCCTAATGCATACACGAGGTTTATGCATGCACGATTGGGCTGTGTTCTACACAGCTCGAAGTTCGACCCTTGACGTCTTATATTCCCTGGACCTCTTACCAGCTATCATCTAACCCACCGGACGAAAATGCCCTCTCTATCAGTCAAGGCTTCTTCTATCAAGTTTTTTTTCAAGGATTTCGATCTCGGCGAAGTATTCGCAGTTCGGTCGAAGTGCAACAGACACACACAGTGCAGCTCGACAACCCACCACGAAGGCCATGACTCCATCTCTGCAGATATCCCTAGTGAGTTTCCCGTTTCTTCATCCACTCTCCATTCAAATTTATCGCTACTAGTGCACTCTGGATCCCTGGCGAGGGATCCAGGTCTCCAAGTCTCGATCAATATTTCCTCCGCCACAACCTCCCATGGCGATTCCTTTGCCCGTGCAACTTCTGACGTAGCTCAGACATTTTTACCTGTCGTTCAGGCCTTTGCAAGTGCAATTCCAATCGCCGGTCCTCCTATGCAAGCTGCCATTGGTGGATTGTTGTCGATCCTTCAAATTATAGATGTGAGAGTTTATTTTCTTATGAGGACATTGCTTTATTCATATGCCATCGCAGAGACGTAGTCAGAATAAAACAGACCTAAATCGCCTGAGGGAATGACTTCAACGACTAGGCTCACATCTCTGCAATGCCCCGACCACCCAGAATACCTCCGAACAAGACCGGAGAAATTCCATAATTAGGTATACATATTCTTGATGTGTTCTTGACGTTACCCTACATTGAGTGTGCTTAGGATTCTGCAAGAGACCTCTGCCCAGCTGACGAACCTGCAGAAACGTCGTCCTGAACATGCATCCGTCACACAAGCTATCGCCGGATGCTCCATTGAGATCGACCGTTATTTGTTGGAGTCTTTGGTTGTTTCCTACTCTTTATAAATTGCCAGGATTCACTTACTACTCCGTTTGGCTAGTGGTCGTTCCAAATGCAAAGTCACCAAGACACCCACGAAGGGTCGGCAATCCTACGGAGGCAGCAGGATTTTGTGGGACCCACCGCAATGCAGTTAACCGCGGCTGTCACACTTGGCTGCGTGAAATTGATAGACGTGACAGGCTACGAACATGCGATATCAGTGACCTGTTGCACCTCATTTCAGGTCTGCCTCCCCAGTGTAAAATTTGTATTGAGAAGTGAGCTCATCGAATTTTCTTTAGCAACTCGATAAGATGCTCCAGGTCCTGTTTGAATGCAAGTCGATTGAAGCTCGACTTCAGAGACAGTATATGGAGCAAGGACAATATGATTTGTGCATCGACGATGACAAGCAAGTGACCCGACTTACAAGCCATGAATGGCCAAGAATTGAAGCAGGCACGACGATCGTCATGAGGATCATTTTTGAGCAGAAGACAGGCCCTCAAGTTGAATACCAATGTTATATGTGCGGCGCTGTCAATCGCATTGATACCAAGTATTCGCTTCAACGCCGGGCTGGTTGCTCCATCAATTGGTGAGTTTATTTGTCTTTTGAGGGCTGACAGCACCTAACAAGCAAAAGTCGAATATGCAAACGACGATTTCAAATCTCCCACGAATCCGATCCAAAGCCCCAAACACAATCTTCCATTGACCACACTGAAGCAGAAATGCACCTCATTCGCAACTTTCATGTCCAGGAAATGGTATGTGCCCATGGGATTTCCCTAGCCATTCAAAACTGAAAGTGCAATAACTATAACCCTAACCCGCATGCTGCTGGTGCGCCAACTGCATCCTGCTCTCAGAATGTGTGTGTTCTCGTCCTTTGACCTGCTTCCTGACGCTGATGGTGCTCTTGCCGCACCCCGCTCTCAGCCAGTGCGTGTTTTTGTCATCTGACCTGCTTCCCTGATGCTGATGGTGCTCTTGCCGCGTCCCACTCTCAGTATGTGTGTGTTCTTGTCCTTTGACCTGCTTCCCAACGTTGATGGTGCGCCAACTGCATCCTGCTCTCAGAATGTGCGTGTTTTCGTCCTTTGACCTGCTTCCCCTACGCTGATGGTGATCTGGCCCTGTCCCGCTCTCAGATCGTGCGTGTTTTTGTCATTTGACCTGCTTCCCCAACGCTGATGGTGCTTTTGCCGTGTCCCACTCTCAGTATGTGCGTGTTCTTGTCTTTTGACCTGCTTCCCGACGTTGATGGTGCTCTGGCTTTGTCCCACTCTCAGGCAGTGCGTGTTTTTTGTCCTTTGACCTGCTTCCCCTGCGCTGATGGTGATCTGGCCCTGTCCCGCTCTCAGCCAGTGCGTGTTTTCATCATTTGACCTGCTTCCCTGATGCTGATGGTGCTCTTGCCACGTCCCACTCTTAGTTTGTGCGTGTTCTCGTCGTTTGACCTGCTTCCCCGACGCTGATGGTGCTCTGGCTGTGTCCTGCTCTCAGATTGTGCGTGTTCTCATCCTTTGACCTGCTTCCCCTACGCTGATGGTGCTCCGGCCCCGTCCCGCTCTCAGGATGTGCGTGTTCTCGTCCTTTGACCTGCTTCCCCTACGCTGATGATGCTCTGGCTGTGTCCCACTCTCAGATCGTGCATGTTCTTGTCCTTTGACCTGCTTCCACAACGCTGATGGTGCTCTGGCCCCGTCCCGCTCTCAGGATGTGCATGTTCTCGTCATTTGACCTGCTTCCCCGACGCTGATGGTGATCTGGCCCTGTCCCGAGAACATTCTCAGGATGTGCGTGTTCTCGTCCTTTGACCTGCTTCTCCGACACTGATGATGCTCTGACTGCGTCCCGCTCTCAGATCATGCGTGTTCTCGTCCTTTGACCTGCTTCCACAATGCTGATGGTGCTCTGGCCCCGTCCTGCTCTCAGCCAGTGCGTGTTTTCATCATTTGACCTGCTTCCCCAATGCTGATGGTACTCTGGCCCGTGCTGCTATCAGGAGGTGCGTGTTCTCGTCCTTTGACCTGCTTCCATGACACTGATGGTGCTCTGGTCGTGTCCCACTCTCAGATCGTGTGTATTCTCGTCCTTTGACCTGAATCCCTAATGCTGATGGTGCTCTGGCTACCTCCCGCTCTCAGGATGTGCGTGTTCTCGTCATTTGACCTGCTTCCACGACTCTGATGGTGCTCTGGCCACGTCCCGCTCTCAGATTGTGCGTGTTCTCATCCCTTGACCTGCTTCCACGCTGCTGATGGTGCTCTGGCCCCGTCCCCCTCTCAGGATGTGTGTATTCTCATCCTTTGACCTGCTTCCCCAACGCTGATGGTGCTCTGGCCGTGTCCCGCTCTCAGACAGTGCGTGTTTTCATCTTTTAGGTCGCTTATCTGATTCTAATGTTTTGACAAAGTCCTGCTCTGTCGATGTGATAGCGCGTGTTTCTCATGCTAGCGGTGCTTCAGCAACGCCCTATTTTCATAGGGTGTGTGCTGTCGTTTGTTGAAATGTTCACTTTTTTTTGACTTCAACGCGTTCAGAATGAATTCCTCCATGATGGCCCAACCCAACCAAGTCACATTTCACCCTCACATGGCATGTGACATTGTCTTTCTCAGTGAATAACCACATCTAACTTTTTGCACTGCACTGTCCAGTGTCAGATGGTGCATGTTTTCATATTACATATGTCTTTGAGCTGATTGTGAGTCACAGAGTATGGGTATAGCCGCATTGAGGAGATCTAGGAAGACTGCAACAATGCTTGTGATGAGGATGGAGTGTGCTTCCAGCTGAAGATGGGGACTCAGAGGATCGTAAGGAATGGGAAGATGGGGAGGACCATGAGGAGACAGTGTTTTGTGGCGAACTTTCAACATGGCAGTATATTGCTACCCCCTGTACAACTGCAGACTCAGCTTCATGTGCCTCGATGTTTGTTTCCCTATGTATATGAACAGAATCATCTTCAGGTGAACTTGGAGTGTTCAAGCTCAAGATTATGTACTCTGTTTGTCAAACACTCTGCTGTACATGCCTCGCGTTTTTTTGCTGCTATCACCTTGTACATCCTGACCTTTCGATGTTCAACGTTCAATATTCAATGTTGTATCTTAGGAGAGCTGTGCATATCGATCGAATGATGTCACGCCAGCCTTGGCCTTGAACAGATTGATGGTGCTGGTACTCATGCATCATGCTGAAGCCGTCGCTCACATTATCGTTTCCATGATCGCTTGCATTGATCAATCCTGTTGTGAGACGACGTCAACGGGCAGCTCGAATGAAATCATTTGCGGTTCGCGACCACCATATCACAGGGGGATATCAAAACCTGGACCAAGGATTCAAGTACTCCTTTTGAATGAGACCCATTAGAATGAAGAACCATGCCATATACTTGCATTCTTGCTTTCCACGAGGCTCCGGGTTTGTTGCAAAAAAAATGAAGAGCAGGCAGAATACGTCGTTTATTCGTGTCGTGGCTCTGATAGTGCGTACAACAGTAGTGTCATAAGCTAATAGCGTAGAGTCACCAAGCAGACACCAGAGTCGTTTTCACTTGATCCCGGTCTGATGTGACAAAGGCTAACTTACATAGCAATATTTGCCGCTGTCCTGGGTCAGAAACCGGGCTTTTCAAACGTAGGCGGTGGATAGACATCGATTAGAGAAGGTGTAATAAGCCTTGGTAAAATTGGGAAAACACATGAGTTGAGCGGAAGAATGCAGTTGCAATATTAATGTTGCAATGTGCATCACCTACTAGTATATAAGCTGATATAAAACGCGTGAAAATTGCTTCTCGCAGATAACAATTTACCCCGGGACTTTGACTCGGACCGGGTCGAACGCATTGCACTGATGAGCGGAGTTCAGCGGCAAGCCCAAGACTGAATTACGTGAGAATCGAGGACACATGAGGCCTTGAGGATGCTCTTCGAATTCAACTGGGACTCACTCGAGCTCCATCGCATCATTTGTCAGGTAAATCATGTGAACTCATCAATCAAGTTTGCTGTTTAAATTTCGGTGCAGAGTTGACGGAACTTGCCCTATATTTCCCGCCACCATCTGTCGACATGTCAACGTTTCAACCCCCGGCGATATGAGGCCACCATGACAGTTGCAAAATCCTGGAGAGCGTAGCACTGAACACTGAACTCCTTCACATCCAACGAACCCACAAGATTGTGGACTTCTGGATCAGTTCATATTCAGGTAGTTCCACTCCATACCTATACGATAATGCAATTGGCTGTGCGAGTTGCACAACATTTTTTCAAACGATCACTAAGTCAGGCACGTCGTAAGTAACGCCTTCGTTCGCTCAAGTCAGATCTCACTAAAACTCAAATCTCCAGTTAAGTATAGGTGTGCGACGTGACGTGTTTTCCGAGTCAGGGACTTTAGTGTTGCTGTCAAGTTTGCACGATAGGGTTTTCCGGACCGCCGTTTCTTGCTACTTCAATATTCAATGGCTTCGCAGGTGAGTATTATTCCCAGAGACGGGCTCCCGCAGATTCCCGCACGTGCTTCCGCTGTACGAGGCTCAAGTGTTGAAACATTTCCACCTTGTTCCCACCACATAATTCCCAGAATTGTCATTCTTGCGACCCCACGGGTCGAGATTAAATTGATGCGGGTCGCAGTCAAAGCTAAAGTCTTGATACCGTGTCTAGTGGCAGTCATCAGCTTCAGGGAATCGTACGCTGACCTGCTTGCTATTCCTTCTTAAGACGGTTTATCTCCACTATGGCATCATCAAATCCAAAGGTGTGGTTTGGTAAGCGAGGAATATCTCGGTGGCCCGGAAACGCTAATCGTCATTGCTAGTCACTGGGGCGTCTTCGGGTTTTGGTCGAGCAGTTACCGAAGTCATGCTTCAGAGAGGAGACAATGTTGTTGCGACTCTGCGGAAACCTGCTATGCTAGATGACCTCGCAAATGTATACTCACAGAATCGGCTTCTCGTCTTGCCTCTGGACGTCACAGTTCCTTCTGATATCACTACCGTTTTTCTCAAAGCGCGCGAGACATTTGGCCGCATCGACGTTGTTTTCAACAATGCGGGACTATGCATAATCGGTGAAGCGGAAGGCATGCCTGATGATGACGCAAAACTCTTGTTCGATACATTGTTTTGGGGTGCCGCAAATGTCACGAAAGAAGCTGTGACAACGTTTAGAGATTTGAACCAACCCCCTGGGGGACGTCTCTTGCAAATGTCATCTCGCGGAGTCCTGCGAGTCATTCCAGGGGTAGCGCACTACGCCGCAGCGTACGTGACGCCTTCTCGCTCATCGTTTTAACTGACATTTGCATAGTAAAGCAGGTATATACAGTCCCGCTATTCTTGATTCGAAATATTCAATCGCAGACAGCTCTTGAATCTCTTTCGGAAGGGTATGCTGCTGAGTTGGATCCAGCATGGAATATCAAGGTGCGTTCTATGCACGATACTAATTTCGAACTCGAATTTATCATCCACAGATCACTATTCTTCAACCTGCTCGCTTCCGTACTGCCGCACCCTGGACCAATGTTCTCGTGCCAGTCCATCCTGCGTACTCTGATCCAAATTTACCTTCTAGACAATACCGCAGCATATATCCAGGAGCTGAACTTTTTTCGGACGGAGACATCTACAAGTTCGCAGCCCAGATTCATAGGCTCGTGCAACTAGAAGATCCTCCGTTTTATCTCCCGTTGCACAGAACAGCATTGGAAGCGGCAAAGATCAAGGGCCAAAAGTTGTTGCAAGCTGTCGAAGATTACGGTAGTTGGTCAGATGATGTATATCTCGACGAGGAAAACTGTCAGGGGCGAGCATGATTTTGTAAACTTGTTTCATGCGCTGATTTCCGACATGCAGTGTCCTTGAGGGATGCTCAATTCTAAAATGTTGTTATCGTTCGGGACTCGGGCACCAACTTAAGCCTATCTTGAACGGGACTACAATGTGCCTAAACCTTAATTCTAGTACTTAATCCATGATGCATGCTCGAAATAGGACATCCAGCTGACTTCGCGAAATCGTCCAATTTCCACTTTTCCGCTTCGTTATCTACTAAAGAGATCTATCATGATCAGGTGGGCGCCGGTTTAATATCCCTTCCTCATAAGGCTCAGCTTTGTGATCATTACGAGTGTCCACATATCCATCTTCTGCAGATTGATCCCAAGCTTAGTCTCGTCAAACAATGACCTCCCCGAAAGTTTGGTTTAGTCGGTTTGTTTCTACAGCTGGGCAGGAAACAAAGCTAACAACTTCCTCTACATTCAGTCACTGGTACATCGACTGGTCTAGGTCGAGAGGTTGCTGAATGCGCTTTGAGCAAAGGAGACAACGTATTCGCCACCCTGCGCAAGCCCTCGATGTTGGAAGACCTCACTGCTAAATATCCCTCCTCCCGCCTCGTCACTTTCCTGCTCGATGTAACAGATACACCCTCGATTACCACGGCATTCAATGAGGCCCTCTCACACTTCAATCGTATCGACATCGTGCTGAACAACGCAGGATACTATATGGTATCAGAAGTTGAAGGCATGCCTCACAAGGCAGCACGAGAGATGTTCGATGTGCTACTTTGGGGTGCAGAAAATGTCATGCGTGAAGCCATACGATGCTTCAGGGACGTCAATCGTCCGGTGGGCGGCCGCTTATTGAACCTTTCTTCCCGGACAGCTATCATTCCACAGCCTGGCACTGTACACTATGCTTCAGCGTGAGTTCGCATATTCTGCACAGTTTACCTCGTAAGCTGACATTCGAATGATAGCAAAGCTGGTAGGCTCTCAATCTCATCTTATGTTTTTGAAGTCCAACTGGCCATTACTAGCTTTGGAGTGTTTGTCGGAAGGGTATATCAGTGAACTTGACCCAGAGTGGGGCATCAAAGTAGGTCGCTTGTATTTCGGGTGTTGGAAAGTAATTCATCTCGATAAAGATCACTCTAATCGAGCCAGGTTTGTTTCGCACATCGGTAATCCAAAACCATGTGGCGGAACCCATTCACCCCGCCTATGCATCCAATGCATCCCTTCCTACGCGCAAATACCGAGCTCTCTATCCTGACATCGAGAAGACGCATTTTGACGGCGATCCGGCCAAGTTTGCAGAAGTGGTCTACAAGTTGTCTCGTTTGGATGAACCCCCAGTGCGCCTCCCTTTGCATAGGGTCGCCTTGGAATCTGCGAGACAAAAGGGGGAATCATTACTCGAAGCTGCCGAGAAGTGGTCTAGTTGGTCGGACGATGTGTATTTTCGTAATTGAACGAAACCCAGTGTCACATATTGCCGTGCGTCGCATACATCGATTCCAAGTACAGATACACTACCGAGAATGTTTTAGGATATACTGCATCATAGCCCGAAGCGCATTACTATCGATACATGCCTGCATGCCCTGGGTAACCATAGCCTTTGTTAGGACTACCATAGAAACTACCTGCCGTACCTCGTGCTAGTCCTCCTACTGCCCCTCCAACGAAGCCTCCTGGTCCTCCAGGACTGCCCATAGGGTTAGCGTATGTATGAATATCCGGCTCAGCACTCCGCGCACGCCTATTATGGTGTTTATGATGTCTGCTGGATGACCTGTGGCGTCTTCGGGGCATCTGGATGACAGTCGTACTGCCTGGATAGGCGGATACCGTTGTGACGCTCGGGGCGCCGGTGTATGGCGAAGACGCGCCGTAAATGGGTGGCACATTTACCGGGGATGCCCCTCCATACGGAGAGGACCCAGCACCATAAGGAGAAAAAACACCTCCGTGCGTCTTTGCAATTCCCATTCCATTCCCGCCTGCTAGTAGAGGGCTCTTACCACCATAAATTCCAGGACTCGCTCCTACGCCCATACTAGGTGCAGCGGCCAAGTAAGGCGAGTTCCCACGCATAACCGTTCCCTCTCTGGAGCTATGTGCTCGTGTAGGGTCAAATGGGGATGGCATCGAGAGCCGACTGTGTCTACCAGTGCTCTGATTGAAGTATGGTGCGTCATGGTCGATGGCATGTGGGTCGATCCCACCAGCCATGCCAGAACCTGTCATCCCGGGTGTTCCGAATCCTGAGCCATATGCGCCAACGTCCATTTTGGAATCGTACCCCATGCCTGCACCGCGACCTACATCACCTCCGGCGGGACATGACATGTTCTATGATAGTATTGTCAGTATCGGCGCGATTAGTCGACAGCCAATGGAATAGCTATCCAGATGATCAAACATACGAATACTGACTTCATCGAATATATGTGATGCAGTCGCTGCTGCAGCTTCGCACGCTGGCATACAACCATCCACATCAATCGGGCGTGAGATCATGTGCATTCTGATAGCTAGATGACAGATATTGTTGGTTGTGGGGAAGAAGATACTGACGAGAATTACCTTCTGCAATGGCAATCCCTATGAATGCTTCTCGTTGGCGCTCAATTTCTGCGCGAAAAGGCTCATAAAGCACATAGTTGTGAATCCAGATTCGGTGCGCTTCGTAGGCCGAGGCATATCCGATTTCTTGGGGAGTCAGCGCATTGATTGCACACTAGTGATGTATTTATATTGGTGGACTGGATAGAAGATATGCCTTACAAGACCACCGTATGCCCGTCGGTGCCATATACGAGCCTCATTGATACCTACACCCACAGGAGTCATATCTGAATTAGAGATTCTGCCATACACCTGATTGAAGATCGCACTAAGATAAAGTGTAAGTGGCCATGCTTTGGAGCGGGTTGTGGTTGTTCTTACGGGTCTATATGTGGTGCGTGTGCTCTGAAATAATCATATCCGCCCCCTACGCTCGACCGTTGAGTCCCTACGAAAAAGATATCGGTACACGACGTAGAACTTACAAGAAGATTGTGGTTGAAACTGAATCGGGGGAGGACGGCCAAATTGCAACTGTTTCTCTTAGTCAATAAGACCCCCAGTGCTCAGGGCAATCGACTCACTTGGTTGCTTCCCCATCCATGTAGAGTTGACTGGTAATGAGGGTAGGACATTGGTGAAAAGTGCGAATTGATGCGAAGCAAGGGACGTGCAGCCCCACAGCGTACTCGTAGCTATTTAATAAGATACACCATGAGCATGACATCACCGCTGGTATTACACCAAATTGAAGGTGATCGTGGAGTGTTGCACAGTTAATCTTGTGGAGCATTTTGTGATATCCTGTCTATAAAAAAACTCAGTCACAAGCATCGATAAACAAGTACTGGTAAAGAAATCACCGCTGAGCTCTACTTGATTGTAAACATGCGTAGAAAACCGTCGATTTCTTACCGTTGGACTTCTGAGCTGCTCCTGGCACTCTAAGCTAGTTGAGGCTGAGCGCTGAGGAATCGCCCTATACATGAATCTATGTCGGGTTGTAGTTTTAATGCAGAATCCAGATGCACCCGGAAAAAGTATTTCTCGCCATAGTGCCCACAAGCCGTTTGGTCTTTTTCTTGAATTCGATATAAGCTAACGCATCTTTACAGAGGAAAGTTGACTTTCAGTTGTTGCGTTATGTTCGTGCCGATGTGCTCCTCGCGCTCCATGATATATCCTTGTAATCCGGGAACGCTCAAGTTGCGTGCGTGCGTAGGCCGATTGGGTTTGGAACATGGGCATATGATTATGTCGACAAATCACGTCCACAACGGGGACAAGAGCAGTGAGCACATATTCCATCAACCTTAGCTTAATCTCTTGAAGACAAGCCTGGGCAAGGCGCGAATCGTTGTTTGCTGCAACGCTGCAGGTACACTGTGTAGTTCAACTCCGACGGCGCGTTCTCACGTTGATCATGTTCCCGTGCTCTCCCTAATTATTCTACAACTTCGAAGTGACCAGTGGCCCTACCGATGGGTGAGCTAACTACCTCTTTAACCTTCATACAACTTGCGCTCAAGCCTTGGATACAAATCAAGAATGACTCAAATGCGGTGGGATTGATGGTGATTGGCTCAACCGTCTCGCAGTCCAAAGGTGAAGTAATATTTTATGTCGCCACTAGCGCCGGTGACACTTCAGTATGTACTAGGGCAATACAATAGCTTATACCGCCGAGTTCAGGAATATCGATGAATCTGAAGAAGACTCATTCGATGTCGTAACACTGGTACTGCCTTCGGGCTTATCTACAGCATTCTACAAATATACAAATTGATCCTACGATTGGTGAGTGAAGGATTCCCGGAATTCCCATGGATAATTTATAAAGCTTGCCAAAAAAAACGGCTTAATTCCCGACTCAGACGGTGCGCTCATGCCAATGTCAGTATGTTTTTAATATTGTTGTCACACGTTTGATTGCTGATCTTCATTGGTACATAAGGTCAACTTTACCGAACCGTGTCGATAAGACTCCATATGAGCCTGTTAGATCACAATGGGCCAGTCAAGAGACGAAAAGTCGCTTTTGGGCGACGTATGTGCATGAAGCAGCTGAGCATGATGGACAAATTCTCGATAAGTACAAAAGCGATATGGACATCGTTCTAATATTCGTGCGTTTTTCACCTTAGCACCACCTCTTTCTTACTCATTTACTCGATACGCATACCCGTTGTTATAGGCGGGTCTTTTCTCCTCTGTTACTACGTCCTTCATTGTCAATATGCAGCAAAACTTAGCTCCTGATCCAACTACGGAAACCAACATGCTTCTCAAGAGGCTGATTCATACAGTCAACAATTCAACATTTTTGGACGTCAATTTTGATACACCACCGTGGACTGGTCCTGGCTCCACCGAAATATGGGTCCAGTCACTCATATATGCAAGTTTATCCGCGAGCCTTCTCGCAGCACTGGGAGCAATGCTGGGCAAGCAATGGCTCAACCATTTTCAACACTTTGGTCATGGAACGGTTGATGGTCGTGGAAGGCAACGGCAACGGAAGCTTGATGCTTTATACGCCTGGCATTTCAACGCTGTTCTGGAAGGTCTCCCCGTCCTGTTACAGTTGTCCTTGTTGCTGTTTGGGGTTGCTCTCGGTGCAAACCTATGGACAGAACAACATATTGTCGCCTGCATTGTCATTGGCGCAACCACATCTGGGGCCGTTTTCTATGCGCTAATTGTCGTCGCTGCATTGATATCTGACGTGTGTCCATTTCAAACACCAGCATCTAATCGACTTCGCAGCATCGGTCAGCGCGTTGTCCGCTTCCACAGTGTCCTTCAGAAGGGAAATCAGACCATTCTTTCATCGTTCTTGCGCTTCGTCAGCTATATCCCCTATACCATAATAACGTCACTCCACTCATTCGCATCATGCATTTCTCACCAGCTTTCCTCTCAGTACGCCATCGAAAATACGGATGCCCCTTGTATCCGATGGCTGCTTGAGACCTCCGATGACCCAGATGTAATTACCACTGCCGCCAGCCTGGTTCCTGAGGTCGAGTGGCCACCAGGTTTGGATGTATCTTGTGCCTTGCTCAGGCTGCGAGACACTTTCCTGAATTGCTTCGAGAACACACAGTATGGTCAACCGAAACTTTCTGACTTTAGCCGAGATTGTGCGATTGCATGTGGGAAGGCCTTCTTGCATCTCTACATCGAAAGGCGGTCATTGGATGCCAGACCCATCTTTCTGCGTGCTACTCACGATCCAGAATTCGCACTTACCAGCTCTTCTTGTCTGCATGATGTCCATTGGTTAACGTGGACTCGTCAAAATGACCCCGAACTCTCTTTCATCTGCGACCTTATCCTCGAGATAGTGCTGGATCTTGGCGTCAGCATACCCATTTCACTTGGAAACCCGAAAATTCCGGATACCTTTCTGATGTGGATGTCTCATCCCCTACTCCATTGCCTCAGTGCAGACCAGTATGCAAGGTTTTGGAGGCGACGTGCATTGGATGTAGTAGAGAGGCTACTTGTGCTGCCCTTACCCCCTACGAATGTCATAGCAAACTGCCTTATGGCGGCAGGTTTGCTTCTGGATCAACCCGTTGATCCAAATCAACTAGTCAGCACAAACAAGGGGTAAGGAACTTTTTCACGTCATGTGAAGCGTTCAGGTGACCCATAATTGCACAGGTCATCGATCAAAACATTGCTTGTATCTGTCCTCGAGAGCATGCAGCAAGCCATCGGTATCGACATCCATCTGGAGCTTCGGGAGCGCTCGTCTCTTTACGCCCTGAAACTTCTACAACCTCTGGCGGCTGTTTTAGAAGTCGAGCAGTTTCGCCAGACGGCGTACGATTTGGGAATGCCCGATTGGGGTGTTCGACTATGTCAAAGCTTTGTCAACATAGTACTTCATCATCCGGAACTCTGCAGACCAGAAGCACGTGACAAGGCTTGGGTGGCCGCTCGCGATGCGCTGCATTTCAGTGTGATCACTGCTGGAAGTGGCGATAGCGGCGAGGCTGATGATCAGATCGCTTATATGGAAGAGATTCCTCGTCTCCGCACGACCAGGAATGCTGGTTGCGGCTGGCTTCTTGATTATATCAGGCATCACCATTTAATCTCTCATCAGTCAGCGCTCACTGACGCATTCCTCACGATGAGCGAAATGAACATCGACGCTGCCTGCAGAGAGAAGATGCCGACCTATATTAACGCAATGATTTTTGCGATGGCGCCGGAAAAGTCTCCACGGCTTCGCAAGGCTGCGTTTTGCGCCGCGTATTCATCAAGGAACTTTCTTGCATCGCTAGACATCAATTCTCTCTCCCCGGATCTCTGCGCTCAATTTTCGGCAGCATCGCTTCTTGGACCCGAACCAAGTGGCACCCCGACTAGGACCCCGGAACTCGTCAACCAAAATTCGCGCCCAACAGCGCCGAAGACGCCCAACGGCGCCTCCCCAAGCCCATTCCCGACATAAAAACCCTAGAAAACACCAAAAACATCATCTACATAAGTATATAACCTGAACTATAACTAATATGCCAACAGGTAAACCGGGCACCACCACTGGTACTGGCCCACCCAAGGCCAATAGTCCACCTCCGACCGGAGGCCCTAATACTCGTAGAACAGCCAGAACCCAAACCACCACTGAAGAGATCATAGCTGTACCCAATAATGTCATGGACACTGACACCGCAGAGAAGTTCCTGTCATCTAAACTACTTTGTCAAGAGGGTCAACCCTACTCGCTAACCCACCTAGTCTCTATTTTGTTTCACATCACACAAATGTCGGCCACCACACCAATCCCAGTCATCTCAGCAATCAGGGCGGTAGCATTTCTACTGAAGAAACATACTGTCTGCGAAATGGCGGAAGCGGCATCAAGACAACTAGCGGACACTCTCTCGGAAGCCATCACAAACAAACTCGTTGACCACGCTATTGCAGCCCTCGCCCCTCAAGTCGCTGGATTACACGCTGCATCAGAAGCACTAGCGGAAACGGCAAGGAAGGCAGAAGATACGTTAACATCCTCCCTAGACAAGGCCGAAAGAATCCACCGGCTAGCAAGAGACGAACGAACCGAACAAGAGGGAGGAATTTCCATAGCAGCAGAAAGACTAGAAGAAGCAGCAGACGCCCTATATGTATCAGTTAACGACTGCCAGAACGCCATTAACACTCTAGCCCCATCCCTGGACACCACTCAAGAACGCGTTAACCACCTGTCCACCCAAATGATGGCAACGCCTCCCATGTCTCAGGCTCCAAACCAACCTTCCTATAGCACAATTGTGGCTACTCACCTTCCACCCAAAGTAGATCAAGCCGTCGGCCGTGCAGCCATCAGAGCTCGACAAATCCTGCTAGACCCCAACCCAGGCGCCCCCCCATTCCCACCAAACACCACAAGCAAGGAAATAGCAGAATACCTCAAGAAAGCTCTCAACAACATACGCAACGATAGCACCCCAGAGGGAAACGTCAAGTCCATCACCACGCTCCGCAACGGTGGTATCATCATCGAATTAGACTCTGACTCCCTGGCCACATGGCTACGGGAACCCATCAACCGTACATCGTTAGAAAGCCAATTTGAATCCGCCGTATCGTTCCGTTCCCGCACCTTTGCTCTGGTCCTAGAATACTTACCCATTCACCTACAGATAGGAGACGTACAATTCCTTCGCAGACTAGAAGAAGAGAACTCACTCCTCGCCAACTCGCTAGCCACTATTCGATGGATCAAACCCCCAATCCGCCGCTCACCCCAGCAACGTAAGGCTTTTGCCCTCCTTCAAGCCGTGGACGCCTGCACAGCCAATTCCCTCCTTCGCGACGGCCTCTGCATTGACAACGAACGAATCACCATTAGGAAAGACAGGAAAGAACCCATCAGATGCGCGAAGTGTCAGAGGTACGGACACATCGCGCGTAGTTGCACTAACACAACAGACACCTGTGGAACCTGCGGAGATCAACACCGCACAATGCAATGCAATGCCTTCAAGACCAACCGATGCGTAAACTGCCGCAGCAACGACCATGCCAGCTGGAGCCGTAAATGTCCAGAATTCAAGAGACGATGTGAACTACTCGACGAAAAATTCCCCGAGAATCGTATGCCATACTTCCCCACGGAAACCGCCTGGACACACGCCATCGCCCCCCCAAAACTTCCTAATTCACCCCCCCCTACTCGTCTCTCCCCAGATCCACTCCAACCAGCCAAAGGACCCCGCGCAACACGTCAAGCCACACTCAACTTCAACATCACCGACACTTCCGACACTTCCGATCCCCCACTACCAGCCAATACACAAACTCACCCACTAACCCGCTCTTCTCCCTCCGCAGATGAAATTATGAATGACCTATACCCTCCCATCAACTTTGACTACCTCTCCACCCCTACACCCTCTCCATTGGCTCCATCGGCCTCCGGCTCCACCGCCACCACCACCTCAATCCCTACCTCCCAAGACTCCGCCAGCGCCCCCCAATCACCAGCCCATGTCTAATTACGACTCAACGAACACTGAGAGACTACGAATCTGGCAGCAGAATTTGAATACATCCCTCACGGCACAATCCTCCCTACTCAGCAACAACAAGATGGCCGACTGGGATATCATTGCTATCCAGGAACCATATATCAACTTTCTGCGAAACACGCATGCAAATCATCACTGGCACGTCATCTATCCCACCCAACACTTCTCCCACCCTCAACAACGGACGAGGGCCATAATACTAATTAACGCCAAACTCGACACGAACGCATGGAAACAGATCTCTTTCCCTTCCTCGGATGTTGTTGCTATCCAGCTACGAGGAGAGTATGGCCGCTGTACTATATTTAACTTATATAACGACGGCACGCATCAGAACACACTAACCACTTTTGATTCATATCTAGAGAATAATATAGCTACCATCAAGACCCACGATAACGACCATATGCTTTGGCTCGGCGATTTCAATCGCCACCACCCCCTCTGGGAGGACATCCGTAACCGTCATTTGTTCAATTATGCAGCCGCTAATCCCCTTATAGATTTAATCGCAGACCATGGAATGTTGCAATTCCTACCATGCGGCACGCCAACCCTGCAATCCACGAGCACCGGAAATTGGACACGCCCCGACAACGTACTCGGCACCGAATCACTCCTTGACGCCATCGTTTCATGCGAAACAGCACCAGAACTTCGAGGACCAAAGACGGACCACATTCCCATCCTACTGACACTAGAACTCGAGACTCAGCGAACACCGGATGAACCACGCCACAACTGGCGTGGAGTAGACTGGAAAGTTTTTAATGAGCGCCTCACAGAACTAATATCAGCTGTCCCGGCTCAACCTTTAGCGTCCGAAGAAGAGTTCCAAGCGGCCGCAAAGCATCTCTCCGACGCAATAGCAAACACCATGAGCACATGCGTCCCATACTCGAAA